CTCAGGCCAATACTAATTTGTAAACCGAAGCGCACTGAAATCTGTCCCTGGAGTTAGGAGAAAAAAAGATTTTTGTTTTGAATTATTTACATATAAAATATCATCGATGTATACGTACTACGCATAAGATTTCGCAATTGTGGCATTCAATAACACTTGCTACGTTGAACTTAACCATACTGCATCCGTACACCTTACTTTAGTACGACTTCGACATTCTTTATAAGCGATCAAGCGCTGTTGCAGTAGTTTGGTTACTTGACAAAAATTAATTATTTCCAAAATGGAGCAAGAAGTTTTAGCTTACAATAACTTCAATAATCGATTGTAATACACCTATAAATTGACTTTTTGCAAGTATAGAAAACTAAAACTTCTTGCTTCATTTTGGAAATAATGAATTTTTTCAACTTACCAAACAATTAAAACAGTGCTAGATCGTTTATAAAGAATGTCTAAATCGCACTAAAGTAACGTGTACGGATGCATTATGGGTAAGTTCAACATAGCGAGTGTTATTTAATGCCATAATCGAGAAATCTAATGCGTAGTACGTATACATCGATGATATTTGATATGTAAATAATTCAAAACAAAACTCTTTTTCTCTCTTAACTCCAGGGATAGAATTCAGTGCGCTTCAGTTTACACATTAGTATAGGCCTGAGGAATAAAATGCACTATAGGTTGATTCTGGGCAACACTTGGTCCAGACCCTGGCACTATCCTTTCGATAAGACTAGTTACTACGCACAATGGACCAACAAGTGCGGTTTTAATTGTTCTGCTAACCTTATCTAAGACTAGCTTCTAATCGTGGCTTCATTCGCAATTAGCATCGATTTCAGTCATAAATTGTTTACCGCAGTGGCGCTAACATCAGAATATTTAATTGCATGCTAGAACTAATTTTGTTGGCTAACTTGCTCCACGAATTATGGATTAATATGAAATTCTTTTATCTTCTATTTCCTTTACCTCATAAAAACACATTTTCTTCGACTGAAAGTAGCCTAGTGCTTTTTCGAGACACATTTGTGTAGCTGTCTTCCTCTCTACCAAATTAATCTAATTCAGCAGTTCAGACGTGGAAACGTATCTAACGTAAGACTAATAGAGCTGCTACATACATATAGATACAATGTAGATCGTTTCACAGGACCGTTTTTATACGCTTCTACACAATTATCAACCCACGCTCATTGCAGTCCTCAATTCCAATCTTAATATTAACAGGCCATTCCTCCTAACTTTATCTCTAATCGAATTTAAAGGGACCGTAACCCTTCCAATCTCCAAATCCCGTCAGCCATCCGTCAAACTGTCGTAGTTTTGTCTCACACCATCCCAAGAATAGCGGGGTAAATATAGAAGCACAGGTGACGGACTGACGGGCCATGTGGCGTTGTAGACGATGGGGCTGTATGGTGTTTAGGTGCGGGAACATAGTTTTTGTTGTACCTATATGTTACAGGAAATGTATGAATTCTAGGAATTGTATACTATTCCTAGGAAATGTATACAATTCCGAAGCTATTTAGGAAATGTATAAAATATTGCTTCAGAGATTTTTTAATACGCACATATCCTAGGAAATGTATACTTTTCCTAGGAATTTTATAGAATTCCAATATTGTATTAGGAAATGTATAAAACTAAGCGGCACAAGCGCGGTCGCGTGATCGGGTGCCCCTCGGTACGCCTAAAATTTCATTTAGCCAAACCACATTGGCCGATAGGTACTTTTAACTCACAATTATTATTGTTTAGCCTGACAGTTGTTTTCGCACTATTATACATTGGCTGAAAAAAATATTTGCCTATTGGCATCCTTTCTTTCGGCATCACGCATATAAGTATTGGAAATCCCCAATTTTAACATCTCTTTTATTAAACTTATTGGCATGAAGGTTTTAATACTTCTGTAGCTGGATAACAAAGTCTCGGTTAGGTTAGGTTAGACTTGCGACCTTACACATACACAGCTGCCGCGGAGCGGGAGTGCCATTTAAGTTTCGGAGAAAAAAAAGTGGCGTAATAAAAATAATTTTTGTAAAAAAATTTAGGCTTAAAATTTGTGTGCCATAGACAAGTAGGCGTGAAAAAAAATTGACGATTCGATAGAGACCCCGCGTAATCGGATGATGCAATATCCTCCACCGTATGTCCACGCGTATTCATTGAAATCTTAATTACATTTCCGATTGCTGTTTAGGAAATGTGTAAATTTCCTAGGAAATGTGTCTAATATAATTTGCATCACACATTTCCGGGTGATTTTAGGACTTATACACAATTCCTAGGAATTGTATACAATGACGGATTTCATACATTTCCTGTAACATATATACAAAGTATAAAAACTAGAATAGTGCGAAACTGATAATTTGTCTGCAATAGTTAGGATGGATTAGAAAAAGTTAAGAATGTGCGATATAATGCTTACAAAACAAGTGGATTTCAATTTAGGATTTTTAATTATATCACAAATCCTGAAAACAGGGTATGTTCGGGGCATTATTTAATGCAAATAATACGATTTGTTAATCACGCAATCTAAGTAATATGAAGATTGAAGTTTCTACTTTAATGATGATAGAGACATCATTATTATTACCTATGCTATCCAATGTTCTCATGCTAAAGAGTTCGTCAAGGAAATCATTATGTCGTTTTGTAAATGGACTCATTTTTGTTAATTGTGGGACGGTCCCATTATTATTTGTATCAACTTTCTAATGTCAGCAACTCATTAGACTATTTTTGATGGAAGATTGCACTTACTAGTAAATAAGATGCCAATGTGATAAGTTTGATGCCCTATACTCAAAATAATTATACAGACTTAGAACTTGCGTGGAAGCTAATCCACAAATTTCCTTTTCATTCATTAGACAGACAGATAGTCAGGGAATATCTTTTCGTAAAGGTTACTAAAAATTTGTTTGTCACCTGTCATCCGCTTTGCAATGGAGGGAAGTCGAACCTTGACTTCGAACTCCTCCTATGTTCTTCTGATTAATTTCGTTGCGGGTCCAATGACTGTTTAACTTTCCCCCGGAACAAACTTGACCTTCACTGGTTGGGTTTTTATTGCGGTCAAGCTGTAGGTCCTGGCTGCACAGGAGTTGCAGCGGTGGGAACGAGAGGTGGGAATAATCCCGTTTGTCAGGGAATACCGCACTTTGGCGCTGCTCATGACAGTCAGTAACTTTAGGAAGCAATCCTAGTCAGTCAGTAACTTTAGAATGCCAGCCTCCATTATCCATATCCATTGACTCCTCACAGACCTTTTTACCCCCACCTCTATTTCCCGCCACTGAAACTTGTATAGCCTGGCTCTACAGCTTGGCCGCTAATGGAAACCAAGCAGTGTGAATGTGCATACTGTCCTGCTTTGAAAAGAGCCTAGGTTTTTGTCATTGGCTTTTCTTGGCAATTTTTTATGACTACGCCGCAACATTTTGAATCTATATGATCCTAAACTTACTCGCGTCTCTTTCACTAAAGATGTGGAAAAAACATCGTAACGCATTTAAATAATCCTGTTTTCAAATACACACTCCAAAACATGCAAAAAATACGCTAGCAACATCAAGTTTACTATCACCAGTGACATCACTCATTGAAAATAACCGTTCCGGCGTCGGGGCCGGGAGAGTCGCGCGCGGCTGACTCAGGTGTTATTTCGAACAGCGGATGTCGGCGCCGTTGATGCGCGGAGTTACATCATGGATAGTTGGAGTCAGTAGGGACAAACGAAGACGCTGTTTACTTAGTTTTGGGAGTCTATTCGTCACTGTCGATTATGTTTTGCATGAGTGAGAGGAATGGAAACACTTGAAACTTTCAATAACGGAATAGCCCAGCAGGTTCGTGGATAGCAGGAGTCAAGTAGGGATACTGCGAAACACTGTTTACGTAGTTTCGGGGGTATATTCGTCACTGTCGCTCATGCTGGCATCTTGCTTTGTGTGACGATGGGAACATTGGAAACTTTCGATAACACTGTTGTAACGTAGCCTCCTCATTTGGTGTTATTTCGAACGGCGGATGTCGGCGCCGTTGATGCGCGGTGTTACATCATGGTGAACATTTTGGATGCTTGGGTTTTGGCGGGAGTAGGGTTGCCAGGTCCAAAAACATAAAGCCGGACTCTGTGCTCCATTTGGCCGGACTTTTTACCCTAAAAGCCGGACATGTCATGCGTGAGCTTGATATTATCCTGTAGCTCGACTTTCACCTGGCGCGGCAGCCACATAAAATGCCGGACAGGACGGACAAGCCAATATTTGGCCGGACAACTGGCAAGCCTAGGCGGGAGTAGCAGGAGTCAGTAGGGACATTCCGTCAACTGCGTGATACATTTTGGGGTTAGCAAAAGTCAGCAGAACTACTCCATAAGGGTTTATGTAGTTTAGAGTCCATCTGTGACTGTTGTTGTCTCGTTTTTTGTGAGAATGTTGGAAATATTTGAATCTTAGGACAACGTTGTTGACTAGGAGTAGTTTCAAAGGCTTGCTGGCACCAGAAGTAGGAGTTTCGGATCCATCGGTCAATGTCACTCATACTGGCATCTCACTTGACATCCGAAACAGAATAAGTTATCTTTCTCCTGTCTCAGATTCACTCGCGAACTGATGCTTACACATTATCAAAAAATCAAAAATATTTATTCAGTTTAGACCACAAGTGGCACTTATGAACGTCAAAATATAGTAAATAATAAAAAAAGAAAAGTTAGCCCTTATGGGGCACTTTACATATCTACTTATCTTTTGGGCCCTATCAGCACTTCGAGACAAACATAATAATTATGGCAAGTGCTAAGAAGAAACGCCGGAACAAACTCAGTCATTGGCTTCAGGTACCGGTCGCAGCGTGAACCGCTGCCTTTACGTAGTTGCAATGGCTGTTACTTTGTAACAAAACTGAATAGTCTACTAACGTACAACAAGGAATACTTTCGTCCATTAACCACCAGTTGTCGTTGTCCACAGACGTCAAGCGACCCGCAGTCACCGCAAGCATTGGCGGGCGCGTGACGCTCCCTGCGCGAGCGCGTCGAGAGAGCCCTCCAGGACAACTGGCGGCGGCTGACCGCGGCCCATACTGTGAGTGACTTCTGCTGCTTAGTAGCTAACAACTACTTATACAGCCCCGCAGTCGCCGTGAGTCAACTGAAAGACGTTTACTGCTGAAAGGATCCTCTTTGAAGGATTTCCATTTCCAGGCGACCGGTCAAGGAGCTCCTCGCGAAATTCACCAACTTGATCTCATTGGCCTGGCTGGACATAGATTGACCTGGCAGCATTTGTCCCACAACCCACTGCTTAATAAAGTTTGGCATTTCTGAGTACTATATCGGTTACTTTGATTCGCCTACGTATCACGTGGGGAAACTGCTTGCAGAGAGAGAATAAATGACTTATGACTCTAATGTGGTGTCTACTACACCATCATGATTTCAATCGCTTTGCATTAAATGATGTTGATCCATAACTTCGAACTCGTCCTATGTTTTTCTGATGAACATAGTTGCGGGTCCAATGACAGCATAACTTTTTCCTGGGACCAACTTGGCCATCACTGGTTGGGTTTTTTGGTGGTAAAGCTGTAGACCCTACACAGGAGTTGCAGAGATGGGAACGATATGTGGGAATAGTCCCGTGCACATTATGATTGGACAAAATAATCAGTATGCTTCTGGTTGTTCCAGGACACAACCCCCCACCGGACAAGACAACGCTCGTTCAGCTGCGAGAGACGCAGGCGCAGGCCCAGCGCGCTCTCTCTAGACCTACAGCCCGAGGACAGACCCTACCACACTGCCACTATACACAAGTAAGTTACATGTTTCGTTTTTGGCCCTTAACACAATCATCATCCTCATCATCATTTCAGCCACAGGACGCGCACTACTGAACATAGGTTTCCCTTATCGAATTTTCATAATGACCGTTTGGTTACCTGAATCCAGCGATTTCCTGCTACCTTTATGAGGTCTGCTTAACACAATGGAGTAAGGTAAAAAAATATGATGGGAATAGTATTTCCTCAGCCATGCAAAGGGCCATTTCAGGCCTACTGCTAGATGGAGGTCCAAGGGGTGCCACGAAAACTACATTCATCCTTTTTTACTCAGCTGCTGGCTAATAAGCACGATGGGCGTCCATCTGCCACTCGAGTGTGCTACATTTTTGAATCAAGAGTATGTCCATAAAAGTCTCAAACCAAATGACCTCGGTCCAAATGGCAATGCCAGATTTTGTATGGAAAGTGGCGTCTTTTTTTTTTCGCGCGGCCATCGACCAAACTTTGTTTTTTGATTACAAAATAGTGTAATAAACCAAACTTACTATGGCATGTATACCTCTAAACTCAGTCTGAACTGAGTTACGAGCAATAGAAGTTTGATTATTTTCATACTAGATTTGCTTTTTGTGCGCAAGTTTTGTAAGAAATTGCAACAAAATATTGCGCTATTTTTTTATTGCGCTGATTCTGCTCCATACTGATGTCTGGAGCCTTTAATGGATGATATTGTTTGTTTACACATACAATCTCACTATTTTGTTGCAATTTCTTACAAAACTTTGCGCGCAAAAAGCAAATCTAGTATGAAAATCATCAAACTTCTAATGCTCGTAACTCAGTTCAGACTGAGTTTAGAGGTATACATGTCATAGTAAGTTTGGTTTATTACACTATTTTGTAATCAAAAAACAAAGTTAGGTCGATGGCCGCGCGAAAAAAAAAAGACGCCAATTTCCGGCATTGTCTTTTTCCAATAACCTTATCATAGCTTGCTGAGTGCCTTGTCTTGGTAGCTAGTATTTTCTGAAGTACTCTAATTAAATACTTCTCCTTCCAGAGCCCACTCCCTAAGCAAGATGGCGACGCTCTCCCTCAAGATATCGCTCAACAGCGGGCAGGTGGTGAAGACCATCCAGTTCGACCCGGCTACCACGGTGTACGACGCCTGCCGCGCCATCCGCGAGAAGATACAGGAGGCGCACGAGAGCGAGCGTGAGTAGATACATAGATAGATAGAAAGTTTTTGTCTCAAAACAGGTTACAATGAGGGCTATCGTTTTTATACTTAACAGTTGGCACCCCTGGCGATTGACAGGACCCTACTCTACAGTGGCGCCATCTTGATGAGTGCAAATGCGATAGTCCTCCTACCACTTTCGCGCTCACCAGTTGGTGCCACTGTCTTCGCTACTAGCAAGTGACAGGACCTTACTCTACAGTGGCGCTAACTGGTGAGCGCTAAAATGATAGCCCTCATTACAAGTTGTCGCAGTGTACAACTGTGAGTGCTGCAGGTGCCACTCACACATATACATTTATTTTGGTCCTTTGAACCGGATTTACATATTTTGGTCCTTTGAGACGGATTTACGTATTTTGGTCCTTCGAGCCGGATATTTTTAGCGCATGGATTTTGTATAGCAAATTCAAACTTATGACGTTTATGTCTATTGGTTTCAAAGATGAAAACCTTTATCTTACAAGTCTAACGTATAACTGTGACAGTGCCTGCGGTACGGGAGGGTGTTTTTGTGACATCAAACGTCAGCTTGACTTCAGATGTGCTTCTGACTTGTACGCTCTGTCATGTCATAGTTATGTCACCCCTCCCATGCCGCTTCCGTACTTCAGACACGACTCAGTTATGAGCTAAACCTGAAGCTACATGGCCACTATTTGGGATCACAAGCCTGGAATGAAGTATTCTTTCAGATACACTGTCTCTTAGCACATTACTTTAACCGTAACTATAATTATAATTGTTATAACCGGTGTTTTTTGTATGGAGTTTGACAGAATTTTGATGTTTGCTAAATTAGGATGGTGCAACCTAGCCTAAGAAGTATCACTAAGATGTTCCAATCAACTATAAGTTCACCATCGTTTACCATCACTCTTCCCCCCACAGCGAAAGAGTTCGGCCTCTTCTTAGCATCCGAGGAGGACCCCAAGAAGGGCATCTGGCTGGAGCCGTCGCGGAGCCTCGACTACTACATGCTGCGGAACGGAGACCTGCTGGACTACAGCAAGAAGACCAGGAACCTGCGCGTCAGGATGCTTGACGGTAAGTGATAAATATACATCGTCCCGATAGCACTTCCATCCCCATCATTAAGATAGTTGGCAGTCCACAAACGTTTCTCTAGAAACTTCCTGCCCCGTACAACCGAACTGTGAAATGGACTGTCGTGCAGTGTTTCCGGACCGATACGACCTGCAAGCTTTCAAGAAAAGAGCGTATCTTCACCTTAAAGGCAGGCAACGCACCTGTAACGCCCCTGGGACTGCGGGTGTCTATGGACGACGGTAATCACTTACCATCAGGTGATCCGTCTGCTCGTTTGCCTCCTGTCACATAAAAAAACCGTTTTAGCCAAAGGTTCACTGCTGGACAAAGTAGCAACGGCCTGCTGCTACAGCAAGACTGCTGAAAGGACGTCAATTGCTGGACAAAGACCCCCACTGCTGGACAATCCCCCAATTATTACCACGAATGGCCCTGCGCTTCCTGATCTTCACCAGATAAGCGGTCCTCCGATTGGGAGATCGCTCGCTACATTTGCCGGTCTGTAGTCTACTCCCAGTATTTAGACGTTTATTCAGTTCAAAGAGCCTCGACTACTACATCGACGAGATATATGTATATACTATTATATACCTACAACTTTTCAGCCAAAGGATACCTGCTGGACACGGCCTGTTAGATGATACAAGAAGACGAATTGTCTCAGCCAAAGGACTCAACTGCTGGATAAACACCCCAAGGATTTCCACAATGACTGATCCAAGTACATCCCGCGACCTTCATTAGATCGTCCAACGGGTGGGAGGCCTGACTACACAACGTTTTTTGGTCCCGAGTTGCCACTCGTTCTGCCACCAAACTTTACAGTAAAGCCAATATCAAATCCACTGGAGGACTCAGACCTATAATCTATGAGGATAAGCCTTAAGGCCTGACTAGACTTAACGGATAATTGACAAGTAATATTAGTCAGGAAAAAACTATTAACTTGCTTTCTGAACCATGGAGATACCCCTAAATATGGGAAGTAAAAACTAATATAATTTGTGTAATAAATAAGTGCTCTGAAGAGGATCAAACGGGTGCAACCGGCGGCAGGAACTAGACTATTAAAGAACTAACCAAACATTATTGTTGCAGGAACTGTCAAAACCCTATTGGTGGACGACAGCCAGATCGTAGCCAACCTGATGGTCGTCATTTGCACCAAGATCGGCATCACCAACTACGACGAGTATGGCCTGGTGAGTGATTTACTATACCTAGTTTGTCCAATGTACTCTGGTGTCTTATTACAGTGTAAACTCTTTATAAAGTCACTGAATTTAACGACAAACTTCATATATCGTCGAAAGGACAATGTTCGTTCTCCATACATTGTTCGCCTAAGAACCAACAATTTTGACATATTACTACCCGAAAGCGAAATAATACGATTCTGTGTGTAAGAACAATGATTCCTGATGGACACTTGCCATAAAATTAATGATTAAGAATATTAAATCACAGCGATTTTATAATATGTCGTTTATGACAACATGGCGTCTAATGTATTGTGTGAATGTATGTACACCGATTCGCGAATTATGTTTTGTATTGTCGTCACGCCGAGTCGCAGCCAAATAGTATAAAATAATAGAACAAGTTTTAGAAATACAACTCGGCATTCCACTTTTATAATATAGCCCACATATTGCACGTAAATAAACAACATGAATCGTAGGTTGTTTCCACCCTTGTCATCTGACACATGAAATAAACTCCAATTGTATTATAGATATCGAAGCCGAATCGTATATAATAATAGAATGGGTTTTGGAGATCACTCGGGGTTCCACTTTTATAAAATACCTACATATTGCATAAAAATAACACGAATCATGGTTTTTCTTTTCACCATTTACATCTGACACGAGATAACAAACTCCGATCTCCATGACTACCGTCGTAGTCTATGCCAAAGACTACAATATTTTAAGCAAGAAGTTTCAAACCTTAGCGGCTACAGTAACCCCTGGGCCACATACATCGTGATAACATTCGGTCGACACCGGAACGAAGTCTTGCGATTATGCAAAAAAGCACCGTATTCTAGTGCGGCGGCTATATCACGTTCAACCGGGGTTTTAATTCGACTAAAGTCCTGACTAAAGACTGGAAGAAAATACGTCGCATTGTATGAGCACTTCGTGTTCGTTAAAGCGGTTTCAGATCTAGAGCCTACATAGTTTTCTTTCCAATAATATCCGCAAGTAGCGCTGCATGATCTTTACAACAAAAACGGCAATAGTTATTAAGGTGCCAAAATTATATGATTACTTTGGCACGGTATTATACACGTTCGAAGATTTGTCATTTTCATTCATTTCATCATCATCATCATCATTTCAGCCACAGGACGTCCACTGCTGAACATAGGCCTCCCCCAATGACTTCCACATCGCACGGTTGGTAGCAGCCTGCATCCAGCGCCTTCCCGCTACCTTTATCAGGTCGTCGGTCCACCTTGTGGTTGGACGTCCCACGCTGCGTTTTCATTCATTTATTATTTTCTTAACACTAGAGTACACGCGCGGACTACTATAGTAGACCAGGGTAACATTTTACGCTATAACTTTTTGAAAACTTGCGCCAGAGAGCTGGCATTCCAGGAAAGCCTCGTTTACTAAATTTTTCAGTAAGCCAGTAAAGCTTGGATCGCTAGTGTCTGCGCACTTTTCTAAAATTGGCAGTCAAAACTGCGGGTCCAGGCAAAAGCCCGAAATCACTCGACAAAAAAATTATGAAAGACTTGTAACAAATGGATTTACACCGTGTACCAGGCAGTAGAAAGTCATGAATACTATGACAGATAAAAAACTAATCATATTTTTTCAGTCAATTTTTTTTGTTAACATTGGTATCAAAGTGCAATTTTGGTCCAAAAAATTTACAACTTTTAAATCTGTTTATATTGTTTGATCCCAAATAGTTATATAAAAAATCTTTGATTATAAAATAACTATAATAAACACTTTTATCATTTACATAGTAATTATATTCATAAATTGCTTATAAACTGATTTACAGTGATTTTAAATTGGCTTACCAGAGTAGGCCGCGCGTGTATTCGTGTAAAAAAAGGGGCGCGTGTACTGCAGTGTTAAAGTGCCGGAAAAAAAATAGTTTCTAGCTGTCCCAGCAACTTCGTCAATAAAAAGTTGTCTTGTCTTATCTTTAAAATCGTAATATTAATTTCTGAACGTATCCTGTTTGACACCTAATAATATTATTTGACATAGCTGGCTCGGCGAATTTCGGCAAATTAATTTTGACATTGCAGAATATGACTTTTGATAGGTTTATCATAGAATTCGACAGGGATATCCTCACGGAGGAAGTTCGAAAAATGGCGGAACAAGATCTTATAATAATGCAAGACCGAAGCTGTAACGCGCGTGCTCCTAAGTGTAAACCGGCGAGTATACAATAAATAGTAATGTCTGGTATATAGTGGTAATACGTATCGTTCGTTCGTTCGTTTCAGCCGAAAAGACGTCCACTGCTGGACAAAGGCCTCCCCCAAGGATTTCCACGAAGACCGATCCTGCACCGCTCGCATACAGGCACCTCCCGCGACCTTCACCAGATCGTCGGTCCACCTAGAAAAAAATTCACATCCTCGTGATGGTGATAATTTCTATGGAGATGTTTTTTTTTATATTCGGACTCTTGGGATAAGTTATTCCATTTGAGCAGTAGAATTAATCCTTTTTATTTGATCACATATAAAAATAACACAAGTGTTTAGGAAAACTTCTTCTTTGGTATGGTATCACCACGGAGTTATAATGGCGGCAACTCTGTATCACTGACTTGTAACTTTCAAACAGTATGAATAATAAGAAGGGCACCACATTGGTTTTCTTTCTGAAAAAAGGCTTTCACTTTTAGTACTAACCCTTTAGCACTATTTCATTGAAATAAAAATACAATAAACGCACAGTAGACTGAAATTGAGTCAACTGACGTGACATTTATAATTTGTTGACAATAAGACAGTTTGACAAGACTAGGGATTGAAAAAGTTTTAATTGAAAAAGTAAAATGACAATTTATTAAAACGATTCACAAGGATATAATCGATTAAAAATATTTATAAAATGTTCTGATACTTGCCTGTAGCGATTATCCAATCCTGTGGGTCTAGACAAAGTGCAAATTATAATCGCAAACCAGTCGAAAAGTGGTCGAAAAGCCCCTTTTTTGTATGGAGTTTTGACGGATTCGATTTTCGATTCGATCAAAAAGTGCGTTTTGTCTAGGGGGGCTGGTTTCTACTGAAAAACTACCTTGTTGCAAGATTTTAATAAAATAATAAAATCTTTATCTTCTCTTTCATAATCTATAAAAGTTCATTTGGTCTATTATGTATTATACTCATGTGCTAAGAATGAGGGTTTTCGCGATTGAAAAATCCGCGAGATGGCAATACGTAGACGCGAGGTCCAAATGCTGCATGATTGGCGGATTTTGACATACCTGTCAATGTCATGTCAAAAATAACCAATCATGCAGCATTTGGACCTCACGTCTACGTATTGCCATCTGGCGGATTTTTCAATCGCGAAAACCCTCATTGGCATAGATTATGAGAGACTGGCAACTATACTAGGTTGATATATGTATCTCTCACTTCAACTGGCATTGGATTCAACATCGGATTCTGACACTTTTACAGTTATGATACCATGAATATCAGTTTATGGTCCTAATTATTTTTATTTTATTTACGACCTTCGACCAGTTGGACACTTTAGATAGCTTCTTGTAATAGTGTCAATATCTTTTTAGCTTTTAACGCAAATCTAGTCTTCAAAGCAGTTTAATCGATTTATTTTATTTTCAAAATCGATATTTTATTGTCTATGATGGCCGCAAGTACATCACTATACATGGACTCCCAGCAATAAAGTACGGTAATGCCTCGTTCAGATTTTATCGGCAAAAATTATGGAACTTGATAGGTTTTAGACCATGCCACGCCCCAAAACGTCCGGAAGTTGTAATAGTATTATAGAATAAACGTTAAAAGACTTATTTATTTAATTTTTCAATGCTTAAGTGTCCATTAGAATGAAAGGGTGCTTAATGTATTAAAAAAATTAGAAAATAATTATGATGGGTTAATGTTTTTGGGCGGTTTTTAGGCGATTTCTGACAATGTCCTTTCGTGACCTTGTATTATATGTGAACATTTAACGACCACTCTCTGCAACATTGAAAAATGCTGAGTCGCTAAAGTGTCATTATACAGGGTGATTTTGTTATCAGTGTCCAAATTTTTAGGAGCGACTCCGAATCAGTAACTTATTGATTAACGTATTTTTTTTAAAATACATTCATTCTTATCCGCTGCACGCAGTTTCAAAATTGTCACACATGGATAATTTGCTTCGTTCATAGAAAAATACGTACACAGTTAACTACAAAGCTTAATAGACATAATGGTACGCGAAAATAAGTCGTATGGGCACCCGTGTATTACATTTTCAAAAATTTTTTTTCTCAATAATACCGTAAAAGGGGAGGTGCCAGGAGCCAATAAATAATACATGTTGACGTTTTTTGTATCTCACTCACTTCAACACTGCTCAAAGATCTTACCAGATCCGATCTTTCACCAGGTCCGCGAAGAACAGAAGGAGGAGCCGGATCCGTGCGAGAAGCCCAACTACGGCACCCTCACGCTTCGCAGGAAGCACCACGAGAAGGAACGAGACGCCAAAATGGAACAGCTCAGGAAGAAGCTGCGGACTGATGATGAAGGTGAGATATCATCATCATCATCATTTCAGCCATAGGACGTCCACTGCTGGACATAGGCCTCCCCCAATGCTTTCCACGTTGATCGATTGGTAGCGGCCTGCGTCCAGCGCCTCCCTGCTACCTTTACGATGTCGTCGGTCCACGCTGCGTTTTCCGGTACAGAACCTTGCTGCCCCATCGGCCGTCAGTTCTGCGTACTATGTGCCCTGTCCATTGCCACTTCAGCTTGCTAATCCGTCGCTATGTCCGGGCTATGTCAGCGACTTTGGTTCGTATACGGATTTCCTCATTTCTGATGAGGTGAGATATACATATTGTTTGAACTGTCATGGCCACTAACATTACAAGAGAAGCACAACTACACGCTCACGCTCTCAGCACCACGATAAGGAGCGAGACGCCAAGATGGAGCAGCTCAGGAAGAAGCTACGGACTGACGATGAATGTGAGGGAGAGACGCAAGATAATCGCGGACAGGTCATACTAAGAACCTCCTTTTAGTCGGTTAAAAAGATAATAATTGTTATAGTCCAGCAACCAAATTTGGTTGTTCTAATATTTGCAGACTTCTTAATGATGTTGGCCCACTGAATTATAATCCAAGTTGGGGATCTCGAGCGCCGAGTGCTGATCTTAATTTTCTTCAGGAAAGTACATGAAATTAGGTAGGTATGTGGCTGTGGGGTTCTCCTTGTCAGACGGGGAGGGGCTATCCACTAAAAACCTGAAGGTGTCGATGAGCCGTATGAAACGCAAACACGCGATAATTCCAATTCAAAATGTTTATTCATAGCAAAATACATATTTCATCATATCATTAACAGCATTTGCCTCAAGCATTCGTCCCAGTTCCCTTCTCAGCATTCAAGTGACACGCAAGCGCAAGATGCGCGCAAGTCTCTTTAGACGTCACCTGACACTCCTTCGTCGTTCTTGTATTAAATCTGTACCCATCTCAATAACAACTCCTTTATTCACAGTGAACTGGGTGGAACCAGCCAAGACGCTCCGCGAGCAAGGCATCGACGTCTCAGAGACGCTTCTCCTGCGCCGCAAGCTGTTCTTCTCAGACCGGAACGTGGATTCCCGCGACCCTGTCCAGCTTAACTTGCTGTACGTCCAAGCCAGAGATGCTGTGCTGGACGGGACGCATCCCGTCACGCAGGATAAAGGTACGTACCTACCCTCGCATATAAGCAAAAAGCTTTATATCTCATGTAGAATGCATGTGGTTATCACTAATTAGTAGGTTACGTAGATTCGCGAAGAAGACTTATGTGTCACGCAGGACAAGGGTTCGTATACAAAAAGACTGTCTTGTCTAGATCAAAAGTAGGTGAACAGTGTAAGAGCTCTATGACTCTTATAGGAAAAGGGTAGGTGTGCACAGCTATTCCAATTTTTTGGTCCTTCGAGCCGGATACAAAGTCACAGAGACGCTTCTCCTCCGCCGCAAGCTGTTCTTCTCAGACCGCAATGTGGATTCCCGCGACCCTGTCCAGCTTAACTTGCTGTACGTCCAAGCTAGAGATGCTGTGCTGGACGGGACGCATCCCGTCACGCAGGATAAAGGTATGTGTGCGCAGTTACGGAAGTTATTTAGTCCTTCAAGCCGGATAGAATTATTCAAGGATATTTTTTAGACCTAATTGACATCATGCAGGGAGGTGATAGACCTGTTACGTGCTTGCAGGGAATCTTAATAGAAAGTTCTACATCGCGGCTGAAAGCCATTCCTTTCTAGCTTTACTCTGTCTCTCTCTATTCTAAAGAATAATATAATAAAACATCTTTGTATCATATTTTCATCGTAAAAATTTCGACTTGTAGATAAAGTAAATACAAAATTTTTAAACTTATTCTAAAAGGTGATATTTTATTCGAATAAAAACTAGATGTCACAAAACAGGGCTAGATTAAAATCTCAAATAAAGTAAGACCTTAACAGAGCTACACATTGGGGTCGCCCAAGGCTCATCAATGAGCCCACTGTTATTCTTACTCAAGTCTCATCAGAACCACATAATAAACTTCTCTTCTTTTGTCTGCAGCATGCGAGTTCGCCGGCATCCAGTGTCAGATCCAATTCGGAGACCACAAGGAGGACAAACACACGCCCGGATTCTTGGAGTGAGTGTCTTAAACCTTTGCTTAACATCTCAATTATCTTACTTCCTACTAATATTATAAATTCGAAAGTTTGGATGTCTGGATGGATGTTTGTTACTCTTTCACGCAAAAACTACTGAACGGATTTTGATGAAACTATACAGTATTATTCTTTATAACGCAGAATAACATATAGGCTATAATTTATGACGATCTGTGACAAACTAAAGTTCACGCGGGTGAAGCCGCGGGTAAAAGCTAGTTTCTACCATAATGCCGATAAAATATGATTAAAAAAAGAACATTCTTTTCTGAGGCTGAGTTGCATCACCTTGACTTAAACCGTAAATATTAAAATTTGAACCGCTATTTTTGTATGGAGTTTGACAGACTTGACGTTTTTTATAGTTAAAGTAAGATGGTGTAACCCAGATCATTAGGTATTCACTGTAGAAGAACGACTCTGTTTAATTTGCCCAAATCAAATTGAGGAGATGGCCTATAGTCCACACTCTTTACTGGTCAGACAAGCTAAATCATAGTCTTAGCATCCTAATCATAAGGCCCAAAATCATTTGAAAAGTACACCAAACTAATTCCATCCTTTTTACAGCCTAAAAGAGTTCCTCCCGGCGTCGTACGTGAAAGTAAAAGGAATAGAGAAGAAAATCTTCAAGGAACATAAGAAACACGTCGGTCTCAGCGAGCTGGATGCTAAAGTTTTGTACACCAAGAGCGCTAGAGATCTGAAGACTTATGGAGTCGCTTTCTTCCTTGTCAAGGTCAGTTCTGTCGCTTGTTGTTACACTATAGCACCTATTATAGCTACATTAAAGGCTACATTGTTGTAGCAAGATAGTTGCGAAGATTCTGTACACCAAGAGTGCCTTAAGACTTTGGAGTCGCCTTCGTCCTTGTCACGGTCATTTCTGACACTTATAGTTCCACTATAGCACCTATTACAGCTACATTAAAGGCTACATTGTTGTAGCAAGATAGTTGCGAAGATTCTGTACACCAAGATTGCCTTAAGACTTTGGAGTCGCCTTCGTCCTTGTCACGGTCATTTCTGACACTTATAGTTCCACTATAGCACCTATTACAGCTACATTAAAGGCTACATTGCTGTGGCAAGATAGATGCGAAGGTTCTGTACACCAAGAGTGCCTAAAGAGAGTCGCCTTCTTCCTTGTCTAGGTCAGTTCTGCGAAGAAAAGATTGCCTGATTGCTTACTTAAAAAATCCATACACTACAGAGAAGTAATCGCCAAAATAACGATAAAATAACGGTACCGTTAGCCAATAAGCTGCTGTCATAGTGACATTGACGTAATGTCAATGTCACACTAGAAACGTCAGAATAGAGGAACGCGCTCCGCGCACTTGTGCTAAGTGATGAATTGTATTTAAATTGAGGCAATTTAATGTGCAGTATAAGTATCCAGTGTTTTATTTATGAGAATATATCTACCGGCCGATGCTGTCAGTAGGTACTTGTGTATTTCACCACTTATAACAAGCCAATTAATAAATTCAGTATTGTTGCCGGAAAGAATTCAGTGATTTATGGTGGATTCGACCAAACAGGAGTAAATGGAAGTAATCTCAGAATAAATTGTCAGTTTTGACCATGGACCTATAAAAAAAGGCGGACGGAACTCGCGCTACAACAAAACTGTGACGCAAAATTTTGGCGTTTGTCTATTGTGTGAGTGAATTTAGGGATGCCATGTTAGCCAAAACATTTTACCCATTTATTTTAAGAAAAACATAGATCGGCAGATGNCCACATTTTTGGGAAGGATAAAATTTGCCTATGAAAATATTTCCCATTAAAACACAATTATTATGATAAATTATTTTATTTCAATAGTATGCGTAATAAATAACTAAAAAGTCCTAAAATTATTATTAATTTCCCATATTTCGGGTAATTTTCCCACGTAAATAACTGAGAACACTGGTCTTTTCGAGTGAATGACGTTTGATTTCAATTAATTTCAATATTTTAATGTCGGGAAATAAGTGATTGGATTATTATTTTGCCTGTGAAATGTGATTCCTTAATTTTTGTTTGTTCGAACAGAACGGTTTTTACACAATTTCATCACACAAGACATGTCGTATTCGTGTTGTTTTTTCACCGCCTAAATGTGTCAACTGTGTGAAGTTTGCACTCGAAGTGGTGCGTCAGGGTGTGAATGTGTGCGTGCCGGCCTGTACGTACAGGCAAGCTGGTGTATCCTAATGTCACAGTATTTTGTTGATGAGAATCCGTCCGACTTTTTTTATAGGTCCATGGTTTTGACATATTTCCCATACTGAAGCTGTCAATGTGCCAGTTATACCACAGGTTATACCATCTGTTATTCTCAGATAAAAGTTTGGTCAATTCGGGCCTTAAATAAATGAACATGAATAAAATTATGACCAACAAAAATGAACAAGTAAACTCGCAACTTTAAACTACTACCGTAGTGCTTATTATTATTATTCTATGCTAGTACTTATATACTAACAATACGTCAGAAACGTGTAATCTAAGGGTGGGTTGCACCATCTTACTTTAACTTTGACAAACGTCAAAAATCTGTCAAACTTCATACAAAAAGCACCGGTTATCGTCATAGTTACTGTTAAAGTTAGGTGGTGCAACTCGGCCTAAGATTTCTATAGCCTGACCAGGAACATAAAAACCCTCGCCATGTTGCGGAAAACTAATGGTACTAATTTCTTTTAATGGCAACAGTAACTGAAAACTTCATTGACATGTCACCTTGCATGTCAGTCTATTGCTGTCAAAGTATAAACAAACTTTATTTTAAATGTGCGCAATTGATTTTGTGAATTAAATTGCTAAAATCTTTTTATAATCGTGAAAGAAAAGTGGTTCACAATGTGTTTAAGTATTTGTCGAAGAGAAATACTAAGGGTTCGGACAATATTTTCATTGAATAATTTTTCCGACAAGGGTGTCAAATTGACGGACATGTTTATCGTATAGTACAGTCCACTATGAAAATTAGCTGTGGTTTGTTTCAACTACCTATTTTAAAGTTTTTTGTCACTTTCTAAGTGTTGAATTTTATGGAATTGGGAAAGAAGTACCGAGTTTGAAGCGTTCATGAGCAGACATTGCAGTTGAATATTCAAGTTCTGAATTTGATTATTGATGAATAATAAAATAAATCCTACTAGCTCGATTGATGTTTTCCTTTAATTTATTTAAACCAGGTTACCTATAATAATATTTTTTCGTTAATTCATGAAAATATCAAATTAGCCCGTAATCCTGAATCCTGATACATCAAGTTAGCCTATTAATTTAACACAGGTACGACTGTACTCAGTGTTGCACTATCAAATTAATGCAATTGACGCGCCTCTATGCCAGGGTTTTTATGTTCCTGGTCAGGCTATAGCTAGGAAGATACCGAACCGAACGAATAAAATCTGGTTTCAGTTAAGGAATAAGTACTAAGGTTTGCGATTTCAAGACAGTTCTTCCCAACTTATCCTTACCCAAATAAACATCTGTCCACAGGAGAAAATGAAAGGCAAGAACAAACTGGTGCCGCGTCTCCTCGGAGTCACGAAAGACTCTGTTCTTCGTTTGGATGAGAAAACCAAGGAGATTCTGCAGACCTGGCCTCTTACCACCGTGCGTCGCTGGTGCGCCAGTCCTAACACATTCACGCTGGACTTTGGAGACTACAGGTAAGGCTCACTGCTGTACAAAGGCCTAAACTGATTAAACACATTTATTTTTGCAAATAGGCTTTTAAAAAGCAATTTAAAGCCTTTCTCAATCACTACATAGTATAAAACAAAGTCGCTTTCCGCTGTCTGTCCCTATGTAAGCTTAGATCTTTAGAACTACGCAACAGATATTGATTCGGTATTTTTTAATTGTTGAGTGATTCAAGAGGATGATTCGCTAATAATACATAAGTTCTTGTGCTGCTCACACCCAGGCACTTTCAGTGTACAGGGAATCATATAGCTGAGAACATAATATCAATCAAAGGCAGTCCACTTCCTTGAGGTATTTAATCAATTAAAATCATTGAAAACGTTACAAAGTACCTACTACCCCTGTTTTTCATTTAGCCAATGCCAGCAGCCATATCCTTTAGGTTCGATCCGTCAAGAAGGTAGCAGCATGTAACTCGACCGCGTCCGTAATAAATTGTGGCTGATGCCAAATATCGACTAAATCCAATGAGAGTTTCCGTATTAGTCTCACAGTTAGCGTCACTGGCAAGTGATAATTCCTTTGACAGTGATGCAAACTTGATGATTGCAAATGACATATTTCTTCTGCTCATTCTGTTAGCAAAATCTAATATTATTTTCATATTCCAGCGACCAATACTACTCAGTGCAGACAACCGAAGCGGAGCAGATCCTGCAAGTGATCGCAGGCTACATCGACATCATCGTGCGCAAGCAGCGCGCCAAGGACCACCTCGGGATCGACGCCGATGAAGGCTCTGCCATGCTGGAAGACTCCGTGCAGCCTTCCAAGTGAGTAAACCTTGTACCCACTGCCCTGAATTCTACAAGTAACCAGTACACACTGCCCTATACCTTGTACAAACTGCCCTGTACCTTGTAACCACTGCCCTGTACTTTGTACACACTGACCTGTACCTTGTACAGACCGTCATGTACCTTGTACCCACTACCTTGCAAGGAGCGTGCCAAGGACCACCTCGGCATAGACGCCGATGAAGGCTCCGCCATGCTGGAAGACTCCGTGCAGCCTTCCAAGTGAGTACACAGTATACACTGCCCTGTACCTTGTAAAAACTGTTCTGTACCTTGTACCCGCTGCCCTGTACCTTGTACCCACTGTCCTATACCTTGTACAAACTGCCCTATACCTTGTACAAACTGCCCTGTACCTTGTACACACTGTTCTATTACTTGTACCTACTTCCATGTTTCTTGTACCTGTTGGAGTTTGAAGCGTAAGAAGGAAAAGACCACGAAGATTACCACGGATTTATTTTAGAACATACAGCACACAGAGACTACATGAGATCGAGTGATTAATCCAGAAGTCTGGAAACCTTACATTGATAGCGGAGTGCCAAATTCAAATATTCAAATATGCTTGCGTTTAACCAAAAAGTTTCTAACTTTCCAACAGTACCCACTTCCATGTTCCTTGTACCCACTGCCATGTACCTTGTACCCATTGCCTTGTACCTTGTAACCACTGCCCTGTACTCTACTAGTGACCTGTTCTACTCGAGGGTGATGGCGATGAGTACTCTGGAGGACTCTGTGCAGCCTACTGCTCTGAAACTTGTACCCACTGCCCTGTTCCTTGTACCCACTACTTTATATCTTGTACCCACTGCCCTGTACTTTTTAAAAATATCTTATTTGTCCACAGAGCCAACATCATCCAGCACGACACGTTTGTCTCTGGCAAAGTCAACACGGAATCCGTGGCCAAACCTGCTGTGCACCGGCCTGGCGCTGAAGGTATGTCATAACAATACATCTTTTGTTCTTGTTAAATAAAAACAAAAATAGAATAAACAAAAAAAACACTTGAAACAAAAATAGCCACGATAGCCGAACGGTGAAGGGGTCGGACTTACCGACTCGTGATCCGGGGAAGCGGGTTCGGTCCCCGCCGCCGCTCGACTATTGTGGTGAGCTCACTAATACAAGCATATTTAGCTTAGTACGAGGGGCTAACGGGAGTATTAGTAATTTGTGTAGTAACAAATTACTAATAATCTTTTTTAACAAAAGCCGATTTTTCAACTGTTAGGCTTCTTGTACACGCTAAGAAATTTCACAGTGTCTGCCGCAGACAAGACAAGAAGTTCATCGGGCCTATAGTCTGGTCGCCGAACACGTAGAATTTCGTCCAATGACCCCAAGCTACTCATCCTTATCGCTCGCGCGTAATTTATTGCTGTCGCGACTGTGCGATGAGTGGCCGAAGTGAGTGTGCGAGCGCAACGGCAACCTAATTACGCGCGAGCGATAAGGATGGGTAGCTTGGGGTCATTGGACAAAATTCTACGTGCTCGGAGACCGGGCTTTAGCTACGAAAATTTGTCGCACAGTGCGCGTCCGCCGCGTGTCGTATCTAGCGCAGACAAAAATTATTTCTTGGTCAGCGCCAGAGCAATGTACTATCGGCAACAGTGTTAACTGCCCATTGCCAGTCATGTCGTCTCGTTCTATCGCAAAGAATCACCATTTGATGAGAGCGAGAGCAAAAACGGAAATGGATAGTTAAGTGTGGCCGTGTGTACACGGTTCGTGTGTAGTAACGACGAATTCTTGCGTAGGTCCCGGCGACTTTTCTTAGCGTGTACAAGCGGCCTTAGATGTATCATACAGAAAGTGATGCCAAAATATCGATTTCACCTCATAAATGTTGAAAAATCGACTGATTTTGTAATTACTTCTATTGTAAATATGATACGAGATTTAAATGATCACTATATTAAGTTGCACTTTTGCTGCTTCCAAGTTTATTTGCAATGTGAGTTGGCGGCTGCAGATCTCGAAAATTTTATCCATACAACCCAGATCCATGCAATATTTCTACATAACGTTTAAAATAACTTATAAGTTATATTTACGATAATTTCTTGGTTTAGTGTTGGCGACATAATAGAGTTCACTTCACTCACAGCATAATATCTCAACTTGATACAACTATAAAAATTCATCTTCAAACTGACAAATCCTTTGCTGTGATTGTGTCCAGTTAGGTTAAAACATAGTAATCTTGTGTATTAACGAGATAATTTAGTATAGATGACCCACGCTGAACTGTCCCACCAAACTCAATGACAGGGGGGCGCTACCATCGTTCAACTATATGGTTTCCAACATGGCAAAAATCGGAACCAGCGATCCGGTATTGACGGTGGCGCCCCACTGTCAATGTCATGCATAGGACAGTTCAGTATTTTGGAACTATATTTCGGATGCCATGTCAAGTTCTTGACCTGTCAATTCCATTTTTTTAATTTAATGTCGCAAAATTCAAATTCAAATAGTTATTTAGTAGGTACACAGGCCCTTGGTAGGGCACTTATACACGTCCTAAATATAGCTTGCCCTACCACCACTTCGGGACAACATGTGGGCTTGCTATGTGCTGAAAAGAAGTGGCGGAAGAAACTCAGTCACCATTGTCACAGTCGTAACCAGTAAATCCCCGTAAACCGAGATCTGTCAGCCCCCAACTCACCAGCTTGCCCCCACCCAGGCGCGAAGTCTTTCGCCGTCGGACACATGACGGGCGCACAGCAGACCACGGTGTCCGGACAAGTCATCACGGGACACACGCCGCCCGCGGTTCGTATACCATAGTTTTGGAACGTAACCTAATCTAACCTAACCCTGTGATGTCCGAGTGGTATTACTAACATTGTATCCATGTTCGTCTAACTTTGAATTAACATTATCTGATTCAATAACTCTTTTATACTGCGAACAGCTAGGGACTGTAATAGGTTAGATGACAAAATTTCAATTATTTGTCCGTCAGACAGATAATTAGAAAATATTAGACTCATATTTTTTATTTTCTTTCTTAATTAAATAATAACAGTGCTACATCGAGTTGAAATGGTGCGATACGTCACGCTTGAGTAGAATTTTTACTCAAAACTGACGTCACGCGACATTTCAACTCAATATAATACTGTAATTATTCGATTATGGAAAAAATAAAAAAGTATTAGTCTAATATTTTCTGATTATCTGTCTGACGGGCTAAATAGAATTTCGATTTCATTACCAAGTCATCATCCCTATTCGTCGCCTGCTGCTGTCTTTCCCGGACATTATAATCCGGGCCTTATCAAGGCGAGAGTGAGCACTTACAGGGCAGATATGTACTATCCTAGACTGTATCTCACTTAACATCAGATGCGATTTACAGTCAAATAACTACCTTGTTCTGCATTAAAAATATTTTACCTAAGTATGTGTTTAATCGTTGTCAGTCACTGGCAATTTCGATTTTACTCTAACCCCTTTTATTTTTATTTCACTAATTGACCGACTATACACAATTTGGTGGTGGAAATCTTATTCCTTTGTTATTTTCGATTCTATAGTATTTTGATCTTTCATGCACACATCAATCTTCTGACAAAGTTCAAACGGGCAGAAATATTTCTGTTGCTGTCGATTTCATTATACCTTCCAAGTCAGCTATAGATGTTATAATGCACTGAATTATTAACCGTAGATAAAAACAAATACGGAAAAAGATATGCATGAGCAATACCTATAACTAATTTCGTCATTGCATGTATTTTACATTTATATTGCTACGTAACGTGCAAGGGGCGTGGTCTGACGTGTGTATTTGTATAAGACAAGCTCATTCTAAAGCCTGGTCCGTGAGCACGTAGAATCCCGTCCAATGACCCCAAGCTGCCCATCCTTGTCGCTTGCACGTAATTATGTTGCTGTCGCGCTCGCACACGCACTGCGGGCGCCAGGCTTTAGATAATGTGTCTTAAAAGTCATAAAAATCACACTTATGCACGTCACGAGCAGTATGATCGTAAAAAACTTAACCTGCTTATGAATCTACATGTTATCATTTTGTTATTTAGTTGCATGCTTTTTCTTAGTATATTAGCACGAATGTTATTATAAACAATATTTACTAAACTATAACAAAAAACTAACCTGCAACGTTGTTTGTTCCACGCCTACTTTGGATCGCGAACAGTCGTCGAAATGGGCTGTGTAGGTACATAATGATTTTAATATGTATTCTATTATATTATATGTTTTTTATTTTACATAGATTAGTACAGAAATTGCACGTATTTAGTTATAATCTTGTAAAAGATTTTTAAATAGATAACTTTCTAGCAAAAATATTGTTGCCTAATTCTAAAGCATTTTCTAAAGTCAAATTATTGATACTAAACATAGATAATAAACAAAATACATAATACTAGACTTTGCAATTAACTAATTTTACAATGATGTATTCTACTACTAAATCTAAGACTAGGTACTAAAGTCTTACTATCATATCATCCTAGGTACCATTTTTTCAGCCAAATGACGTCCACTGCTGGACGAAGGCCTCCCCCAATGATTTCCATAACGGCAGGTCTGGCCCGCGTTCAGATACTTTCCGCGACCTTCACCAGATCGTCGGTCCACTTAGTGGAGGGCCTACCCACACTACGTCTTCATTTCATCGTTGTCTTTCTATATCACGTCATATCCAACTGCATGCAGGAAGATTTAATGAAGGTTACTGACAACGCCACTCTTGTGGCGGAGTTTTGAGCTGACACTGTGTAGGTTTGTTGTCGACACGACAAGAAGAAAATATCCAAGTAAATTAAAGTATCAATTAACAACTTGCAGGCCGCACAAGTACAGCAGACGAAGGTGACCACGGTCATGACAGAACCACAGAGGGCTCTGCTATCCACCATCACTTCGGGACGCGAGGTCATCGAGCGCGCTGAGAGCAGGCTCACCAGGGTATGTCAATTTATAGACTTTAAAATTCCTGAGCTTTCCTATTTATTTATTTGCACATTATACATATTTAACCACATAAAAATGCATACTTTTCCATTTTTGGGGTACCTACATCTGTAACCCACGCGTAACATTATGTTAATAAAAGGGCGTAGGATGAAACTTAACTAGTGTGAAATAAGTACAAATTATTGTATCACACAAACACAACTACGTTTCATCCCTGGAGTATGGAAAGATCAAATCATTCACGAGCCGTTTCAAAATAATAGCATAACATAAAGTGTTAATACTGCTCTGTAATAAGGTGAAAATGCCCCAACAGTTGCCGATTTAAAGGTCACTAGTTCGCTCCGCGTCGTCTGCTGGGCTATTGTGGTGAACCTATTCCTAACACAAGCACTATGGTGTCTCAGAGACCCGAGACGGGCCCAAAGTGGTCAATTAAAGTATACCTCAGTGTTAACAACGCCATATTTGCCCACAGGCCAACATCCCAGAGTTGGGCGGAGATGCAGCCTCCATCAAGTGGAAGCAGGTCACCATGGACAGCAGCAAGCAGGCCGTGACGTCACACATCGCCGCCATGAACGCGGCCACCGCGCAGGTCGTCACACTCACCTCAGGTACGAGTCACCCCATATACGGTACTCGTCACACTCACATACGGTACTCGTCACACTCATATACGGTACTCGTCACACTCACATACGGTACTCGTCACACTCACATACGGTACTCGTCACACTCACATACGGTACTCGTCACACTCACATACGGTACTCGTCACACTCACATACGGTACTCGTCACACTCACATACGGTACTCGTCACACTCACATATGGTACTCGTCACACTCACATACGGTACTCGTCACACTCATATACTGTACTCGTCACACTCTTATACCGTACTCGTTACACTCGTCAAGCTCACCTTAGGTATTCGTCACATTCGTCACGCTTATCTCAGGTACTCGTCACACTCGACACGCTCTCCTCTGGTAGGTACTTGTTACAGCTGCAGTGGAAGCCGCTATAAACTTGTCCTAAATTTTCCACGGGTGACATATGACGTAACAGCATACAAGTCTGAAGTCTCGCTGGCATTTGACGTCACAAAAACACCTTCCCATGCCTGTAGGAAACTACATTTTGAATAATATAATATATCTACTACGAGAGAAAACCATAATATGTATTATGTAATGTGATCCCGGCTCCTTGGATCATTACACATGACCATTTATTGATTCACCCTTTATTGATTCCCATTCATTAATACTATAGTACAAATAGTATCAATAGTAATCCTATTGTAATTAACTAATATTATTTCGTCACTCATTTTATTCATAATTTCAATTTTATATTACCGGTGAATAAAGAAAAAAATCGCCATTATTCAGCATCACCTCTTTCTCCCCAGGTCCAACCGAAGAAGTAGACCACACAGCAGTAGGTGCAGCCATCACTACCATCACCACCAATCTTCCCGAGATGACCAAAGGCGTGCAGATGATCGCGGCGCTGATGGAAGACGATGGAGACAGACTGCTGGATGCTACCAGGAAGCTGTGTGTGGCTTTCTCGGATCTGCTGACGGCTGCTGAGCCGGAGACTAAGGAGGTAAGGTTCCTTGATATCATCAACAGGATATGTGATAAGAACACCTGCTTCAGACCCAGAGGTCTCCAGTTCGATTGACAGTGGGGACAAATTTCTCTGTTTGTATGATGCGGCGCTGATGGAAGATAGTGATCGCCTTCTGGATGACTCTCTTCTTTGACCTTTGACTTGCTGACGGCGGCTGAGCCGGAGGCTAAGGTCTAATGGTAAGACTACTTGCTTCAGACCCAGACGTCCCGGGTCGATTCCCAGTGGGGACAGATTTTTGTGTGTGTATGATGCAGCGCTGATGTAAGATGGCGACCGACTTCTAGATGACGCTCTTCTCATCTTCTTCTTTGACCTTTGACTTGCTGATTGCGACTGAGCCAGAGATTAAGGAGGTGAGGTTCCTTTACATCATCATCATCACCACCAACCTTCCTGAGATGACCAAAGGCGTGCAGATGATCGCGGCGCTGATGGAAGACGATGGAGACAGACTCCTGGACGCTACCAGGAAGCTGTGTGTGGCTTTCTCAGATCTGCTGACGGCGGCTGAACCAGAAACTAAAGAGGTGAGGTTTATCATCATCATCATCATCACCAACCTTCTAGAGATGATGAAAGGATTGCAGATGATGGTGCTAGACTGCTGGACGCTACTAGGAAGCTGTGACGTTTATTTATATCATCATCAGGGCCTCTGCGGTCTAATGGTAAGACCAACTAACTAAGGTGATTGGTGACAGACTGCTGGTAAGTGGCTAGTGATAAGACTACTTGCTTCAGACCCAGAGGTCTCGAGTTCGATTGACAGTGGCGACAGATTTTTCTGTGGTGTATGATGCGGCGCTGATGGATGATCTGCTGACGGCTGCTGAACCGGAGACGAAAGAAGTAAGTGATAGAGACAGCTGGTAACCAAACCCTGAACTTTGGGTCACTGGCCTGGGTTACAGGTGTTCCTCAAAGTCGCTGAGAGTTGTTAGAAACTATTATTCTTGCGACGTTTAGGTTAACGCAATTTTAGTGACAGCTAAAAAGATAAGCGGGGTTACTCCAAAAAACGTTATCCGAAGTTTCGAATGTAGCCATCCCTCTCACGCAAAGAGAGATGCCAGCTTCACTGACGGTGACAGATAGACTCGAAACTATGTAAGCAGCGTTTCGGAGTAGCTCTACAGGTTCTAACTACTCTACGATACGATTTTTTAACTGATGGTGCCTTCTAGTAACTTCACATATGCACCAACTACGTAACATTTCAAAATTACAAAGTGCCAGTTTTTTGAACCGCTGTCAAATTAACCCATTGTCTTTAATGAGAAGTGGTAAAATAACTCCAAAATGCGATTGAAACAATAGTTACTTGACTTAAGGTCCTATGTCCCCTAGATGGGGCAGACCCTAGGTGGGTCCACAACAGTCCTCCATTTCGTTTGGTCTTGAGCTTCGCGCTTGATCTCGCTCCAATAAATAGTTAACTTGAATTTTAATAATAAACTCTTTCTTTTTCAAGAACTCTTGTAAAGAGGTACGCTCGCACATACTAAAACTGTCCATCCATCTTTCCAGCCGCGCCAGAACCTTCTCAACGCAGCTTCCCGCGTCGGCGAAGCCTCCACATCCGTCCTGCACACCATCGGCGAAGAGACCGAAGAAGACAAGGAGACCCAGGTAACCGACGACCGCCGCGCCGGCAAGAAATCCTTCCTTTACAGAAAACTAAACTACTGCTACGACAACTTCTACAAAGCATTCTTTAAAGGAGACGACTATGACACCGACTTTGACAGCAAGAAGTATGAAGACGATGGCATATATGAGGACGTCGATACCAGTCATAACTGGGGCATGCTAGATGTGATACAGGAGGAGTCTGATAGCGACTATTATAGGAGCTTAGATTATTGCAACGCGATGTTTAGGAAAAATAAACCGGTGGTAGAAGATAGCACTAAAAATGGCGATTATGAAGCTATTCTGATGAATTGCGAGAACTATTTGGACAGTAAAAATGTTAAGGATAACGGTGTAGGTGTAGACAGTAAAATTGATAATACAGATCATAAAAGCGACTACGAATATATCAAAATTAATAAAAACCTCGACACAAATGACCAACCGAAACTGTACCCAAAGAGTACAATCACAGACAAAATATACAACTTCAAAAAAGACTTCTCGAATCACGATTACGTTAACGTCAACTTCCACGACTACGAAAACGTCAATTTGGATAGAAAAACTAAAAACGATATCCTCCGCGAGCGATTCTTTTTAGGCGTTAACGACAAAAATGACATTAACGATCGCTTCAATCGTAGTAATGACAAAAAGATCGAGTGTCACAGCATCCGGAATGACGTCACTAAAACCGGGCCGGACGTCAAAGTGTCCGGATCGCTTAACATGAAGTTACTTAACTTGGACAAATATAACCGGGTTTTAACAACCACTGAGACGTTCGTAGAAAAGGCCGAAGCCAGTTTCACTAGGAATCAACTCAGCAAAAATAATAAAGATTTCGAATCGTTCATCAAACGTAGCGAAAAGTACTATACAACGGAGTCCCGTGATAGAAAAACTACAGTCGAACTAAATAACACGAAAGACACCCCTAAGGGTAAAACTGAGATCCGTATTTTCTATAATCCGACATTCAAAACCACTGGCGATAGATACATACGAGGTTTTTGTGAGTTTTGTAAACGCAGATGCCCCAGATCTGAGCAAAAGTGCTGCCCCAAATGCATTTGTTTGGAATTAGAATTCAAACAGATATGGAGAGAGAATTGGCTAAACATACTGCTGTTTATAGCGATGATTGTTGTCATGCTATCGTTGCTAGTGCAGTGTTTCATGCCCAAAGATGTGTGCGATGGGGTGACTGGTAACGGGACGGATGAAAAGTGTTTTGAGATGATTTGATGATGATGCGAAAGGATATGAACGTAGGCTTGATCTCTGAATCATACATGTTACTATTTATTAACAGAACTTGCTGTTTTCTTAATTTTGAATGGCACCATTAATATTCTTAGGGCTAGGGGAAGCGGGAATCAGGGGGAGGGTAGCTTAAAATACGATCTATTTATTTATTTTTCATGATATTTTCCTACAATTATTGATTTAAAGCGTGTCACTTATAACAATTTACTTATACTTTACAATATGAACTAGAAATAAAGCAAACGTCCTAAGGACGTAGAGTTAGAACCAGGGACGCTATATCAATTATCTGGAGTCCTATGTACAGTTAGCGTCAATTAGTTCGTGACACCCAAAGTAGCCAAAAAGTTCGCAACACGTCTTTGTTACAATGGAAATAAGGTTGTGTTGACAAGTTTTTGACCACTTTGGGTGTCTCGAAGTATTTGACGCTGACTTTATACTCATCTAGACTTATGTTTCTATCGGTGCTTGTATACTTCACTAAGGTATTGACTATACAGGGTGACAGGTAAAGCGATACATTCCTTGAAAGAGGTTAAAGTAGAGCTTATTTGCAGTCATTTAAGTCATATGACACCATGTCCGAAACTTGTTCATTTCCAAGTTATTCAAGATTTAAGTATTTTTAAAAAAATCTCCAGTTTTTATGTTAAAATGTACCCTTGTAATGAAGAATACGAAATAATGTTAACTTTTTTGTTGTATTCGTATAGCTAAATAACAAGATTGACATTTTAAATTAAACTTTGCAAGAAAGAATCGTCATTACTCAAGTAAAAGCTAAAAAACCATGTATTATTTTGCAAAAAAAAATTGTTTTAGGTAATTAAACGAAGAATTTCCAAGAAACAATGTATGGAATGTTGTGTACAAATTACAGAATTTAGTTCCTTGATTCATTAGCTATTCAAAAAGGTACAGGTGTTTAACAAACACTACATAATTATTTTTTTATTTGAATTTAAACGTCTAGTAAGATACTTTCATAAAAAAATTAATAATTAAAAAAATCACTCTAACAACTAATCTTGGGTCTCAAAAAATGAAAAACTTAGAATTTTAATAATAATTGTATCACCTAATTTTATTTAGGTACATTATTTTAAGTCCTGCTCAAACTGTGAGCCCCGTCTTCTAATACAAGCTCGTAGTCTGTTTCTCACTTCTGTTTTTGTGACTCTTGTTGTCAAACTTTGCTGAATATCTTGAGCTGCCCTCTGAATGCGCTCACGAAGCTTTCACACACACAGCACACTTTCGGCTCAGTGTACGCCAATGGATGGATCAACAATATCCACTTCGTTGGATTGGGCGCGGTGGACCCATTCCTTGGCCAGCCAGAAGTCCGGATCTGACCCCTTGCGATTTTTATTTATGGGGTCACATGAAGTATCTCTTGTATGTAACCCCCGTAAACAACGAGCAAGAGCTTCGTGAGCGCATTCAGAGGGCAGCTCAAGATATTCAGCAGTTTGACAACAAGAGTCACAAAAACAAAAGTGAGAAACAGACTACGAGCTTGTATTAGAAGACGGGGCTCACAGTTTGAGCAGGACTTAAAATAATGTACCTAGATAAAATTAGGTGATACAATTATTATTAAAATACTAAGTTTTTCATTTATTTAGACCCAAGAACAGTTGTTAGTGTGACTTTTTTATTTATTTATTTTATTATGAAAGTATCTCACTAGACGTTTAAATTCAAATAAAAAAATAATTAAGTAGTGTTTGTTAAACACCTGTACCTTTTTGAATAGCTAATGAATCAAGGAACTAAATTCTGTAATTTGTACACAACATTCCATACATTGTTTCTTGGAAATTCTTCGTTTAATTACCTAAAACAATTTTATTTTGCAAAATAATACATGGTTTTTTAGCTTTTACTTGAGTAATGACGATTCTTTCTTGCAAATTTTAATTTAAAATGTCAATCTTGTTATTTAGCTATACGAATACAACAAAAAAGTTAACATTATTTCGTATTCTTCATTACAAGGGTACATTTTAACATAAAAACTGGAGATTTTTTTAAAAATACTTAAATCTTGAATAACTTGGAAATGAACAAGTTTCGGACATGGTGTCATATGACTTAAATGACTGGAAATAAGCTCTACTTTAACCCCTTTCAAGGAATGTATCGCTTTACCTGTCACCCTGTAGATCTGAATACTAAACTACCTATTCCACCTATACAATTACCTTTATTATTTTTTCTATTGTTATTTTTGAATTTATTTTTATATTATTCGCATGACAGCTATTTTTTTGTTTTGTCTTATTTAGTTAAGTACTTTTTATTGTATTTTCATATTTTTTAATTGTTTTCTTTCATTTTGACCTTCAATGAAGACCACAGAGATGCGTCAGACCTAATCTCAATTAATTTTATCATTTAATTTTTATTATTTTATTCTAAATGCTTTTCTTAATAAAGACGAATTTAAGTGGCGCATCTCGGTTGTCAGTCTTTTGTATAAAGACAAAACTGTAAAATAAAAAGACTGCAAAATGACAATATTTATTTATTAGTTAGTGAGAATACTGGGCGACTAGCATTTTGGACTTAGTTATTATACATAGAGAAAAACTTATTTCTTTTATTTTTTCTCTTGAACCTTGTTTCGTAAAGTCATGAAATCGGCATTTTAGAAAAGCGAAACAAAATAAAATCATATACATACTTTAAAATACATCTTTAGCAAAAACATTGTTATATTCAGACGTTGTTTTTTATAAAAAAAACCACCTGTACTTATTATTATTTTTATTATTATTGGCAGCTCATATAACTCTAGTCGTGTATGTTCATAGTCATTTTGGAACTATTAATTAAATATCGCTCATCGCCCAGTATTAGACCTTGGACATGACAACGTGAAATTGTGAACTCCGTCAGTTTATAATATGCCGCGTGAGATTGTCAACTGACAGTGGGTTAAGTTAGATTGTAATCTAACTACGTCAGATTATAAACTGACGGAATTCACAATTTTACAGTGCCACAAGGTACAAGGTGTCCAAGGTTTTATGTTTTATTTTCGTTGTTTACTTAATTTGTTTATACATTTGTTAACATCGTGGTAAGGCTTCACTAATCTAGTCTTTTAATTTTATTTTAAGGTTTTACGCCTATGTATAAAGCGGCTGTTGACCAAAATTTTAAATTAACAAAATTATTTTTAATTATTAAAAAAAAATTGTAACATGTTACATTGCAAAAGTTTTATAACATGTTAAAACACTTCCAGAAAACAATATTTGGCATTTATATGGGGGAGTGAAGTTTTTTGAGTTCCAAAAAAGTATATATTTCAGTATTTATTTAGTATTGGAGAAAAAGTTATATCAGTATTATAATTTGGTATCAAAAATCAACAGCAACATTATTTTTAATTTTGGTTTTGGTTATTTTTTAAATATTAATAGTAACAGATGTACATATCCAACTACTAATAATATTAAATTGTTAATATTATTAATTTTAACGCTGTGAAATAATAGTACAAAATGAATGTTATTTTTGCCATTTTATTTTTAAAGTACAGTCAATCACATGTGCCATTATTTAAAAAACATTCTAGTTTTTTTTTTCTTAAAGTCTATTCAAATAAATGTTTAAAAGTTTATTTTAATTTGGTAAACGTATTTAGAAAATATTAATTATTGTGAATGACTGTTTACTTAATTTATTTGTCCATTGAGATTTGGTGATATCTTTTAAAAATGCCATTAACAATTAATAAGTTTAATTTTTATAATCTCGGTGGACATACATTTATTTTATTTACAGACATTTTTATGAATAAAAAAATACGTACACTCACAAAAAAAACTAGAAACTAAAACTACTAATTTGTAAAAAAAAAACTACTATAAATTAATAAAGTTGCAGATCCAAAGAGTAGTTTTTATGTTTGAAAGCGAGTGTAAGTGTTTGCCACAAGATATATTTTGTTACTCTTATTTGACATTGTACTTATCATTTTTAAGTTAGTTTTAGTTCAACAAGGTTCAAATGAGACGTTAATTTAAAAAGTTAAGTATTTATCACTCACTATAAAAAACAGGCTGACTTTTCAATCCTCGGATAACTTTTAATTTAACTGACTATAAAATTCATAATCAAAATAAGAAGAAGACTATAAAATTTATATTTTGCCAGAATTATGTGTCATATAGAAACTGTCAGTATGTTAAACTTTCTGCAGATAAATGTTATCCGACGATTGTTTTTTTTAAATTGGGATCAGAACATTTTTTATGGACAGTAACTTGTATTTTTTTATCCATTTTAAATCGGCTAACTTAGGATGCGCGTCAAGATAAAATCTTATCATGGATTTGAGACGATAAGCCTATACATTTGTCAAATCGACGATAAAATTTTATCGTGGCGTGCATTCTAGGCTCCTTTTGCATATTTCTTTATCCACTTCTTTTGCTGTTTTTTAATTCTTTTTATGTTTTTTTCTTTTCTTTTTATTTTATTTTAAATTTTCTTCTCATTTGAACCTTCGTATTTTTGGTTTTGGTTACATATAACACACTGCCGGTGGTTATTTTTGTTAATACATTTGCTTGAGCACACACAACGAGTTTTTATTTGCGACTAACTGTCCGCTAAGTGAATGTAGTGACAAAAATAACGACACCCAGCACTTTAAGGGGACTTTTGACACATTTTTTTTTGGATCTTTGACACATTTTTTTTAAATTTGACACTTTTTTCAAAAATAATAGAAAAAATTGTATATAATTGTAAATAGCCAGTATAAGAGTCCTCTATTATAGTGAGATTGGGTGCTGTAAATACTAACATACCCCCTTCAAAGTACAGTCAACAGTACATCAGACTAAAGAAAGAAAGAAATAAATATTTATTTGGTACTAAAAATTGACTATACATGTATGTATGTGGAAAAAACGTTCTTAGCACAACTAGATAAGTTACTACAATGTCTGGCTTGATGTGCTGTCGTCCGTACTTTATCACAAATATAAACATCTGTACATATTTTGAGAACTGGAGTATTCAGATTGCCTGAACAATAGTCAATAGACAATATCTTTATTGCAAAACATAGACAATTTATATTCGGAGAAATACCAGTCAAATGTTTGTGTAATGAATAATTTTATGAGGTCAAACATCGAGTCATAATATTTGGACAAGACCCGATCTTAGTCTGTACTTATATTTATATTTATCAATCAAAAAATTGCTCCATTTGATTATGGGTTAAAATGTAACCCATGTTACCTGTTATGCGATAGTAACTATGCATAATAACGAATCTATTGACAATTTGTTCATCAAAATCAGATGAATAGTTTAGGTGCTACGGAATAACGGAAAATAATAACGTAAATACAAACAGATAAACTGCTAAAATCATTGGCTTCACCGTAGTTAAGTAAAAATCACACTTGAGTGTGTTTGAAGTGAGGGTGCGTGACAGGGATAGCAACATATGCACAATAAATAGGATAGACAAGCAAACAGTGCTATTATTATCTGTTTGTATAAAACATCAATGTTGCAGCGACGCAAGGACTCAATTTATTTAGGTTTACTCAAACAAAACTAAGATATATCATTTATGTAGTTGATACATTCGTTAGTTGTCGTCATGAGTGTAGTAATATCCAATGTCTAAGTAGCTCAGACGACAGAGCAGTCGCCAGGCAAGCGAAGGGTCGTGGGTCGATTCCCACCTTAGGCAATTTTATTTTTTTAAGTTATTAAAAATAAATACTTACTCCCTTACTAATGAAAGTTCAACACATGTTAAAACCTAGTTTAAAGTGACTTTTAGTATGGAAATCTCATTTTAAACTACTCAATGAGCTTGAAACTTTTTACTAAAGTACGGACAACTAGCAGCGATACAAAAGGTCGATACGACTGTCGAGTTGACAATATATTCTGTCTCTTTCCATCTTGTGTATTTGTCGTAATGTCTCTTTCTCCCGCCAAAATATGTCAAAGTCAGACGGGTTCACCCATGACATTGGGTTTGTTTACATTCGGTATCGCTTCTCGTTGGCCGTAGTTTAGAGGGGGATAGATGTGAAATTCATAATCTATCGACAAAATACTAGACGCTTAGAATATTCTCCGCCCGCAGGACATCCTGCTCTCCCTGGCTAAGGCCGTGGCCAACACGACAGCGGCGTTGGTCCTCAAAGCCAAGAACGTGGCGGCCGCGTGTCGCGACGACCCGCCGCTGCAGAACCAGATCATAGCTGCTGCTACTGATGCTGCCCTCGCTACGAGTCAGCTGGTGGCTTGTGCTAAGGTGAGCATAGATTAAGAGGAACTATAGCTAGCTAAGACTATTCCAGGCTGCTGGTATTCAAAGCCAGATTAGATCAAAGGCTGATCAATACCACAGCGCCGCTGGCACTCAAGGCTAAGAACTAAGTGGCCGCGTGTCGCGACGACCCGTCGCTGCTGAACCAGAAAATCGCCATAAAGTATATTACTTGCGTTAGCTAAGGCCGGGGTCAATACCAAAGCGGCGCTAGTACTCAAAGTTAAGAGCATAGCGGCTGCTACCGACGCCACGCTCGCTACCAGCCAGCTGGTGGCTTGTGCTAAAGTGAGGATAGAGTAGATTGTTACTATAGCTAAAGGGAGATACCATACGGGCGTGAAAACGACAAAATATCACGTGTGAAATGGACAAAGAAGTGGGGGGATGCGGGGAGGGGTGCTGAGGTGCGATGGCAGTGACAAAGTAGAGTGTCAAAGGTGACAACTGCTAGTTCAAAGACTGACATATTATTCACCAACGCTGTGACATCTCACTGCTCATGTGGGCACTCGATGCGTTGAAATCATTACGTTGCGACAACACAGCACACTTGTTACGCCCGCGTAGTATCTCTGTAAGCCTAGGCGCAGACCACCGACTTTTAGTTGACCGATAGTTGGGCCCGATTCTAATTTGTATGAAGAATCGTCCGATACCAAGTCAGTGTAATTTGTGCACTTTCATACATGCCCATACTGATTAACAGCCCGAACCAACTATCGGCCAACAAAAATCGGTGGTCTGCACGTAGGCTTAGGGCGTGTGTTGACGAGTCAGTTTCTACCCGGTCAGGTGTCGAGCCAGTACAGTTATTTTAGCGATAGTCGACCCGGCGATAAACCGGCCCGTCCGCAACGCCGGACTGGATAGAAACCGACTCGTCAACACACACCTTAAGTCTGGCGTGAGAATTAGTCCCTTATGTCTGCAGCAACCCTTACTAATAAATAATCCTAATTTCCTTCACCCAGGTGGTAGCCCCAACGCTACACAGCGCGGCCTGCCGCGAGCAAGTCGTCAGCGCGGCCCGAGCGGTCGCCGGCGCGGTCGAGCGGCTGCTACAAGCGGCGCCGCCTGCCGCCGCCGCACCGCACCGCCTGCCTGACGCGGCGAAACGGGTCACTGACGAGCTGGATCGCTTGCTGGCTCACTGCACGCTCGGTGAGTGTCTCTAGTCTCTCAGCAAGTCGTCAGCGCGGCCCGAGCGGTCGCCGGCGCGGTCGAGCGACTCCTACAAGCGGCGCCGCCTGCCGCCGCCGCGCCGCACCGTCTGCCTGACGCGGCGAAACGGGTCACTGACGAACTAGATCGGCTGTTGGCTCACTGCACGCTCGGTGAGTGTCTCTAGTCTCTCAGCGAGTCGTCAGAGGTCGCTAGTGTAGAGAGAGGCTGCTACAAGCGGCGCCGCCCGCCGCCGCCGCGCCGCACCGCCTGCCTGACGCGGCCAAGCGCGTCACTGACGAACTAGATCGGCTGTTGGCTCACTGCACTCTTGGTGAGTGTCTCTAGTCTCTCAGCGAGTCGTCAGAGGTCGCTAGTGTAGAGAGAGGCTGCTACAAGTGTGCACGACGTGGCCAAGCGCCTCACTGACGAACTGGACCGCTTGCTGGCTCACTGCACTCTTGGTGAGTGTCTCTAGTCTCCCAGCAAGTCGTCTGAGGTCGCTAGTGTAGAGAGAGGCTGCTACAGGTGTGCCCGACGCGGCCAAGCGCGTCACTGACGAACTAGATCGGCTGTTGGCTCACTGCACGCTCGGTGAGTGTCTCTAGTCTCTCAGCAAGTCGTCAGAGGTCGCTAGTGTAGAGAGAGGCTGCTACAAGTCGCCAGTCACCGCCTGCCCGTCGCGGCCAAGCGCGTCACTGACGAGCTTGACCGCTTGCTGGCTCACTGCACGCTCGGTGAGTCTATAGTCTTATCATCATCATCATCATTTCAGCCTCAGGACGTCCACTGCTGGACAAAGGCCTCCCCCAGGAACTCTCACAAAAACGATAGTCTAATAAAATACAATCCTGTTCATCATCAGCAGGTCATTGTAAAAGCAAGACCACTCTAAAGAGGGTTTTATATACACTTCCGACGCTGGCCAGACATGGCTTGAAGAAGCCTGATCTCATGTTTGTCCCTACTCTACTCTGCCCGAATCAAGCTGCTAAGAATCATCTTTCTCCAGCTCGCTTCGAAATAGCAACTTTAAAATGTTATCTATAACTTGCTAACCCAGTTCCTTCTTCCCAACAGAGCGCCACGCCCAAGCGACAGTGACCGAGCGAACAGTGGAGACAGTAATGACGGCATCCGAGCGAGTGGTGGGCGCCGGCGACGCTACTGAAATGGTGCGACATGCCAGACAGCTGGGACAGGCTACAGCGCACCTTATCACTAATATTAAGGTACGTGTGACAGCGATGACGGTGAATGGTGACAGTATGACGGCGAGCAGTGACGGTGGTGACGGCGAGCAGTGACGGTGGTGACGGCGAGCAGTGACGGTGGTGACGGCGAACGGTGATAGCGATACCATACGTGAGGTTAAGACTAGCAATTTAATTTGCAGAAGTTGACTTCAGCAAGCTGTCACCAGTGTCGCCATTGTGTAAATCTTGCAGAAGTTAGCTTGCCACACAGTAACAGCTTGTAGAAGCCAACTGCAAGTTATATTGATGAACCTGGCTATATGAATTATTACTAAATACTTTCACTCTACTTCATTTCTTCGAGACCTCAGTTATTGATACCAAACATTATTACGCTAAGGGCTGATTTTTCAATAACTTTTAACTGAAGAATAAGTTTGACTCATTGACAGTTTCTGTGTAGGAAACATGTCAAAATGACAAGTTTATCCTTCAGTTATAAGATACTAGCTGACCCGGCGAACTTTGTTCCGCCTTAATGGCAATAAATAAGCAGACTTTTTTATTTTGAACGGAATAAAAAGTATCCTATGTCCTTCTCCTGGCTCTAAACTACCTCCCTGACAATTTTCAGCTAAATCGGTTCAGCCGTTCTTGAGTTATAAGTGGAGTAACTAACACGACTTTCTTTGACGATTGAAAAATTAGCCCTAAGGTCCACAATTATCCCAGTACACAATGATCTATCTATCCACAGACGGAGGCAGAGAGCCAGCCTTCGGAATCGCAGCGCAAGTTGTTAGCAGCCGCCAAGCTGCTGGCCGATGCCACTGCCAGGATGGTGGAAGCTGCTAGACAGTGCGCTTCGTCGCCACAGGTATACAGCTTTATTTAACCTATGACACGTTAACATAGAGCATTTTAATTGTTTTGAGGGAATAAGGTTAAATTTTTGGTGGCTATGATATAACGTAGCCAGTGTCCAATAAAGTGTTAACCGTTTATACTTGGGAAATTGTATCAAAAATGTTTCACAATATCTTGTAGACGTGTCACGGTCTGGTTGTTAAATTAAAATGACCGAGTTAAAAAATATAAAATTATAGTAATTTAATGTTATGGTATTTCCTGTAATAAATAAGTTGACCAAGGACCAGGAGTAGAACCATTCCTACTTTCCTTGAATTTTAATTAATAGACAAAATTATGCTAACATCAGTCCTCCTCAACCCGACTCATGAGCGTAGGCTAAATTCTCCACTTGACTGATAAATTGGAAAAAGTCGTGTTGCCTGCAGAAGATACTACAAATCTGATGATGATGACTAAGTTATTTCAATTTCTTTCGCCTCTTGTTTTTACTAATAGCTCGTAGGGCAAGCTACTCGTATGAAAAAGCCTGCATAATTCAAATTCAAATATTTTATTCAGTACATGGGCACTTATACACGTCCCAAATATACATAACTTCCCCTACCACCACTTCGGGACAACATATGGGCTGGTGCTGAGAAGAAGTGGCAGAAGAAACTCAGGGTTCATATACTATAGGGTTTATTATATTCCCCAGGACCGCGAGAAGCAAGACGCCCTCCGCAAGGCAGCAGAAGAAGTTAGATACATTACGGCGGACTACGCGCAAGGACAGGACATTATCGGCTCTCAAGTCGCGCGGTTACAGGTAAGATATATTGTGAAAAAGACTTAAGTTGTATGAAGTACCATAATCTCTTGTAAGCTGCCTGTTCATAAATTCAAATCACAGACGAAGAAAATCCAAAACAATGAAAAAGGAAACTTTTATTAGTAACTCGCGGCCAGCCCCGGCTTCGCACGGTTGCAATGGAATTTCCCGGCTTTTCTCTTCTATAATATGCATTTTTTATACCTATAAACATTCCTCTTGATTCACTCTATCTATTAACAAAAACCGCATCAATATCCGTTGCGTAGTTCTAAAGATCTAAGCATACATAGGGACAGACAGCGAAAAGTGACTTTGTTTTTTTATTTTATACTATGTAGTGATATTCCCGTTAGTCTCCATTTAAGCTAAATAAATTAAATTGCTTGTGTTACTAGGTGCACCACAATAGTCCAAAAGACAATGTAGATCAATTAAAATAGTAAGACACGGGTCTTAACGCGACGTTAATAATGAGTTAGGTACATAATGTACTCACTTCTGCACTTCTGAGTCTGCTTGTGACCACGGCTGCAGCATCGCAGCCGAAACGTCAAGCCGTGAGTACATAATGTAACTCATTAATAAACGTCGCGTTAAGACCCGTTTCTTACTATTTTAATTGAAATGGAACGCGAAAGTTTAAAATCGAATGTAGATCAAATTAGCGTTTATCAAATCTTGAATCTGTAATCCTACACTCACAACTTTGTCTGTTATATTACAAAATATTTTAGTAGAAAGATGAAAGAAATGAATACATACTTATTGCATTTTCTCCCACAGGAAAGCGCCCGGCAAGCTGCTTCAAGCGCCAACCAGATGATAACGTCGGCGCAGAATGCCACTCAGTACAATACCAACAAATACTCGCAGGTAAGCATTGTCTATGTATTGCTGAATAATTTAGTGTGTTTACGACTTCGTCCGCTTGAATATCGTTCTATCACAGAAATACTTGCGTGCGTTTCCCTTTCAAAAATCGAGATACAAAGTTACCTATGTTTTTGTTTTTGATACCTAAAACACTTTTATCTATTGTTGAAAACCGCATGAAAATTTGTTTAGTAGTTTTTCAGTCATTCGCCTATAGACAGATAAAGTCCGGTCATCGAGTAGATTGAATTTCGTCCAATGACCCCAAGCTACCCATCCTTATCGTTCGCGCGTAATTATATTGCTGTCACGCTCACTTACTTACTGAGGCCGCCCGTCACACGACTTAAGATGCACTGGAAGACTTTGTTTTATAGAAGGACTAGCGGCCGCCCGCGACTTCGTACGTGTGGATCCCGTTTTACTTACCTTAGGGGTGGAGTTTCGTAAAATCCTTTCTTAGCGGATGCCTACGTCATAACATCTACCTGCATGATGCCCGATCCGTCCAGTGGTTTGGGCTGTGCGTTTATAGATCACTATGTCAGTCAGTCACCTTTGAGTTATATTCGCCTATAGACAGATAAAGTCCGGTCATCGAGTAGATTGAATGAATTTCGTCCAATGACCCCAAGCTACCCATCTTTATCGCTCGCGCGTAATTATATTGTTGTTATGCTCACACACTTACTGCGTCCGCCCGTCACATGACTAGATGCGTTGGAAGACTTTGTTTTATAGTGATAGTATAACTTTCAACCTTAAATCTTCTTGTCATAATGTCTCGTATGTTTATATCCGTTGTCCAGTACCCATAGTACAAGCTTTGCTTAGTTTGGGACTAGAAGCGTAGTGTAAAATGTCCAAAGATAATTATTTATTTTACAACCGCATGTTCTATTCGCAGGAGACGCTCCTCCAAGAGTGCCAGACGCTAAGTTCCCAAGTCCCGCGCGTGCTGGACGCGGCTCAGGCGTCCAGCACGAGGCCCGGCGCCGCCGCCGCCCAGCTCGACCTCATCTCAGCCTCCGAAGCCTTGCTACAGGTATAGTGCTGATGCTGCAGCTGCCTGGCACCTGTCTAGGCTGCTCCTCCAAGCTGTCTACAGCTGCGTGGCACCTATGTTGCCGTCCCTCTCACGCAAAGAGAGAGGCTAGAAAGAGTGACAGTGACAGATAGACCTCATATCAGCCTCTGAAGCCTTGCTGCAGGTCAGTGCTGATGCTGCAACTATAGTCCGGTCGCCGAGCACGTAGAATTTCGTCCAATGACCCCAAGCTACCCATCCTTATCACTCGCGCGTAATGAGGGCTATCGTTTTTATACTTAACAGTTGGCACCCCTGGCGATTGACAGGACCTTACTCTACAGTAGCGCCATCTTGATGAGTGCAAATGCGATAGTCCTCCTACCACTTTAGCGCTCACCAGTTGCCGCCACTGTCTTCGCTACTAGCAAGTGACAGGACCTTACTCTACAGTGGCGCTAACTAGTGAGCGCTAAAACGATAGCCCTCATTATGTTGCTGTCGCGCTCGCACACTCACTGCGGGCGCCCGTCGCACAGATGCAACAGCAATATAATTACGCGCGAGCGATAAGGATGGGTAGCTTGGGGTCATTGGACGAAATTCTACGTGCTCGGCGACCGGGCTTTACCTAGCACCTGTGTTGCCGTTCCCCTCACGCAAAGCGAGACGCCAGTAGAAGCGACGGTGACAGATAGACCTCATCTCTGCTTCCGAAGCCTTGCTGCAGGTATAGTGTTCACAGCAGGATGCTGCAGCTGCCTGGCACCTGTCCAGGCTGCTCCTCCAAGAGTGCCAGACGCTAAGTTCCCAAGTCCCGCGCGTGCTGGACGCGGCTCAGGCGTCCAGCACGAGGCCCGGCGCCGCCGCCGCCCAGCTCGACCTCATTTCAGCCTCCGAAGCCTTGCTACAGGTCAGTGCTGATGCTGCAGCTATAGTCCGGTCGCCGAGCACGTAAAATTTCGTCCAATGACCCCATGCTACCCATCCTTATCGCTCGCGCGTAATGAGGGCTATCGTTTTTATACTTAACAGTTGGCACCCCTGGCGATTGACAGGACCTTACTCTACAGTGGCGCCATCTTGATGAGTGCAAATACGATAGTCCTCCTACCACTTTAGCGCTCACCAGTTGCCGCCACTGTCTTCGCTACTAGCAAGTGACAGGACCTTACTCTACAGTGGCGCTAACTAGTGAGCGCTAAAACGATAGCCCTCATTATGTTGCGGTCGCGCTCGCACACTCACTGCGGGCGCGCGTCGCACAGTCGCGACAGCAATATAATTACGCGCGAGCGATAAGAATGAGTAGCTTGGGGTCATTGGACAAAATTCTACGTGCTCACAGACCGGGCTTTACCTAGCACCTGTGTTGTCGTCCCTCTCACTCAAATCGAGGGGCTAGAAAGAACGACAGTGACAGATAAACCTCATCTCAGCCTCTGAAGCCTTGCTGCAGGTATAGTATTCATAGCAGGATGCTGCAGCTGCCTGGCACCTGTCCAGGCTGCACCTCCAAGAGTGCCAGACGCTCAGCTCGCACGTCCAGCGGCCCAGCTCGACCTCATCTCAGCCTCCGAAGCCTTGCTACAGGTCAGTGCTGATGCTGCAGCTATAGTCCTGTCGCCGAGCACGTGGAATTTCGTCCAACGACCCCACGCTACCCATCCTTATCGCTCGCGCGTAATGAGGGCTATCGTTTTTATACTTAACAGTTGGCACCCATGGCGATTGACAGTGATTTTGATTGACTCTACAGTGGCGCCATCTTGATGAGTGCAAATGCGATAGTCCTCCTACCACTTTAGCGCTCACAAGTTGGCGCCACTGTCTTCGCTACTAGCAAGTGACAGGACCTTACTCTACAGTGGCGCTAACTGGTGACCGCTAAAACGATAGCCCTCATTATGTTGCGGTCGCGCTCGCACACTCACTGCGGGCGCCCGTCGCACAGATGCAACAGCAATATAATTACACGCGAGCGATAAGGATGGGTAGCTTGTGGTTATTGGACGAAATTCTACGTGCTCAGCGACCAGGTTTTACCTAGCACCTGTGTTGCCATCCCTCTTAAGCACAGCTAGGGGCTAGAAAGAGCGACAGTGACAGATAAACCTCATCTCAGCCTCTGAAGCCTTGCTGCAGGTATAGTATTCATAACAGGATGCTGCAGCTGCCTGGCACCTGTCCAGGCCGCTCCTCCAAGAGTGCCAGACGCTAAGCTCGCACGTCGCAGGTCAGTGCTGATGCTGCAGCTATAGTCCGGTCGCCGAGCACGTAGAATTTCGTCCAATGACCCCAAGCTACTCATCCTTGTCGCTCGCGTGTAATTATATTGCTGTCGCGACTGTGCGACGGGCGCTCGCAGCGAGTGTGCGAGCGCGAATGCAATATAATTACGTGTTTTAATTACGGGCTTTACCTAGCACCTGTGTTGTCGTCCCTCTCACTCAAAGAGAGAGGCTAAAAAGAGCGACAGTGACAGATAGACCTCATCTCAGCCTCTGAAGCCTTGCTGCAAGTAAAGCCTTTAAAGCAGGAATGTTAGAACGACATAGGACCTCGTCTCAGCCTTCAAAACCTACCCTCACTCTGCAGCAGTACCGGGAATGGACGAAAGTTCACAAAACAAATTCTCTGCCAACTCTCTCCATCCAGCAATAAGCCAAGGCTACTTAGGACCTCATCTCCGCCTCCGAAGCCTTGCTGCAGGTCAGTGCTGATGCTGCAGCTATAGTCCGGTCGCCGAGCACGTGGAATTTCGTCCAATGACCCCAAGCTACCGCTGTCGCGCTCGCACACTCACTGCGGGCGCCCGTCGCACAATCGCGACAGCAATATAATTACACGCGAGCGATAAGGATGGATAGCTTGAGGTCATTAGACGAAATTCTACGTGCTCGGCGATCGGGTTTTACCTAGCACCTGTGTTGCCGTTCCCCTCACGCAAAGCGAGACGCCAGTAGAAGCGACGGTGACAGATAGACCTCATCTCTGCTTCCGAAGCCTTGCTGCAGGTATAATATTCACAGCAGGATGCTGCAGCTGCCTGGCACCTGTGTTGCCGTCCCTCTCACTCAAATCGAGGGGCTAGAAAGAGCGACAGTGACAGATAGACCTCATCTCAGCCTCTGAAGCCTTGCTACAGGTATAGCCTTTAAAGCAGGAATGTTAGAACGACATAGGACCTCGTCTCCGCCTTCAAAACCTACCCTCACTCTGCAGCAATACCGGGCGATGGACGAAAGTTCACAAAACAAATTCTCTGCCAACTCTTCCTCCAGCAATAAGCCAAGGCTACTTAGGACCTCCTTTCCGCCTCCGAGGCCTTGCTGCAGGTCAGTGCTGATGCTGCAGCTGCCTAGCACCTGTGTTGTCGTCCCTCTCACGCAAAGCGAGATGCTAGCATGATTGACGGAGACAAATAAAAGTTTAGGACTGCTAATCTCATCTTCCAAAGCCTTCCTGCTGGTGTAGTCTTCAAAGGAAGAATGCTAGAGCTACTTAGGATCTCCGAAGCTTTGAATGTTGCCGTCCCTCTCACATAAGTGAGATGCCAGCATGAGTGACGGTGACAGATAGACCCGAAGCTACAAAAGCATTTCGGAATAGCCCTGTCATGTCTGCCACCCTTCTGTGCCAACCCTAGCGAAGAATGTCAGGGCTACTTAAGATGTCATCTCAGCCTCTGAAGCCTTCCTGCAGGTAAAGTGCTCACAGCGAGGATGTTAGAGCTACCTAATCCCCTTTAAAACCTACCCGCACCCTCCAGCAGTATCGGATGATGGACGATGATAGTTCACAAAACAAAAACCGAGAATGCTAGAGTTATCCGAAACATAGAATGTTCACGCAAAGTAAGATACTCCTACTTATCTTTGACTTCGAACTTCTTCTCTGCCAACTTTCTCCCTCCAGCAAGAAGCCAAGGCTACTTAGGATCTCATCTCTCCCTCCAAATGCCTTTGTGTTAAGATTCTTATGCTTTATTCTACGGGTCAACCATAGGACGTCCACTTTTCCCAAGAACTTCCACAACGACCGGTCTTATTGCTTCCCGCGACCTTGCCTAAATCATCAGTCCACAAAGTGATCTGCTCACATTCTGGTTTTCGATTCTTTGGTCGCCATTCGAGAACTTGTCTATCCCTCTGGTTATCAATTTTATTAGCTATGTGCTGCGCTCGCTGCCACTTATGTTTACTTGGCGAGAAATATCTCGTCACTCGGCCTCTTTTGATCAACCTTTCTAAGAACTAGATAAATTGTTGTTACCAACAATTGGAGTAACATATACTTATTCTTGTATCTTCTTCCACAGTCAAGCGGCCACGTAATCGCAGCGTCGCGCGCAGTACTGCCAACAGTGCAGCAAGGCCACGCCGGCAAGCATCTAGCTGGGAGCACGCAGCGCCTCGCCACCAGCTGCGCCGAGCTCAGGTATGACGTCATCTTCAAACATCTAAAGCCCGGTCCGTGAGCACGTAGAATTTTGTCCAATGACCCCTATAGTCTTTTTCACGTAAGATGATCCGTACGACACTTCAAGGTTATCCATATTACGCATACTACATTTGCAGAATATTTTTGAAAAAATGTTTGTATTTTATTAGCAATATTATAAAAAAAAATAACTACTTGTCTTGAAGTATATAGTAAAATCTGAGTCTATTGATTATATTTTAATTAAATACGATGTAAAAATATTTTTTATTTAATGTACGCAATGTGTGAAACGGAATAGATTTAGTGCTGGGGTATTTCTTGTATAATAAAATCGATTATTTCCACGGTTCATTAATCGATTGCAGTGAATACTTAGTTATTAAAAACATCACAAAAATCAACTATATTTTTCGATTATTGACTTTAATAAACGCATTGAAAATAAATTAATAGTTTTTAATTTAAAGAAACAGAACCACAACTTTTTAGGAATCGTTTTTTTGAACACGTTTGTTCTTCTGATTAATTTCGTTGCGGGTCCAATGACAGTTAAACTTTCCCCCGGGACAAACTTGACCTTCATTGGTTGGGTTTTTGGGCCGGTCAAGCTGTAGATCCTGGCTACACAGGAGTTGCAGTGGTGGGAACGAGAGGTGGGAATAGTCCAGTACCCATTCTTATCGCTCGCGCGTAATTATATTGCTGTCGCGACTGTGCGACGGGCACCCGCAGTGAGTGTGCGAGCGAGACAGCGAGCGATAAGGATGGGTAGCTTGGGGGTCATTGGACAAAATTCTACGTGCTCACGGACCAGACTATAGCTGGGAGCACGCAGCCTGACATGGCTAATCCGCAAAGATTGCAAAGAATTCACGAACAAGCAGTGACCGATCACTGAATAGGTTTGGTTCGTTTCATCCGAAAGACGTCCACTGCTGGACAAAGGCCTCCCCCAAGGATTTCCACAAAGACCGGTCCTGCGCCGCCCGCATCCAGGCACCTCCCGCGACTCATCAAACAAAGATAGCGAATGGTTCACAAGACCTGCTTCAAGCTTTTTGTTGCATAGGAATGTACGCGGGCGAAACCGTTTGCAAAAGCTAGTATGACCATAATTCCATTGCAACAAACCTGTCCAACTAAAAAGCTAGTATGACCATAATTCCATTGCAACAAACCTGTCCAACTAACTCTCAATTCTGTTTATTTTTGAAACATCTGGGGGCGTAGTGTGAGTTTACGTCAAACGCATTCGATATCGACGGATTGTACAGCGCCCCTAGCGGAAACTCTCAAGAACTACAATCTTCATATATTTTTTTAACGTGCTCGCTAGTGACGTCTGTTAATGTAAACTCACACTAAGCCCTCTCTTCTCTATCTTTTATTAGAGGCCGGTAGATCTATTCTCATAAATAAAACACTGGATACTTAACTTTCACATTATATTGCCTTATTTTTAACTAGCTTTTGCCCGCGGTTTCACCCGCGTGAAATTTAGTTTGTCACAGATCGTCATAAATTATAGCCTATATGTTATTCTGGGTTATAAACATTAATACTGTAAAGTTTTGTCAAAATCCGTTCAGTCGTTTTGTGTGAAAGTGAAAGAGTAACAAACATCCAGACATCCAAACTTTCGCATTTTTTAATATTATATAGTAGGAAGTAGGATACAATTCATCACTTAGCACAAAAGCGCGCAGAGCCCTCTATTCTGACGGTTGATTCTCGTATGACATTGACATTACGTCAATGTCACTATGACAGCAGCTCATTGGCAATAACGATACCGCTATTTTAACTTTTTTTTTTTAATTTGGGCATTTCGAATTTCAGAGAGAGCGCGGCGCTATCGGTTTACGCGTTGCTCTCTCCTACGTGATTTAGAATTTTAATTGTTGAAAGATTTTAGGTTGCTAACTATGTTTTAAATGTGGGTGGTAAATGTTATACAATCTTGCTTAGTTATAATTTGTTGGAAAGTGAATGGGTCGATGTTGTAAATTTGGCAAAACTATATTATGGCTAAGTCTTGGCTATTTTAACGTTTTTGATTTTTCGCAATTAATACTTTTAATCTTCAAAATATCCTTTCCCCACAGGTCGGCCGTCAGCCGAGCTCGCATCTCGTGCAAGGGCTTGGAGCTGGACGCGGCGGCGGAGATCATCCGCAGCTTGCAAGCCGAGCTGGATGAGCTGGACCGAGCGGCCAAGGCTTTCGAGCTGCGCCCGCTGCCTGGACAGACGGTGAGTGACACCGAGTGACGTCATATGACGCGCGTCTGTACCAAGCCTAAACAGGCTCCGCGAATTTGCATCAAAAACAAAACGCGCGCGACGGCACCTCCTGAGATATTTAATCGACAGGACACTCACGAGCGAGCATTGACGCACGCACGCGTATTCTTCAGCCATTTGCATTGTAAAGACAATAAACTATGCATGATGGAAAGTAGAAAAAAAAGGTGGTGTAATTAATACTTTGCAGTGCTTTAACCGCCTAAATAATAATAGAATAACAAAATATAATTCATGCTTAATCATGTATTTCGTCCGCCATGTTCCGCAGTTTGGCACTTCACGTCACACATTATTTTACCGAAGTCAGCCTTATGGCTTCGGCACTGTACCGGTCACTGACGTATGTCAACAAAACGGTGTTCGACACTTGAGACAAGCTAAATTACACCATATTGTTGAAGACATTGAGCATAATTTTTTTTAATACCTTCGCGAAGAAAACCTATACGTATAGTCCGGTCTGCGAGCACGTAGAATTTTGTCTAATGACCTCAAGCTACCCATCCTTATCGCTCGCGCGTAATTATGTTGCTGTCGCGCTCGCACACTCACCGCGGGCACCCGTCGCACAGTCGCGACAGCACTAAGGACGCGACGCGCGAGCGATAAGGATGGGTAGCTTGGGGTCATTGGACAAAATTCTACGTGCTCACGGACCAGGCTATACCAATACTAACATCATCTCTCCATCTCCAGGAGGAGTGGGCATCAGCAACAATGCGCAACGCCGCTCGCTCGGCAGCGTCATCGACGTCTCAGCTGGTATCCAGCTGCCGCCTCGGAGCGGGCGAGGGCTGCGGCCGAGCGGGCGGCGAGCTGGCGGCGGCGCTGCGGGACTTCAGCGGCGGCGTGAGAGCAGCGGTGGCCACGCAACCCGAGCCACACAGGAGGGACAGGTGCGTTCTCTTTCTTACAGCCCAAAGACGACTTCTGCTAGACAGAGACAACCCGAGCTGACGCGCACCCTCCACAGAGTGATCTGTTAGACTTGTACTGTTCTCTGTCTCTTTCTTACAGCCGAAAGACTTCTGCTGGACAAAAACTTCTCCCAAAGACTACTGAAGAGCACTGCTGGATTCAACGCCCTTTTCTTCTTCTTAGCTAGCTAGCCACCGCAGACTGCTAGTGAAGAATGACAGCTGGATAAAGCTCCTCTCATCTTCTCAGCTGAGTGATGCTTACTGCAAAGAGACGTTTTTAAAATAAATAAATAAATAGCTTGTCTTAGCTATAGTCTGGTCCGTGAGCACGTAGAATTTTGTCCAATGACCCCTAGCTACCCATCCTTATCGCTCGCTCGTAATTATGTTGCTATCGCGCTCGCACACTCACTGCGGGCGCCCGTCGCACAGTCGCGACAGCAATATAATTACGCGCGAGGGATAAGGATGGGTAGCTAGGGGTCATTGGACAAATTTCTACGTGCTCACGGACCGAGCTTTAGTAACCATGCGGCAAGAATTTAGCGGGTGTAGTTTAGTTTCTTGTTACTTGTTTCGGGAAAACATACCAGCTGGTGCTGAAAAGTGGCAAAAAACTCATATATCGTCATATTTATTTATTATTAGACATACACAACAAGTAACAATCACAAATAATATATAAAGAAAGTAACTTATGCTTAGATCTAGATCATCACTCAAATAACGTGTACACACAGCATGGTTAAAATATTGTAATTAATAATAAATCAGCCTTGTTGTAATAAATATCAGAGAATACATCACATACAGCTCATTATACTCTCTTTGATGCAATTTCAAATTGGCAATGTGAGCGCTTTGGATCTATCTGTAAGCCCACTTGCATTTTAATTAAATAAATAAATAACATATTTGTGTTTGCCCACAGGGTGATATCCTCCGGACGCCAAGTGCTGACGTCATCGCTGACGCTGGTGGAAACTGTCAAGACGTATCTCTCGAGCTCGGAGCAGATGGACACCGCGCATATCGTGTCCATCGCCAAGGACATTTCCGAGGTTGGTGATAGATGACAACACAAACAAAAACATATCTAATCAGCTATCTTTGACTTTTCCTCATACACACTAACTTGCTAAATCTACAACAACTTTAATAACTGTTTACATGTTTCAATAGTGTGATTGGTACTACCGTTCTATAAATAAATAAATAAACAGCACAATTTACGTACAATTTGTAGGTAGATATAATGAACTTTTTTATATTTCGCAGTTTTAAATTAACTTATTGATCGGTGGTTATCACACTATTGCTCAAACCCCATTTAAGTGTTTAGGCCATTTTATAATAAACCAATAGTGACCTCAGAATATATCATGGGGATTTATTCAAAAAGAAAAAAGAATACTCTTTATTTCAAATATGATAGCGTTGACTACTACCGTCGTCTTGGCTGTACTATGGGAAGAAAAAAGTGTTAATTGCGGTCTTATTGACAGATCGAAACTCACACTCAAATTCTGCGTATAAAGCCTGATATAATTACGCGCGAGCGATAAGGATGGGCAGCTTGGGGTCATTGGACGGGATTCTACGTGCTCACGGACCAGGCTTTAGAAGCTAATATTGACCCTTTGTCCACCAGCGCCTAGAATCCACATTGGAGGCGGTCCCCTCGCAGACAGAGCTGGATGCAGCGGCTGAAAACATCAACGAGACCCTCAATATACTGAACATGGGAGAGTTTCCGCCTTCTGACAAGAGCTATGGGTAAGTTGCGTGTTAGGGCCCTTTCCCATGGTAATTTAGTTTTATGGGATCCAGTAATGCAGGAAAACTTTTTCACGTTCAGAACCTTAATAATATGGTTTTGTCTTTGCAACATTTTACATGAAAATGTTTTTAGCGGAATCAAAATGGTGGATATCGTATCGTCGATATAGGGTGGATTCGACCAAGACGTAAATATTAATCTCAGAATAAATCGTCAGTTATTCGACATTTTGACATATTTCCCATACTGAAACTGTCAATGTGACAATTATACCAGCAATTATTCTCGGATAAAAGTTTGGTCGAATTGGGCCATAAACAATTAAGTTTTTGTAAGAGAAAGAGGGACATGCATTCACAAGGTGGACTGGCGACATCATAAAGGTAGCAGGAAGGCGCATTGGGGGAGGCCTATGTTCAGGAGGGGACATCCTGTGGCTATAATGATGAACATTTGAAAGAAAGAAAACATTTTTATTTAGCACCACTTTTAAATATACCTACACATATTAATATTTCTAATACAAAACACTTCGTGCAAAAACTTACATTTATTTCGTCATCCACAGCGAGCTGCAATCAGAACTGAACACAGCGGCAGTAGAACTCAACACGGCATCGTCTGACGTGGTAGGCGGAGTGGATAAGCCACAACAGCTGCGAGCCAGCGGCCGCCAGTTCGGCGAGGCCTACAACCGGCTCATATCAGTCGCTATGGAGATGGCAGGACAGACTGAGGTGAGCTGGCCTGTAAGGCCCCATACACTCGCTACACTCACGTGATAGCTCAATACCTACGTTGCTGTTGGGGCAGAAAAGTTCTCGAGTGGCGACCACGGGCTGGAAGACGTAGCGTAGACAGGCCTCCTACTAGGTGGACCGACGATCTGGTGAAGGTCGCGGGAAGAACCTGGATGCGGGCAGCGCAGGACCGTTCATTGTGGAAAGCCTTGGGGGAGGCCTTTGTCCAGCTGTGGACGTCAATTGGCTGAAACGAACGTGTACAACTTGATCGAGTTAACTGAAATGCGACTCTCTTGCATTCACCCGCACCCGCGTTCGCCCCGTCCGTATTAAAGCGGCGATGTGACGTCACAGCTGTCAGGTCCGCATTTAACTCGACCGGGTTGTATTATTCTTAAAATAGTGTAAAACCTTTTCGCCCTTATTGATAAAAAGGATGAAAATGATATTTCCATACTAAATGACAATATAAGCCAGAGTTCAACTAGGGTGTTAACCTGCGCACAATAGCCTAATATTTCTACTATACGCTTTATGGTGGATTCGACCAAACAAGAGTAGATTAATTTCAGATTAAATCGTCAATTTTGACATACACTCGACATCAAATAAATCGCACCTCCCGCGACAAGCATTTTCAAACGTATGCTTCCCCACTTCCCACCAATATTGGCACCATTTGAAAACCTAGTTCTAACCTTCATTTCATTAAAAGAAAGGGTTTTACCCCAAAAATGTGACTTTAGAAGGATCCAGAGCACGGTAATAATATCATACAGTATTGTAACTTCATATAAACCGACGAAACGCGAGCTTTCCTTCGAATTTCAAATCTCGGGACGTGGTCGAAATCCAAAAGTTAGGGGTGTCGCGAATGTGCCGAACGGACGTCGATGGCCTAGTGTTGAAAATGACTAAGGTGATTGAATTTGACTGACCGTCATTTACGATCTTTGTCAAAAACTAGTCATTAACTGTCAGAAATTGTCATTTTCAGTCAGTTTGATTTGAAATGAAAATTATAAAATATATTGTATAAAACCAGCTTTTGCCAACGATTTCGCCCGCCTGAAATTAAAGTAACAGGTCATTAAGTACTCATTATGATTAGTAGATTCAAAATTATTTTAGTATATTTTTTTAAATTAAATCTACTAATCACAAAACAACACGCATTTTTATCCTATTCCATTCACAAAGTATTTTTGTTTATCTAAATAAAAAAAATTACAATCACAAAACTAGATAGAAATTCTAAGTAGACAGATGTAATTTTATTAGAATGGGTACTGTAGGTAAGCAGCCCTATCGCATGTTGTCATACCGTGACGCACCGCGGGGCCGTTGACATTTTTTTCAAAAATATGGCCGAGTTGGAATACTGTATAGATAGTATTACCGTGTCCAGAGTCACTTCTTCAAAAAATAGGTAGTTACGCTAGAGCCAACTTTTATGGCTATAAAACTGTTAAGTTGGGATTAATCGCTATCCATCTGTTAAAGAGGACACGTGAGATCATTATTTGGTTTTACAACCATAAAAATTGGTCTAATTGATCCCATAGGTGGGCCCAAAAGTGAGGTATTTTTTCAAGTCACATTTATGGTATATGTTAATCATTTATTAAGAAATTAAATGAGTTTTTCTTTAAGGATATTTATTGGGCTTTCAAATAACACCAATATTGTTGGGGCACCATGATTGTGTCAGAAGAAAATCGTTAAAGTTCGCGTCGCGGAAGGTGCGGTTTATTTGATGTTGAGTATATTTCCCATACTGAAACTGTCAGTGAGCCAACTGGCTCACATACACAGTATAACTATACCAGGAGTTATTCTCGGATAAAAGTTTTTTTTCAAATGGTCAATATCTTTAAGGTCTTATAAAATCTGCAGTCTTAAACATAGACCCGGTTGGGTTGAATCGGGCCTTTAAAAATAATCTTGTACTATCTTATAGCTAGGATACATTAATGATCTATCTTCTAAATGCTACTCTTTGCCCCCAGGACCGCGAGACCCAAACCCTCATGGTGACTTCCATGAAGTCGGTGACAGTGAACTCGTCCAAGCTGCTGGCCACCGCCAAGTCCGTCAGCCAGGACCTCGCGCGGCCCAATGCCAACAACCAGCTCACCGCTGCTGCGAGAGCAGTCACTGACAGCATTAATAGGCTGGTGAGTCGTCATCATCATCATCATAATCATCAACTTTTTAAGACATTGTTAGTCGTCATCGTTAGTGAGTTAGGTAGGTCCTCAAGCGACCGAATGCCAACAACCAGCTCACCGCGGCCGCGAGAGCTGTCACTGACAGCATTAATAGGCTGGTGAGTGCTCATCATCATCTTCATAACTTTCAGTTTTTTAAGACATCGTTAGACGTCATCATTAGTGAGTTAGGTAGGACCTCGCGCGGCCCAATGCCAACAACCAGCTCACCGCTGCTGCGAGAGCTGTCATTGACAGTATTAATAGGCTGGTGAGTCATCATTATCAACATCCTCATAATCATCAAAATCCGTCCCTAAGTCGCCTTTAAGACATCCGCGAAAAGAGTGCTGCTGATATCTGCTTTAGTAGACTCGTGAGGTCATGAGTCAGAATCTTCATCATCATCATCATGTTTGTATTTCACCTATTTGGCCTTAAGAGTGCCTTCACATTAAGAGCACTTTAGGTGTTTTTGTCGCGCGACTGCAGCGCGACTTAAAGCACTACAGTCGCGCGACAAAAATGCCTATTTATGAAAGCGCTCTTAGGCGATTTATCAGCGCGATAAACGCGCTGCCAAAAATTACATACTATGTGACAGCTGATTCCTTCCTTCACATTACAAAAACGTAATTATTTGTTACCATAGGGGTCACTTAAAAATTAGGAATTTATGGTGAAAACGGACATTAGTGTCGTGTCAACGTTGCTCGAAACTAAAGACGCTAGTATGGGAGGTCCCTCAATGTTGTTATTTGTTGCTGTAACAGACCTTTTTTTTCAGGTGGATGTGTGCACAGAAGCGGCTCCAGGTCAAAAGGAATGCGCGGCGGCCATCTTGCGCATCCGAGGCGCTGCGCCGCTTCTGGCCGCGCCCACGCAGCCACTGTGCGAGCTCGGGTACTTCGCCTGCCTGGATGCTGTGCTGGAGCAGAGCAAGGGACTCAGTGAGTAACGTAGAGTAAAGCAGAAGGATTCGTCATCATCATTTCAGCCACAGGACGTCCACTGCCGAACATAGGCCTCTCCATATTCACCTGGTAGCGGCCTGCATCCAGCGTCGTCCTGCAACCTTCGTGAGGTCGTTTGTTCACTTGTTGACGTCACACGCTGCGCTGCACTCCAAAAACTTGCTGTCCCATCCACCATCAGCCAGCGTATCACAGAGCAGAAGGACGTCGCTTACTATGAGTCTCATAAGAAGGCTCAAGGTCACCCAAAGCACAGTACGATGCGAAGGAATTCAGTCGCCCTCGCAGCCTGTTACTATGTCTGTTAGCTTGGGCACTTCGCGTGTCTCGACAATATTGGAGCAGAGCAAGGGACTCAGTGAGTAACGTAGAGTAAAGCAGAACGGGACTATTCCCACCACTCGTTCCCACCGCTGCAACTTCTGTGTAGCCAGGATCTACAGCTTGACCGCGAATAAAAACTCAACCAGTGAAAGTCAAGCACAGAGTTAAAGGAGCATCATCATCATTTCAGCCACAGGACGTCCACTGCTGAACATACGCCTCCCTTAATCATTCGATATTGACCTTGCCTATATCCAGCGTCTTTTTGCTAACTTTATGAGGTCGTCTGTCAGAAGGACGTCACTTACTATGAGTCTCATAATAAGGCTCAGGGTCACTCAAAGCACAGCACGACGCGAAGGAATACGCGGCGGCCATCTTGCGTATCCATTCGCCCACGCAACCGCTGTGCGGGCTCGGATACTTCGCGTGCCTGGATGCTGTGCTGGAGCAGAGCAAGGGACTCAGTGAGTAACGTAGAGTAAAGCAGAAGGACGCAGAAACAGACAGCTATTAGCTTGGGCACTCTACAATATTGGAGCAAAACAAGAGGCCCAGTGAGTTGCGTAGCATAGGATGTTCGTTTCAGCCTCAGTTTCTTTGAAAGTTGGAGACTACGCTCGAAGTTGTGACGCTGTATGACGCTGGCGTTGTGGTCGCTTACTATGGGTCTTATAAGAAGGGTCAAGGTTGATTTAAGAACAGTACGACGCAGAAGGAATGCGCGGCGGCCATCTTGCATCATCATCATCAGCTGTTGTAAGCTCGGGTACTTCGCCTGCCTGGATGCTGTGCTGGAGCAGAGCAAGGGACTCAGTGAGTAGCGTATCATAGAGTAGACTAGCACAGAGCAGAAGGAATCCAGTCGCCCTCGCAGCCTGTTAGATATGTCAGTTAGCTTGGGCACTTCGCGTGTCTCGACAATATTGGAGCAGAGCAAGGGACTCAGTGAGTAGCGTAGCACAGAGTAGGATAGCAATTCAAATAGTTTATTCAGGATATAGGCCCTTTCCAGGGCACTTATACACGTCCCAAATATAGCTTGCCCTACCACCACTTCGGGACAAATGGGCTGGTGCTGAGAAGAAGTGGCAGAAGAAACTCAGTCACCTTTGTCAGCATAGAGCAGAAGGACGCAGAAGGAATGCGCGGCGACCATTTTGCATCCAGTAGCTCACACAGTCGCTGTGAGCTTAGGCACTTCGCGTGCCTAGATGCTGTACTAGAGCAGAGCAAGGGACTCAGTGAGTAGCTTTCTGTAAGCTTATACTCAGAGCCGCCCTTGCGTTCCGTTTACGTTACAACTTCGTTTGAACTAGCTGTCAAAACGACACCGCGATACGGATTTGTCAAAACAGCTGATGTTCGTTCGTCGTCCAGTCGCATTGCAGTTAAAAGTTTTTAGCGCAATCGAGGCCCAGGTTACTGGCCATCAACAACAAAAAAGCTACGATAAACAAATATTAAATCAGCACTGCACAACCCTATACCGAAAAGGCCTTCGGCCTCGGCCAGCCACGACAATTGAATCACAGAACGCCTTCTACTTTTAATAATCTTAATGATAGTTGTTGCAATTCACGAAGGCGAGTGAGCTTTACATGATTGTGTGGTGGGTGGCTCGCTACTGTAGCCTTATTCACGTAACAAAACTTCAACGATAACAAAACACTGAGTTGCGATCCTATCGAGTAATCGTTCTATCAAAATGACCCTTGTGAATACGGATTTAGAACTGTTTTTCAATGGGACGACTTCTGAACGTCAGCGAGATCTTACTGTCAAATTACGTGAATGCTCGAGAGCTATACCTTTTGACCCCCCATTATGCAATGCTCTATGAGTCTATCCAAAGTGAAGAACACTGCATAGGTCCCACTGAAAGCTTCATCAAACAATGTGCACCTAACGTGCTGGGATTGTGTTATACCAGGCCTGTTCATCTCCGCGAGTTAACATCGAAAACAAAACACGCACGATGGCCCACCTACAGGATACTATTCGACAAGGCCGCACATACGAGCGAACATTGACTCACGCACGCGTATTCTTGTGTATGATGGAAGAAAATAAAGAATATGATGTACTAAATACTGTGCATTATTTAACTGCCTAAATAATAATAAAAACACAGAATGTACTTTTTTAAGTTGCCTCAAGGCACTGAGAGGTAAATAAGTAGTTAATATTATTCATGATAATTCATGCTAAATCATGTATTTCCTCCGTCATTTTCCGCAGTTTGGCACCTCACGTCACATCATTTTACCGAAGTCAGCCCTATAGCTTCCGCGCAGTGCCGATCACTGACGTTTGCCAATAAAATGGTGCTTGACTCTTGAGACAGGCTAAATTACACCATATTGTTAAATGATATTGAGCATACATTTTTTTAAATACCTTCGCGAAGTAAAACTTCTGTACGTAGTACTTATTATTATTCTGTGGTTATACGCAGTGAAAATTGAGTCTTCTCAATACCTAAAACTTAAAAATGGTATACGAGTATAGTATAATATGTATCAAAAAGTTTCAAGAACTTTGTTTTAATACCTTCTGTTTTTCAACAGGCGAGGGAATGTCCGGCATAGCAAGCGCGGTGAAACGCTCGGAACACGAGCAGTTTGCTCGCTCAGTCGGCTCCGTCGCCGCCGCCGTCACAGGGCTCGTGGAATGCACAGCGCAGGCCGCTTACCTGGTACGTATCACCCACAGCTCAATAGATAGACGAACCTAAAGTCTGTTCGCCGAGAGTTGATAAAAAAAAAATTAATATCAGAGGTTCTAAACTCATTATAAATTGCGGCCCGCTAATTATTTTTGTCTATATAATGAAAAAGTTGGTAGATTATCATCATTATCTCTTTTAAATTTACGGGAATTATTCCGGTTAGGGCATACGTGGGGATACGGATCAAACACGTGGCGTCCATGTGTTGGATAAAAAGTATTTCATTATTATCAAGTGGCTTATAGTGTATCCCAATGTTGGGCAAAGCCCTGCCCACTGTCATACCATTCATTACCTATACCCTAAAAAAACTATCTCACTGGCAAGGAGTTGGAACTGTCAAAACTGTCTGGGTGTTGAGGAAACTACTTCTAATTATTGCCCTAATCTTTTACATAAAAATCAGATTTTATGATATAACGTTAGTAGAATTACAGTCGATTGAATATACAGAAAAAGCCACCGTAAAAGTTAGACTTACGTTATACCATAAAATCTGATTTTTATGTATAATATTTGAGCAATAATTAGAAGTATTTTCCCCAAGAGCCTGACAGTTTTGACAGTTCCAACTCCTTGCCAGACAGTTTTTTTAGGATAGCTCCCAAAGCCACCATGACCCAAACTTCATAATTCACCAACATTATATCCTATATTGGAAGCATATGCTGACAAACTTACAGCTTTTATAAAATGACGTAGGTCTGGCGTTCACTAGCTCTTAGTCTATTAGTTTTTGTGATCTGTGATATTGATAAATACATCAATGTTGTCTACAGGTGGCGATATCCGACGAGACGAGCGCGGCCGGGCGACCAGGCCTAGTCGACCAGGCGCAGTTCGCGCGGGCCGCTGCCGCCATCGACCTCGCCTGCAGGCAGCTGGCCGACCCTGCCAGTACGCAGCAGCAGGTAACACACACAGACTATAATGAGACTAAAGTCTGGTCCGTGAGCACGTAGAATTTTGTCCAATGAATGAGGGTTTTCGCGAATGAAAAATCCGCCAGATGGCAATACGTAGACGCGAGGTCCAAATGCTGCATGATTGGTTATTTTTGACATGACATTGACAGATAATAATATGTCAAAATCCACCAATCACGCAGCAGTTAGACCCCACATCCACGTCCCGCCATCTAGCGGATCTTTCATTCGCGAAAACCCTCATTATCAATTTTGTACTGCAACAGTTATAAACTTATAAAAAACTCATAAAACTCATTTATTTCTGTAAATCCCAACTAATATTATTAATGCGAAAGTAACTCTGTCTGTCTGTCTGTCTGTTACGCTTTCCCGCTTAAACCTCGCAACCGATTCTGATGAAATTTGGCATAGAGATAGTTTGAGTCCCGGGAAAGAACATAGGATAGTTTTTATCCCGGTTTTTGAAACAGGGACGCGCGCGATAAAGTTTTTCTGTGACAGACAAAATTCCACGCGGGTGAAGCCGCGGGCGGAAAGCTAGTAGGCTTATAAAAAGCACTTTTACATTTATCCTTTTGTTGCTGGCAGTTTGGCCAGCAATCCTTTTTGATAATTGTTTATGGTTTTTTACTTTTTTTTGTAATATTGTTTTTTGGATTGATTTTGAAGTTGCTTTTGTACTCTCTCGTGTTAATGTTTTGAGCTGCAAAGCTGCAATATGCCTACTGTTTTGGCCCTTTTTTGGAGTTTCCTTGATTCTAGTGGCATACCACAATCACCACCGGCAGGCCGCTCTATAATACAGTCCACCATCGTTTTTAACACCTTTCTTTATTAGACTTATCCAGTATACTCCCACTTCATCGTTCTAATTTAAATGTTTCTCCCCAGGTGCTATCAGCAGCGACAGTGGTAGCCAAGCATACATCAGCTCTATGTAACGCATGCCGCGTGGCCTCATCCAAGACTCAAGAACCTCAAGCTAAAAGACACTTCGTGCAGGCTGCTAAAGATGTGGCCAACTCTACTGCAGCTCTTGTGAAGCAGATTAAAGCTCTTGACAGCGATTATAGCGAGGTGAGTGACCTGTAATACTCTATTTTGTGACAGGGTTTCGAGAATTCTCGAAAAATTCTTAAGTCTAAACGGGAAAAATCTCGAGAACTCGATCTCGAAACATTTCGTGTAACATGTGTCGCGTGACCTCCTCCAAGACTCAAGAACCTCAAGCTAAGAGACACTTTGTGCAGGCCGCCAAAGATGTGGCCAACTCCACTGCGGCCCTCGTCAAGCAGATCAAGGCTCTTGATAGTGATTATAGCGAGGTGAGGGCGGGGCATATAGCTCGTAAAGACGATGGCCGTTGGGGCAGAAAAGTTCTCGAGTGGCGACCACGGGCTGGAAGACGTAGTGTGGGCAGGCCTCCTACTAGGTGGACCGACGATCCGGTGAAGGTCGCGGTAAGAGCCTGGATGCGGGCAGTGCAGGACCGTTCATTGTGGAAAATCTTGGAGGAGGCCTTTGTCCAGCAGTGGACGTCATTCGGCTGAAACGAACGAGTGACTAGTGTTAAAAATGACTAAAGCGACTGAATTTGACTGACAGTCATTTACGGCCAAATTGGTCAAAAACAAGTCATAAAATGTCAGATTCAGTTAATTTACATCTCTATTAATTAGTTGTACGTTCGATTTGCAGCTTCACTTAAGCAAGTATCGTTTGTAAATACAGGCGTAAAGTTAGTACAAGATTGTTTCGTGGGATGTCTAGCAAATTGCGCACAAACTCAAATTCAATGTTAAACTTTTATTTCCAGTTCGATTTTGACATTAAACAAATATCTTTACCTATTGTCAGTTGATTGATAGTGGCATGTCTATTGTTTTATAGATGAACTACACTGAAATGTCCCACCGACGACATTGACAGAAGGGCGCCACCATCTTCGTTCAAACTATAGTTCTAAAATACTGGATTGTCCTGTCGATGACATTGACAGTGGGGCGCCACCGTCTATACCGGATCGCTGGTTCAGATTTTTGCCATGTTGGAAACATTGAAGTAATATTACTACGTATAGAACAGACATCGCGAACAAAATATGTACAGAGCGGGGTGCGGGGCGGGAATTTGACGGACAGCTGTCAGTCAAATCCATGACTATCAAGTTTCATAATTTATGGCGATAAAATCTGCACCAGAAAATGTCGTACTTCATTGATAGGATTGCACGAATAGTGACGTTCCTGCGGTCGCCTCATCATAGACATTGTGAATCGATTGTGAAAATAAACAAATCGGCTAAATTGTGTTAAATTTTTATGGTGCTCAATAGCAAAAAGGTTCAGCTACTTACATTATTTTCTTTTATTATATTGTGCGTTTCCTGTCATGTAATCTAAGCTCCCCTCCCTTAGACTAAAATTAGCCCTCCTAGACAAGTGACAAAACGTAGCAGTTGAAACATTCGAAATCACTTCGCTCTGCCGTTTTTTGGTGTTAGTTACTTCACTCTGTGATGCGATTTTAAAATTACAACTGGCGATTCCGAATTCACAACTGAGGGGACTGAGGCTAATCGTGTTACTTGTGCTACAAGTGCGTATGGGCTTCATACTGATGCTTAAGCCATTAATTATTTTTCTTCCCGATTAAAATCTAATGTAATCGATAATCGCCTTGAGAATCGTTAACTGGTATTTTCTAATTCGATAAAAAAATTACCCATCTCTAGTTTAAAACTGTCATCCAACAGCGCACGAAATATTATGAGTTATAGATAATGATACCATTACAGAGGCGACACTTCGTTTACGTTTAGTTTCTGCCTATTGAATTGGATACTGTAAGGAAACATCGTCATCATCATTTTAGCTACTGGACGTCCACTGCTGAACAAAGGCCTCCTCTAATGATTTCCACATCGCCCAGTTGATAGTGGCCTGCACCCAGCGTCTTCCTGCTATCTTCAGTCAGTCCATCTTGAGATTTTAGAAAAATTCCCACTCGTCACGGTAGGAACAAAGCTAGGGATGACCCACGCCTTCACTCCAGAACCAATAAAATAACTGAAAGTCAGAAACTTTCAGTTATTTTATTGTCTCTATTGTTAACTATCTCAGTGGTTGAGTACACGTATAATAGCTGTGAGGTAGAAGTTACGGGACTATTCCCACCTCTCCTTTTCACCGCTGCATCTCCTGTGTAGCTAGCACCTAGACTAGTTGATTTAAAGCCAAGGTATATCAGTTTTTAGGTAATGACTTAGTGCATCTAAAAATGTAAAACTTTCTAGTTTTTTGTAACATTGAAAAATCTAAAAAGAAGCATCATTTTTTTTACCAAGTGTTTCTAAGAAATTTAAATGGAAGCTTTTGATGACAACGTATTGCTTACTTTTTCAGCTGTCGAACGAATCACTTTTATACTCATAGGTCCTGTACATCGGTAGATTTGGTAAATAAATGAATCCATCCGGACTCAGAAACTAAAAAAATTAAAATAGCTGTAATTTTTTAATACTGGATTTGTCGATTAAATTGATCATATTACTGCGCCCTAACGGGTCGGACACTGGTGACCAGACACACTGTACAATTATTATAATTTTAGCCTATCTCGTGAGCTAGGTGTCAATAATTAGGGTGATTTACTAACTAACCAGTCGCATACGAACAACAGCAGTGAGATTCAAACAAGTTTGATCCATGATGCCGCACGACTATTGTGTGAGCCCACCCGTAACCCAAGCTTATTTAGCTTAACACAAGGGGCTGGACGGGACTATTAGTAATTTGTGCAATACAAAGTGCTTATAATCTTTAAAAAAATATTTTTATTGCTGTATTTAACCTTCCTTTCGTATACTAATTTATGCGTCAGTGTCAAGTCTGCGATTTTTATTCTTTGAAATTTTCGTAAAATGGCTGCCGCCGCGGTGACGCCTTGTAATTAACAAATTAAAATTAAATTAGTGTTTTAAAGTGCATAAATGTACAACTTAATGGTAAAAAGTCATTCCTTGATTTTTACTTAATATGTATCTGGAGTTATTTGAACAGTATTTTCGTCTATAGGATGGCATATTTCAAAAAACAAAACTGCACACAAGCGTGTTGTCACAGCAACCGCTGAGCACATACTAATTGTATTTCGGTCCGTGGACCTATTTACATGCCAGAAACAGTCTAGTTGACATGTCTTCTCTAGTACGTAGTACATTATAACTCAATGGTTGGAAACCATATAGTTGAACGATGGTAGCGCCCCCCTGTCATTGAGTTTGGTGGGACAGTTCAGCGTGGGTCATCTATACATGGTTTCCACCGTGACAAAAGTCGGAACCAGCGATCCCCTGTCAGTGTCAGTTCAGTGTAGTTCTTCTATAATGTGGTTTTCAACAATTTCAACTTATAAATGTCTACAATTATTTTTCTATCTACGCAGGAAAACCGCGCCCGCTGCGCCGCTGCAACCGGTCCTTTGCTAGAAGCCGTGCGCGGCCTAGTCTTGTTCGCGGACCGACCAGAATTCGCCAGCGTGCCCGCTCGAGTTTCACAGCAAGCACGCGCTTCGGTGGAGCCTATACTACAGTGTGGCAGGTTAGTTATATAAAGAGTCATACCTAGCACACTTATCGACGCGGAAAAGAATCGTCGCCGTCAAACTAACGTAAGAACGTGACGTAAGCGGACCAAGACCGACTTGGCTTCGACTAAAGCCTGGTCCGTGAGCACGTAGAATTTTGACCCCAAGCTACCCATCCTTATCGCTCGCGCGTAATTATATTGCTGTCGCGACTGTGCGACGGGCGCCCGCAGTGAGTGTGCGAGCGCGACAGCAACATAATTACGCGCGAGCGATAAGGATGGGTAGCTTGAGGTCATTGGACAAAATTCTACGTGCTTATGGACCAAGCTTTAGGTGATACGTCGAGCCGTAAGCTAGTTGACTACGCATGCCTCGCAGTTCAGAAGCTTGTCCCGAGGCGAGGCGTTTAAGTTACGATTCCGATTAGTGTGCGGTGTAGCAGGAGTTTCATACAAAGAATACTGAACGGCTCTAGTTAATAAGTGTGCTTCGTTTTTAATCTAGCTAGACCGTATTTTCTATTCCAAACCAAAATAGTGTTTTGTTTGATAAGCCAGTCAAATACCTAAGCTCATTTATGGATTAAGATTTCTAGAAAGTACCTTCTTATTAAAAACATTAAAATTATAATGAATTCACTAAATGAGTATGTAATAAATGAAGTAGGCGTTTTGAACGATCTATTTTAATAGTTACCTATGTAAATGATGTTCTCATGTAAATGACTATTGTCTGTTTTGAAAACATTTTCTTTAACCACAAATAAACCCTTATTCTCTCCAACAGGAGCATAATATCGTCGTCCTGCTCGATGCTGGAAGCAGCCAAAGTTCTCGCTCTCTCGCCGCAGGAGCGAACGCAGTGGCAACAACTAGCTGCGCATAGCAAGACCGTATCCGACAGCATCAAGGCGCTCGTCACCGACATCCGGTAAGTTATAGACGCCCCTAGTAGTTCGTTTGTTTCAGCCAAATGACGTCCAGTTCCTGGATCTCCTTAAGGTACCAGGGTAACACCTGGCAGGGTACATTTAGTGTATGACAGGGTACAGCACTACAGGAAGCACTCTCGCAGCGCACCACTTAAGTTTGTAAAGTCAGCTATATCGGTTACTTGCGTGGGCGCAAGCGTAGATACTTTTATGTCCATTTGCATCCACTTGACACCATACAATTACTGGGCTTATATGACGACTAAAACGACAGAGGTTCCCAAACTTATTTTGTCTAATTAACCCATTTTTTCACCTGTTAAAAAACACTATAACTTAAAACGCCCCGATTTTTTTTTCTTTGTAACTTACCGCCCCCCCTTTAGGCCTGCAGCGCCCACAAGGGGGCTTTATCGCCTACTTTGGAAAAAGCTGCCTTAAGCAGTTGTAATTAGAGATGAAACGGATATCCGGTAACTATCCGGTAGGCCGGATATCCGGCCTAAATTTACTATCCGGCCGGATACCGGATAGTAACTCACTATCCGGCCGGATACCGGATATTAAAAAACTACGACATTTTCCTATTAATAAAATGAAATACATTAATCTTTGAGGTAAATATCAATAAAATGGCTTATAATAATGACTGCTTTTATTTAAAGTCCAAAAAGTTACAAAAGCCAATTATTAAGGCTTTTCAAAAAACTAATTTCTCTTTCTGGGCGTGAGTGAATAACTCTAATGACGAATACATAAATAATAAATATCTGTTAATGTCGAAATATTGCCAAATAAAAAAAGCGATCTTTTTTTCACTGATGGTCTGATGACATGATGCATGCAGATCAGTCAGATTACGCAACAAGTAAACTAATTGAATTTTCACTATTCAATCACACACTCACGATAGCAACCGAAATCGCCCGAATTGATCTGCCCCCTAGAAAAGTGACAAAATCTGACATTCTATTCGGACGGATTCGATTTTCGAAAAGTGTGACTAGTCTAGTCTACTATCGCGTTCGAAGCACCTGTGCGGCGCTAAACTCGTCACGACATGCAACGAGACAATTGGCCAACTATCCGGCCGCCGGATATCCGGCTATCCGGCCTAGCAGCTGGCCGGATATCCGGTATCCGGTATCCGGCCAAACAACTATCCGTTTCATCCCTAGTTGTAATAGATGTTAATTTCGTGTGCAGGGACAAGGCGCCAGGCGTGAAAGAGTGCACGGCAGCGCAAGAGACACTAGCGCGGCTGTTACGAGAACTCGACACCGCCGCCATCCAGGCAGTTGGACAGGAGCTTGCGCCGCGACAGGGGAACACGTGGCAGGGTACGTGTGGACAGGGTACACTAGGGACAGGCGTGATGAGTGCACGGCAGCCCAAGAGACACTAGCGCGGCTGTTACGAGAACTCGACACCGCCGCCATCCAGGCAGTTGGACAGGAGCTCGCGCCGCGACAGGGGAACACGTGGCAGGGTACGTGTGGACAGGGTACACTAGGGACAGGCGTGATGAGTGCACGGCAGCCCAAGAGACACTAGCGCGGCTGTTACGAGAACTCGACACCGCCGCCATCCAGGCAGTTGGACAGGAGCTCGCGCCGCGACAGGGGAACACGTGGCAGGGTACGTGTGGACAGGGTACACTAGGGACAGGCGTGATGAGTGCACGGCAGCCCAAGAGACACTAGCGCGGCTGTTACGAGAACTCGACACCGCCGCCATCCAGGCAGTTGGACAGGAGCTCGCGCCGCGACAGGGGAACACGTGGCAGGGTACGTGTGGACAGGGTACACTAGGGACAGGCGTGATGAGTGCACGGCAGCCCAAGAGACACTAGCGCGGCTGTTACGAGAACTCGACACCGCCGCCATCCAGGCAGTTGGACAGGAGCTCGCGCCGCGACAGGGGAACACGTGGCAGGGTACGTGTGGACAGGGTACACTAGGGACAGGCGTGATGAGTGCACGGCAGCCCAAGAGACACTAGCGCGGCTGTTACGAGAACTCGACACCGCCGCCATCCAGGCAGTTGGACAGGAGCTCGCGCCGCGACAGGGGAACACGTGGCAGGGTACGTGTGGACAGGGTACACTAGGGACAGGCGTGATGAGTGCACGGCAGCCCAAGAGACACTAGCGCGGCTGTTACGAGAACTCGACACCGCCGCCATCCAGGCAGTTGGACAGGAGCTCGCGCCGCGACAGGGGAACACGTGGCAGGGTACGTGTGGACAGGGTACATACAATAATGTATAGGGTACATACTGGTAGTGGACGTGTGGACGCTTTGGAAATCGTGATCAGAACACGTGGAAGATTGACTTTCACGTTGACAGGGAACATACTGGGTTGATGTAGATCTTTTGGGTATCATTAATCTGAACACCTTAATGGGTAAAAGAATTGCTGCAGGGTACAATATTGTACAGGATGAAAACTAGTAGCGAATACACTGGCAGGGAACTTGCCGAATTGATGTAGATCACTTATAGAGAATCATTGATCTGAACATTTAGTAGGTCACGGGACATGCTGACAGGGAACAGGATCTACATTTTACTGGATGCACACTAACAGCAAAAACCGTGGAATTTTTCGGTTTTTTATATTACCTATGACACTGGGCAATAATGTGGCTTTCTATTGGTGAAAGAATTTTTAAAATCGGTTCAGTAGATCCCGAGATTACCCCTTACAATTTAACAAATACACAAACACAAACTTCACCTCTTTATAATATTAGTATAGATAATGATTTGAGAAATCGATAGAAAATTGAAAATCCTTGAATTGAAATAATAGGGATGATGACTGGGTAATGAAATCGAAATTCTATTTAGTCCGTCAGACGGATAATTAGAAAATATTACTCATATTTTTTATTTTTTTCCATAATCGAATAATTACAGTATTATAATGAGTTGAAATGTCGCGTGACGTCACTTTTGAGTAAAAATTCTACTCAAGCGTGACGTATCGCGCCATTTCAACTCGATGTATCACTGTTATTATTTAATTATGAAAGAAAATAAAAAATATGAGTCTAATATTTTTTAATTATCTGTCTGACGGACAAATAATTGAAATTTTGTCATCTAGCCTATTCTATATTATTTATCAATCTCACAGGTTACTCGGAGCAAATCGAGAATAGCGCCACAGAAATGCTGGAGCGCGTGGAGCCGCTTCGAGTGGCCGCTATAGGCGAGGCTGAGAACTTGGGACACGCCGTCACGCAGCTGGTGAGTTAACTTACCTTCGCTTCATATTAGTCACAGGACGTCCACTGCTGAACATAGGCCTCACCCAATGCTTTCTTCAAGCTAGGATGCGCGCCGTGATAAAATCTTTTCGATGATTTTAGACTACAAACGTATGAGCTTATCGCGTAAAATTGATGAAAAATTGCCCGGTTGGAAATGGGCAGCTTCCAGTCTCTTCCTGCAGCCTTTATGTTGTCTTTTGTCCACTTCTTTCCACTTTAGTTTGAGCGGTACAAAAAATTTACGAGGCGTTGTATGGTATCAAGTGGAAGCAACTGGACACAAAGTGTCTACAGCGCAGGTAGTACTGATTTCAAAAGCAACGTGCACGGTCGCAAGTTTTAGCGTACAGCTTTAGCAATGAGGGCTATCGTTTTAGCGCCACTGTAGAGTAAGGTCCTGTCACTTGCTAGTAGCGAAGACAGTGGCACCAACTGGTGAGCGCTAAAGTGGTAGGAGGACTATCGCATTTGCACTCATCAAGATGGCGCCACTGTAGAGTAAGATCCTGTCAATCGCCAGGGGTGCCAACTGTTAAGTATAAAAACGATAGCCCTCATTAATGTAGGTGACAGTTAAGAAGTGTTTCATGCGTAGGCGCTTTGATGATGCGTAGATGGCGCAGTTTAAGTCTCAATTAGACTCCATTAGCGAGCGTGGGTGCTTGGATCTTGGGGTCTGCTTATGTATAGTGGTGCCACCTCTCTGAAATGGGCCTAAAATGTCCAAGCTTACATTTGTTTTATTTCGACAGGTATCATACGCAGAAGCAACGTGCACGGGCGCAGTGAGCCTAGCGTCGCTAGTGACGCAATCAGATGCACAGGCGGCGCTTCTACAACACACTCGCACTGTATTAGAGGCAGCCATGGCGTTATTGCGAGCCGCCGCCGCTGCACGAGGCAACCAGAGGGTAAGTGACGTGATAGTGACGTGACAGTGATGTGACAGTGACGCAATAGTGGCGTGACAGCGACAGGGTTACTTGGATGACACAACGGCGACGCCACACCAAGGAGGATGCGTTAGCACGTATAGGAGAAGTTAAAGGGGCTATCACGTGTTAATGACGTGACAGCGATGCTGTAATAACAATGGGATGACGTGACTTGATTGTAATGGTGACGTGATAGTGACGCAGTGAGCCTAGCGTAACTAGTGACGCAATCGGATGCGCAAGCGGCGCTGCTACAACACACTCGCACTGTATTAGAGGCCGCCATGGCGTTATTGCGAGCCGCCGCCGCTGCACGCGGGAACCAGAGGGTAAGTGACGCGATTGTGATGTGACAGTGACGCAATAGTGGCGTGACAGCGACAGGGTTATTTGGATGACACAACGGCGACGCCACACCAAAGAGGATGCGTTAGCACGTATAGGAGAAGTTAAAGGGGCTATCACGTGTTAATGACGTGACAGCGATGCTATAATAACAATGGGATGACGTGACTTGATTGTAATGGTGACGTGATAGTGACGCAGTGAGCCTAGCGTCACTAGTGACGCAATCGGACGCGCAAGCGGCGCTGCTACAACACACCCGCACTGTATTAGAAGCTGCCATGGCGTTATTGCGAGCCGCCGCCGCCGCACGAGGCAATCAGAGGGTAAGTGACGCGATTGTGATGTGACAGTGACGCAATAGTGGCGTGACAGCGACAGGGTTATTTGAATGACACAACGGCGACGCCACACCAAGGAGGTTGTGTTAGCACGTATAGGATGGGTCAAAGAGGCGTGATAGTGACGTGACGGCGGAGCGGCAACAAAGGGGCAACGTGACATGATTGTAATGGTGACTTGATAGTGACGCAGTGAGCCTAGCGTCTCTGGTGACGCAATCGGACGCGCAAGCGGCGCTGCTACAACACACTCGCACTGTATTAGAGGCAGCCATGGCGCTGTTACGAGCCGCCGCCGCCGCGCGAGGCAACCAGAGGGTAAGTGACGAGATAGTGACGCGATTGTGACGTGACAGTGACGCAATAGTGGCGTGACAGCGACAGGGTTATTTGAATGACACAACGGCGACGCCACATCAAGGAGGATGCGTTAGCACGTATAGGAGGGGTCAAAGAGGCGTGATAGTGACGTGACGGCGAGGCGGCAACAAAGGGGCAAAGTGACATGATTGTAATGGTGACTTGATAGTGACGCAGTGAGCCTAGCGTCTCTAGTAACGCAATCAGATGCACAGGCAGCGCTGCTACAACACACTCGCACTGTATTAGAGGCTGCCATGGCGCTGTTACGAGCCGCCGCCGCTGCACGCGGGAACCAGAGGGTAAGTGACGTGATAGTGACGCGATTGTGATGTGACAGTGACGCAATAGTGGCGTGACAGCGACAGGGTTACTTGGATGACACATCGGCGACGCCACACCAAGGAGGATGTGTTAGCACGTATAGCAGAAGTCAAAGGGGTTATCACGCGAAAGTGACGTGACTGCGATGTTGTGGTAACAAAGAATCAACGATTTTCATTGAAATCTTGCGATACTTTTGGAGAAGCTTAACGACACCCTTGTAATTTTCACTTAATCCCGGTTTTTAGACCACTCTTTAGCGAGCGAGAATTGGATATGTCCGTGAAATGCTATCAAAACACTAATTCAAAGTCAATACGTCATTATTTACGCGTACAACCACCGTGTTGTGACGCAATGTGATTCCGTCTAGCTTGTCCAGTAGTATGTGCATAGCTGTGTTATTTGCCTTAACCGATCATTGTAAATTTTAGACCACCCATGCAATATTATCAATTGTAAGAACTGGATGTGTCCGCTAATGGCAATCAAAAACTAATTCAAAGTCAATACGTCATTATTTACGCGTACAACCACCGTGTAGTGTAACCTACAGTCCAGTATTACGTGCATAGTTATCTTATTTGCCTCAACCGATAATTTTTCCACAGGCCGTGTCAGCCCACAGCGAGGTCAACGCCCAATCCCAGCTGACTCGCTCGTCGCTGAGCGAACTGAGCGCGTTCGTCCGCTCACTGAGTACTGAGCGCGGCGCCGTCGGCCCACTGCTGGAGTCGCTCGCACGCTGCCAGCAGCGACTGGCTGAGAACAGGTAGGACTGAACTCATATAACGGACCCACGACATCTGAACTGGAACACGAAGGCTGGTACGAATCCTGCTGACTTGTGGTGAGCCCACTCGTGACACAAGCATATTTAGCTTAGTACGAAGGGCTAACGGGACTAATAGTAATTTATGCAAAACAAATTACTAGTAGTCTTTAAAAAAACATCCGGCTCGAAGGATCAATTTTTTCAAGTTGAAGAGCCAGTGAGGAGCGTTCAACCGCTGCTAGCAGCGCCTTGCTGAGAACACGTACGATTACTCATATCCGGCTCGAAGGACCAATTTTTAAGTTTAATAACAACCAAGAGACCTCGTTCTAACTATGAAATAACATTCAGTTTTCAATTATTTTGATCCATAGGTTCTAAATTCTAATCCTCAGGCTCAAGGGATCAATTTTATTGATGGCTGGTTTATATCCGGTTCGAAGGACTACATTTCATGTTTTAGAGTGAATACAAGGCACTTTGTTCTAGCCTAGAAATGCCATTGAGTTTCCTTTTTTATTACATAGTATTTTGATTTTTAGGTTCTAATCCGGGTTGAAGGACTAGCAGACTAAAATATATTTATTACCGCCTTCTTGTTGTGAGAATATATTTTATTATTTAGCTTTCAATATAATTAAATGCTTTTAACAAATAAGTAACAGTCATAATGCGGCTTGAAGGACCAAAATACGAAAGGTACCAATTAATTTAGGCAATTACATTTAAAGGAAACAGGGTTTCATTGGTGAAAATTAATAGTCAGTAGTTTGTCTAATGAACGAAATGTCTTTTATACAATTTAGACCAAGAGTTTGCACTTATGAACATCAAAATAAATAACTTAAAACAAAAGCTAGCCTTTAGACTACACTATGTACTTTATAATAATAAAACAAACTGAATGAAACATTTTCGCTACCCGCCCTTAACCGACCCAGCTGGCCTGCATTCAGAGCTATTTGCGGCGCGTAAGGTCAGTGTTTATTACGTTCGCGTGGTTTGAGATCGGCGAGGAATGTATTGAGAAGGTAGGGGACGGTACCCTACTGTACTGTACCCTATTAATAAGGTCTATGTCCTACCCTACGGTACTCTCATCATCATCATCATCATCATCATTTCAGCCATAGGACGTCCACTGCTGAACATAGGCCTCCCCTAATGCTTTCCACGTTGATCGATTGGTAGCGGCCTGCGTCCAGCGCTTCCCTGCTACCTTTACGATGTCGTCGGTCCACCTTGTAGGTGGACGTCCTACGGTACCCTATGGATAAAGTTTATGTGAGCTGTCAAAACGCAATCGACTGTAGTGTCGTCGCTATTTTATGAAAATGTGGTCCAATGTTGGTCATCAACAGTCCAAACATAAAATATTCCAATATCCAACTTTTACTAATTTTAGAAGTGTAAAAATTTTAACTCCCAATTTTCTAGATCCTTATTTCGGATTCGAATTTAATTGTTTGCGATGATACTGCAGAGATTTTGTTTTTTGTTCATTGTGTATTTTCTTGCGTAAATGCACAAGGCGTATATACATAAGGATGGCTTTGGTTTCTAAAATATTATTTAGTGGGATTTATTGGACCCAAAAAGAATTTAATTTAATGAGCTCGTGTCTTTGTTGTAGACCTACCTGAGTTGTTTGTATAGGTATTTATATTTCTTCAGTAAATTTCATAAAACTCATTTATTTATGCAAAAGCACTTACACGTCCCAGTATTAACCCTACCACTGCTTCGGGACAATAAATGGGCCAGTGCTGAGAAGAAGCAGCGCAAGAAACTCAGACACTATTGTCAGCCTCTTTTTCAAAGGTTTACAGACTTTAAAATATACAATCTAATCCCCACCGTATATTAATATGCCAGTATTTATAATGATACTTGAATAAGAGTGAAAGCGGTGCACTTGGCGCTCCGCCAGCAAGACTTGTCGATCCGCACGCGATTCATCAATCGATTTATAAATAAACCGCCGTAAATATAGCCGTGAACTGATGACTAAAATTCTCCAATTGACCGTGGTCACTCATTAAAAACAAATCTAACGAACTTTTAGAAACATTATGGATATAAAATATTATATCGCCTCCTAAAAGATACTGCACTACCTAAGCGCCCTTTCGCACGGCAGTTCATTTTTACGGATGATACCGCAAAATGCAGGAGCATTACTGAATCCCGCAAAATTGTGTGTTCACATGACAGTGTCCCAGTTTTTTGCGGTACAAATACAAAAAAAATATGTAGGAAGGCTGCTAGATACAGAACTCAGAGGCGAACTGTAATATAGTGACAATCACAATAAATCGATACCAGATTGCAGTGATACAAGGACTACATTTAAATAAAAAACGGAAAAAAACTATGACCAAGTTTTCTGTGGTTGAGGATTCCGGGTGAAGTTCGCTGAGAGGTGAGATGCAGGCCAAGAGCTTCTCCGTTATGGCCAAAAAAGCTACCATTGGCAGTATTCCAATCGCTGCAACTCCTGTGTAGCCAGGATTTACAGCTTGACCGCCAATAAAAGCCCAACCAGTGAATGTCAAGTCAGTCTGAGCAAAAGTTAAACTGTCATAGGGAAATTAGAAGAAATAAGAGGAGTTCCACTAAATATTTGACAAATAATCTTGCGCCAGAAACCGGCAGGTTTTCTAGCACAAACCACAAAACCCTGGCCTTCAAGTCTAGATCTAATGTATAAATAGCATTTCATTTTTATTGCTTTTCATTCTTGACACATGACGTAGACTGACGAGAGAGTTTTCTTGAACGCGCTAATCTCAGGAACTACAGTAGCCTTATTCACGTAACAAAACTTCAACGACAACAAAACACTAAGTTGCGATCCTATCGAGTAATCGTTCTATCAAAATGACCCTTGTGAATACAAAAGAACTGTTTTTAAATGGGATCAACTTATGAACGTCAGCGAGATCTTGACTGTTAAAATACGTGAATTAGGCCACTGCACAGTGATTCGAGTAGAACAAGCTAGCTGGACAATATTATTTTTTTACTTTAATGGGTTTAATACACGCATTACTTACTTTTTTGTGCAATTTAAGATTAATTAGGCTTGTTATTATAATTATAATAGGTAGGTTTGAAAAAAAAATTTTTTTGGTAATAAAATACTTATTTATTTAAAATCAAGAGAAACAGACTAAAAAGGAAAGAAGAAACTAACTTTACAGTATAATTGGTCTTATGATGTATTAGGTGTTAAAGTATGAAATTCCCGTTTTTTATGGACAATTTTATGAAAATCAAATAAACATTTTTGCGATTTATATGGAACAAAGAATCTCAGTTTTTTTTAATTTAGTTTGTAGACTGGGACAATATTAATGACTTGCCAAGTTGCTGTGGCCAGCAGACATTTGCGCTGCAGCTTCAGCAGCCAATATCAGTTCCCAAGTACTTCTTGAGGAAATGAGGTCTAAAAGTCTTCTTCTTTTCGTCTTTTTGCTGGACTCGTCGAACTCCTTGAGTGGTCGTCCAGGTGTAGAATCTTTCGCCGTGGAAGACTGAACTTTATGAACAGAAACATGTAACACTATGGCTCCGGGAATCCACTCAGTTTGGTTTTTCATGAAGCGTTCCCTGTTTTGCCGTATTTCGTCCATTGAAATGAAATTGAAATGCGACTGATGCTATTCTTCAACTCTCTCAGCAAATTTTCGTGATCCCAATACATCACATTTTGAGAATATAAATTAAAAATCATGCTATTCTGGTCACTTTTTCAATGTTTTAATCATTAATCAAAAAACTTGACTTTTTATTAATCTGAAAAAATAAAATTGTTGTGCAAAAGTGTGCAAACGTATAAAAAAGTTCATCCCCAATTTTCCACCCTTGGGGGTGAAATATTTTCTTCAAATTCGCATGAAACCACCCTTTTGATAATACCTATTCAACAAAAAAATAATCGTTCAAATTGATTTATAATCGGCGGAGATATTGCGTATAAAAAAGTTCATCCCCAATTTTCCACCCTTGGGGGTTGTTTTTTCTATTATTAAATTTAAATGGGACCACCCTTGAGGTATTACCTATACGCCGAAAAAAGATTTTTTCAAATCGGTTCATAATTGGCGGAGTTATCGCGTAACAAACATAGAAAAAAAAAAAAAAAAAAAACATACGGGTCGAATTGAGAACCTCCTCCTTTTTTTTGAAGTCGGTTGAAAACTAGTGTTTAACTTGAGTGAAACCAGGTTATTCGCTAGTTTATTACGTTGCGGAATGTAGACTGCATTATTATTAAATATGTCATCACTAAAGCGTTATGACTGTCGCCAGATAATAATAGCTAGACAATGTTACACTGAGATTATTGTGATGCGCTCAGTATGAACAATAATGTTTTCTTTAGTCTTTTTAACCTGGAGGTCCTGGGTTCCATTCCCAAACAAATTTTAAGAAGATTGCAACCTTGAATCAACTCGTTCTGCTGAAAAAAATATGTTTCGTGCTTCTAAGGACACAAGCCGTTGATTGAGTTATGCCAAACGTTTATACGGGATCATAGTAAAGTCATCAGTTGCTAAATAAGAAACCAAAATTAACTATGGGACAGTTGACATCAATAAGTAAATAAATACTTCCATGACAGTCCTTAAATAAAAATATCATTCTAGCCCTGAAAATTAATTAGTTTTAAATTTTTATGGCTTTGAAATTATTTTCTTTGGAAAGCTTTGACCTAATGACTCATCATCATTGCCACACCATATCTATGGGAGAATCCCATTTTGACAGCCTTAAAAAGTATGTCAATTGTACACTATTGTTTACCCTGACTGAAGAGTTAGTATTTATATTTACATCTAGTGCTAAAATGACGCCGTCTTGCCAGTCTCGCCGCGCAAACAGAAGTGAGCACATTTGTTTACTACGCTGCGCGTGAGTGCTTGTGATTCAATAGTTTGTAGTGGTTGTAAAAGTGGCGAATTCAGTGCAAAATAGACTGTGGGTGACTGGAGTGTCGGTCATGGAGAGGATCAGGCTTATGGGGAAAATGTACGTGGTTTTGTTAAAGAAGTTACACCCCATAATGGGTATTTTTCATTGGGATAAATAGCACAACAAAAATACTGTTTACCTACACTTTTGAACCGGAAATCATTTTACGAAAGTGTTTTTCAGTGTCGGACGTTCTACTAATACATAATATATATGTACTTATGTGAATTGTGGAATTTTGTGAGGATGGATGTTTGTGTATTACTTTTTGACGGAAGATCTATGAAAGAATTTCGATGAAACTTGATGGGCCTTATCACATGTTTATCGTGTGAATAGTATTAAATAAACTGATGAAACAAACGCTGGCCATAACAGCGTATTACACTAGAAAATTTCGACAAGTTCACCTAAATGTAAAGCTGAGTTGCACCTTTTATTTTTATTTTGCAGTTGTTATTTAAACCGTGACAATAACCATAACCGGTGTTTATATTTTGTAGTTTGACGTTTGTCAAAGTTAAAGTAAAATTGTAAAACTCAGCCTGTAACTCAGATGATCAAGAGCAGTCGCCCGGCAAGCTAAAGTTCGTGGGTTCGATTCCCACCTTAAAACTTTTTCAAGTTATTTAAAATCTAGTGCCAGTATTACGTTATGGCAAGATATATTTGGGACGTGTATAAGTGCCCTGGAGAGGGCCTATGTACTGAATAAACATTTTTATTTATTTATTTTATGTGTGTTTGTCCCCAGGATGTCTCTGATCGCGTCGTACGACGAGAACGACTCGTTTGTTGACTACCAGGCGCGTATGATCGCGGCTGCCAAGGAGATCGCGCGACTCGCCACAGACATGGTAAGCCACATATACAGGGTGGAAACGATAAGTGATCTCATTCGATTATTTTTAAACTATACAAGATATCGAAAAACTGGTTACTGATCCTGAAAGTGCTTCACGAGCTCTATCCAACGGTACCAATAATAGGTTACAGAATTAACTGGATCTATCCGAAAATTAATTGTTTTCAGCTTCCATACATTTAGTAAAACCACATAATATTAAAAACTATACAAGATATTCAAAAACTGGTTACTGATCCTGAAAGTGCTTCACGAGCTCTATCCAACGATACCAATAATAGGTTACAAAATTAACTGGATCCATCCTAAAATTCAATGTTTCCAGCTTCCATACATTTAGTACAGCCACAGTCATGGCACTCATGTCTTGATAATATTATAGCAAGTAAAGCCTAAAACCAATGTTTTCCATGAATAATTTTAAATAAGAATGCAATTTACGAGTTCATTTTAAGTGTTTATTGTTTAATAAAAAAAATTGGGAAGTACTAGTTCTATTTTGATGATCATCAGTGAGTGAGTGAGTGTCGTAAATGCGAAACTTTGCTTTCGCTTAACTTCGGAACTAAATGACCTACAGACTTGAAATTTTGGATTTTAAGTATGTGATTATAGCTTACTAGATGACGAAAATTTCTGCGTTCTGGTCTTATCCAGAGGTTCTCAAATAGGGGCCTGAAAATGCGGCGAAATGGTTCCAGTAAAGGATGGTACGGCAGTGTTTGCTTCGCGCTCGACTTGGCGGGGGCACTGCCGTGCCCCCAGATTTGTACCGTTTGAAAGAGCTTGTGAAGCACTTTCAGAATCAGTAATCAGTTTTTCGATATCTTGTATAGTTTAGAAATAATCGAGTGAGATCACTTAACGTTTCCACCCTGTAGATGACCCACGCTGAACTGTCCCACCAAACGCAATGACAGGGGAGGCTACCATCGTTCAACTCTATGGTTTCCAACATGGCAAAAATCGGAACCAGCGATCCGGTATTGACGGTGGCGCCCCACTGTCAATGTCATCGACAGGACAGTCCAGTATTTTGGAACTATAACGCATAACTGACTTGTTTCCTGCGGCAATGAAGAGGCGTAGAACTCCATTTTTATAACGTCAAAAGCCGCAGGATCTGACAGTACTGTGACGTCACATTTCACTACTCCCGCATCGCTCCACTATCGTAATTATTTTTACGTCTGCTTCACTACTTGTTGATAAAGTCCCTGGGAATTTAGCTGTCATTCAGATAATATTTCTGTCAGATAATGTTAAAGTAGTGGCGATTTTATATCTCTCTAACTAAAGAAATCACGAAAATTTTCCGATTTGGAAAAAGCAACGTCTTTTATGGCATTTTCAACTACTACAGGTGCAATAATATTGTTAAACTAGCGGCCGCCCGCGACTTCGTACGCGTGGATCCCGTTTTACCCCCTTCATCTATCTTACGCGGTTTAGATTTTTTTCATATACATGTTTTCTCCCGCTAACTCCCGTTCCCGTGGGAATTTTGCAATATCCTGTTGTAACTAAGCTTTAAGTTTACTAAGGTACCTGCATGACAAATTTCAAGCGTCTAACTTAATCGGTTTAGATTTTTCATACAAAAGGATTTTCTCGCTAATACCCGTTTCCGTGGGAATTTCGGGAATTCCTTGTTGTAACTAAGCTTTAAGTTTACTAAGGTACCTACATGCCAAATTTCAAGCGTCTAACTTAAGCGGTTTAGAATTTTCATACAAAAGGATTTTCCCGCTAATTCCTGTTCCCGTGGGAATTCCTAAGTATACTATAACCTGTCCAGGAGTATGAAGAATAATAGTACCAAGTTTCGTTAAAATCCGTCGAGTAGTTTTTGTTTCTATAAGGAACATACAGACGGACAGACAAAAATTTTACTGATTGCATTTTTGGCATCAGTATCGATCACTAATCACCCCCTGATAGTTATTTTGAAAATATATTTCATGTACAGAATTGACCTCTCTACAGATTTATTATAAGTATAGATTTTGACAAGACAGCGTATGAAAGAGTAGCTATATGAGTGTATTAATTTTCTCAGACGGCGAAGTCAGCCACCGACGCCAGTCGTCTGGTGCAGCTGGGCAGCGAGATGGTGCACAAGTACGAATCATTGGCGCAGGACAGCTTGGGAGCCGCCGCTACTACGCCCAACGCAGACGTCGCTAACAGGTGAGCTGATAGTGACCTTATATTTAGCTGAATAAGGTTCAGAGTGGAAGCAATTCGTCACGAAAAGTGTCTACGTTGAGTGGATAAAACAACTTATTACTTGTACATAAGGGTGGTTTTAATGTCGTGCGGATTTCATCACGGACGTGGGGATAAAAACACCCTAAGACAGAATACTAAGTTTGCGCACCTTGATTCAAAATACACACGAGTCGCCAAGAGATGAGCCACTTACGTTGCCGTTACACAGAATACACGAGTGTATTAATTGTTCTACTATCTACAATGAGTCATAATTTATGACATTCCCTAATTAAAAGGTAATGGCTTACACTCCCCAAGATTTGACACTGTCCTGACGATTTCTCCCTTAGTTGAATTTTGGAAATCCACAGGAGAATTAAGGGGGTTCCTATTCTACTCTGCCAAAACCATACGGCTATACAAGCCGTCTTTACACTCAATAGAAGCTGCTGACATACACATAAACAAAGTAATAAAGTTCTCTTTTTCAAATTGAAATCATTTATTTGCATAATATGTGTGTTATAACATAATAATATACTGATTTATCTTTTCCTCTTACAGCATCCGCTCCGCAGTGGTGGAGCTAGGAGAGAGTGTATCGGAGTTAGTTCGTGCGGGAGGCCACTGCCGACTTGCTGCGTTGCCGCAGAATCAACGAGCCGTCGCGCAGCACGCACAGCGGGTCAGCGAGAAGGTAAGACATAGAAAGAAAGACATTACAGTAGACAGATAAGACGTATTCAGAAAGTTGGGCGTATCCAACAGCGCCTCCTATCAAGAAACAGACATGGGCGTATCCAGCAGTATCTTCTAGCATACGGGCGTGTCTAGGTGGAAGGACAGTCCTTATAGTCTAGGTGGAAGGACAGTCCTTATAGTCTAGGTGGAAGGACAGTCCTTATAGTCTAGGTGGAAGGACAGTCCTTATAGTCTAGGTGGAAGGACAGTCCTTATAGCATCCCATAGTGTAAAAACAGAGACATGGGATTATTCAGGGGGGAAAGCAGATCCTCCTCCTATGCCACTTATAAATACGCAAAGTCTTTGAGCCGGCTGAAGTTCGCCTCAGACGAAACAACATCGGGGTAAGATGCAGGGCCGCGTGTTTCCAGAAAGATCCTCTGCAGCAGCTCCAGTCTAAGGTCTTCGTAAAGGGGACAGTACCAAAGAATGTGGTAGCGATCCTCCTTGCTCTCAGCACACATACTGGTATTCAGAGGGGGGTAGTTTCTACAGTATCCCGCTCTGCAGTGGTGGAGCTAGGAGAGAGTGTATCCGAGTTAGTTCGGGCGGGAGGTCACTGTCGACTCGCTGCGTTGCCGCAAAATCAACGAGCCGTTGCGCAGCACGCACAGCGCGTTAGCGAGAAGGTAGGAATATAGACTTTATAGAACGGAGATAGAGGTGTAGGCGTGTCTAGGGGGCGGGGCAGTTCTTATAGCATCCTATAGCGAAGATACAGAGGAATTCGCATGACCAGGGGTGAAAAGCAGTTCTTACAGCATGGGAACGAAGCGTAGCCATATCCAACAGTATCTCCTAGCGTAGAAATAGAGGTGTAGGCGTGTCAAGGGGTCGGGGCAGTTCTTATAGCATCCTATAGCGAAGATACAGAGGAATAGGCAAGTCCAGCGGTGAAAGCAGTCCTTACAGCATGGGAACGAAGCGTAGCCATATCCAACAGTATCTCCTAGCGTAGAAATAGAGGTGTAGGCGTGTCAAGGGGGCGGGGCAGTTCTTACAACGTCCAATGGCAGAGACACAGAGACGTAGGCGTATCTAACAGTACCTCCTAGCGTAGAAACAGATGAATGGGTGTGTCCAAAGAAAGCCTGTAGTCCTGTAGTATAGAAACAGAGAGCATATCTAGAAGAACTGGCGAAGGGAGTTCTTACAGCATGTAGCATTGACAAAGAGGAATCGACGTATCCAGGGCAGGAAAGGTAGCTCCTAGCATCCAGCATTTATACTTTTTCTTTCTTTCTTAAACAAGAGACATTGGCGTATCCAGGGGGGCGGGGCAATCCTTACAGCATCTCAAAGACAAGCAAACAGTATTGATTCCAGCAGGAGCAAGAATATTGTTTCCAGCACGATCCCTTGCAGTAAACTCCTGTCTAAGGTCCTCGTAAAGAGTGTCCGCACGATACCATACCTCGTAACGCCAAAGAATATGGTGGCGATCCTCCTCACCCTCACCATACACGCAGCTCCCGTCGTCTCTAGTATCCAAGAGAGCAGGGCAGTTCCTATACTATCCGCTCCGCAAAGCGTGTCAGAACTAGTTCGGGCGGGAGGCCACTGCCGACTTGCCGCGCTGCCGCAGAACCAGCGAGCCGTCGCGCAGCACGCACAGCGGGTTAGCGAGAAGGTAGGAATATAGACTTTATTTATTTATTTATTCATGAATAGAACGGTAGTACCAATTACACTATTCAAACAAGACGTAACAAAGCTCAGAATAACATTATAGCACGGAGATAGAGGTGTAGGCGTGTCTAGGGGGCGGGGCAGTTCTTATAGCATCCTATAGCGAAGATACAGAGGAATGGGCATGACCAGCGGTGAAAGCAGTTTTTACAGCATAGAAGCAGGAGGCGTGGGCGTATCCAACAGCAATTCCTATCGTAGAAGCAGGTTCCTATAGGGTCCCATAGCATAGAAACAGAAGAGGAGAAACACCCAGGAGAGGAGAGGTAACTCCCTAATCAACTATAGCCATACGATCTACGCAGATTTTGCATCTGCTAGGCAGTAACATAAGAATAGCGTATCCAATAGCATCTCCTAGCGAAGAAACAAAGGAATGGGCGTACCCAAGGGGCGGGGCAGTTCATACAGCATCCCATAGCAGAAAAACAGGCGTAGTGTGTTGCCAGCACGATCCCTTGCAACAGCTTCTGTCTAAGGTCTTCGTAAAGGGGACAGTACTAAAGAATGTGGTAGCGATCCTCCTTGCTCTCAGCACACACACTGGTATTCAGAGGGGGGTAGTTTCTATAGTATCCGCTTCGCAGTGGTGGAGCTAGGAGAGAGTGTATCGGAGTTAGTTCGTGCTGGAGGCCACTGTCGACTCGCTGCGTTGCCGCAGCGGGTTAGCGAGAAGGTAAGACGTGGGATTATAAACATTAGCCAGATGACAGAAGCATCGGTATATCTAGGGGGCGGGGCATTTCTTACAATGACCCATAACGTAGACATAGAGGCATGGGTGTATCAATAGCATCTACTAGTGTAGAAACAGAAAAAATGGGTATGTCCAGGGGCGGGATAGATTTTACAGAGACAGGGGTGTAGAAGGTGTTTGTATTATTATTATAAAGAGCTGTGGTTTTCTGAATAAAGAAAAATAAAATAAAAAATACAGCGTCCAGGATAGAATCAGAAGCAGAGACATATCCAGAAGGGAGGACAGTTCTTTCGGCATCTCATAGCATAGAAACAGAGACAGGGGTCTCGAAATGGTAGGGTGATTGCTATAGTAATTAGCTTATACATAGTTGGCATATTGGATTGTTAATAAGTAAGTGACAAAAATATTTACTACATTGGACTGCGTATTGCTCAGAAAAAATATTTGTCTCTTTTCCTCTCTTAATAACTTCCATTAGGCTTGTTTCTTTTAATTTTAGGGAAGTTGGCCAATAACTATGTATTGGCTAATTACTATAGCGATCACCCTACGCTCCTCCATACCAACTTTATAATTTTCGCCCTTGTGTCCAACCACAGGCCTAAAAATCTGATCTACCCCCTCTTGGCCTGACTGTCCAGAAAAGCGTGGCTACATCGTAGAACTGCTATTGCTATTTCATGGCTACAAGTACTGCCATCGTTTTGGCATGACTACGTCATAGCACTGCCATCGCTACAGCGTGGTCATATCGTATCACTTTTTGTGGTTCTATTCTATTCTACTTAGCTCACTAACATTGAACGTTGTCTCCAGGTGATAGCAGTGCTCAGCGCTCTCCAGTCGTGTTCCCGCGGCACTCAAGCTTGCATCGACGCGGCTGCCACCATCGCTGCCATTATTGGCGACCTGGACACCACCATCCTGTTCGCTAGTGCTGGTGAGTGGATATCTCCAGGTGTAGCGGTCAATATTATCATCATCATTTCAGCCACAGGACGTCCACTACTAAACATAGGCCTCCTCCAATGATTTCCACATAACCCGGTTGGTGGCGGCCTGGAACCAGTGCCTTCCTGCTAAAATAAAAACGGGACTATTCCCACCTCTCGTTCCCACCGCTGCAACTCCTGTGTAGCCAGGATCTACAGCTTGACCGCCAATAACTCAACCAGTGAAAGTCAAGTTTGTCCCGGAGGGACGATAAACTGTCATTGGACCCGACGAAATTAATCAAAGTAGATTAATATCCAACCCACTCTGGATTCTAGTACACTTGCGCGAACTCACAATGTGAGATCGCATTATACGTAATAAGCCATGCGCTTGGGCACTTGCGCAAATTTTTTCCTTAATTATTCTGAGTATGATGATGACACAAAAAAATAAGTCATTCAAAAGTGATGCATGGACGTGTATAATTAGTCGCGTAAAGTCTTTAGAACGACGTCTTGCCAGCGCCCACGGAACGTCAATAAAGTAGAACTATTAAGATAGATACATAGACCTAGATAAATTGCTTCAAAGCCAACACTAACAAACACTTGTCCTCCAACAGGCACGCTCCACTCTGAGAAAGAAACAGACACGTTCTCAGACCACCGCGAGAGCATCCTGAAGACGGCCAAGACTCTGGTGGAAGACACCAAGACGCTGGTCGGCGGCGCCGCCGGCTCGCAGGACCAGCTCGCCGCCGCCGCCGCTGCCGCCGTCAGCACTATAGGTATGTCACTAACCTATCTCTCTCTCACTCACTCTCTGTTTCATAATTTCATAATATTTGATGTACAGTCACGGAATGAAAAGGTTCGTCAGTTTTCAAATTGATTCCTTCAACGAATCGCGAGCACATATTACCTTTTGAAACTATGTTACAGAATAATCTCGAGTTAGAGAAAATAATCTTTAACTGTTCCTCAGTAAAGTTCAAAATTATTCTGATCAAAGTTGTTTGACGATTTATCTTGTCAAGAAGATTATTATGATTGATAAACTAAAACCTTCTTATTGGTTCAACCTGCCATTATTATTTCTATGAAATAAAAAAAAACTATTGTCAATTGATCAATGCCATCATTGCATTGCACTGATGACATAGAAATATAAACAAGCAAAACCTTATTCGTTAGCAAACGTCATATTTATTTAAATGTTAGCAGCACTGTTTTTTGCACTGTTATGTTGGCAGGTTTGACTCTTACAGTACCTAGTGCAAGCGAAAACCGACACTAAGGTGACGAACCTTTTCATTCCGCGACTGTACTCGAATTTGGTTATTCTTACCGTTAGATAATTCCTGGCAATTAGTGGTGACTGAGTTTGTTCCGGCGTTTCTTCTCAGCACTTGCCATATGTTTGTCTCGAAGCGCTGGTAGGGCCCAAAAGATAAGGAGACATGTAAAGTGCCCCGTAAGGGCTACCTTTTCTTTTTTATTATTTTCTATAATAATATTTTGACGTTCATAAGTGCCACTTGTGGTCTAAACTGAATAAATACTTTTGATTGATTTTGAACACTTTATTGTTTCATTTTGTAAGAAGGTATTAAGCTAATACATACGTATATACCCTCAAATGAACCCTGACAGGGCATTATAATATTCAGTTATTAATTATGTATCACTAATTATGTTTGTCTCTCTCTCTCTCTCTTTCTCTCACACTCTTTTAAATACACACACTCCCTCACTGAAAAATTTGAGATTAACTGAGAGGATTCGACCTAAAAGCTACACTCCTCACTCCTCACGCTTTGCGAGATTACTCCGAAATATTTATTTATTTATTTAATAACAATCTTAGTTCTAACATTACAGGTTACCCCAATACTTAAACTGTAGTTGGATCTTTGAACGCAGTTTCTTTTTAAAAATAAAGGAATGTTTTCTATATGAATAAAATTTTCTATCTACACTGCAGTAGTACTTTCAATCAAAGTGGTATTACAAAATTCCACCCTGTATAGTGACTAGTAGTAACTGGTTAGATGTCCGTCTGTCGCCATAATAACTATATTAACCGAATACATAATTTTCTTTTTTTCTTCAGTCGGTTGAAAAATGTAGTTTACTACACAAATATCTTTAAATGTATTTTATCCTGTATTTTGTGTGATAAAATAAATCATTTATTTATTTAAAAAAGCATATGGCTAAATGCTATTTAAAGTCCCTTTCTTACATTTAAATAAAACGCAAACTTTAAATTCTTACACAATGCTCATTCTGGTCTTTCCCCAACAGTGCAACTATGCGAAGTGGTCAAACAAGGCGCCATGTCCCTCGGCTCCGGTAGCCCCGAGTCCCAAGTTCTATTACTACACGCGGCACGCGACGTCGCCGCAGCATTGAGAGACTTGGCCGCTGCCACCACGGCGGCCAGTGGCAAGCACCACCACCACCCTGATATGGCACGGCTGAAGCATGCTGCTAAGGTAAGGTTATGATGTAGGTGGTATACTTGCTAAGAATCTTATTACTTAAGGATCTCTAACGTGTTACAGTCAGGGTCGAATAGTTCGTGACGTGTTTTTGTGACACTAAAAATTAAAACTAACCCTTGAGTAACGTAGTTTTACTAATTACTTTATATTGTAAATTACTGGGTTGTTTAAGTGAATAAATATTTATTATTATTATTATATAACCAAACTAGCCAAAAAGTTCGCAACACGTCTTTGTTACAGTTGGAATAACGTTGCGTTGTTTACTTTTTTGTGAACTTTTTTATTTCAATGAGGGTTTTCGCGAATGAAAAATCCGCCAGATGGCAATACGCAGACGCGAGGTCCAAATGCTGCATGATTGGTTATTTTTGACATGACATTGACAGATATGTCAAAATCCACCAATCACGCAGCAGTCAGACCCCACATCCACGTCCCGCCATCTAGCGGATCTTTCATTCGCGAAAACCCTTATTGAAACAAAGACGTGATGCGAACTTTTTGGCTACTTTTGGTATCAATCATGAATTACTTGATGCTGACTATACTAGCTGATTGTGATAAGGGCAAGGAGAAGTTTAGGAATCCGTCGTGTGTTACTAAGTTAAGAGTAAGCAATAAACTCCAGGAGCGTACAATAAATTATTATATTACAATGATCTAAGAGCCAGCGTAAGTCTGTATCGAAACACACATTTTGTCAGTTGCATTACTGCGATGTTTTATGGCACCATAATTATAATCGTGGTGTTATATGCATAGCTAGACTAGTTTTGTAGATATTATATATCATTTTATCAAAGTATAAAGCCATATTTTGTAGCACTCTGAAATAGCAGTATTAAATTGCTACCACAGAGGTGTTTAAAGTTTTACCATCATTTATTTCATTTGTTGAATTTAAAACAATCACCAGGTTTAATAATAGTCATTTTTTGTTTTTATCGCAATGTTTTAGATAGGTAGTATAATGATTATTAATTTAACACATTTAAATGTTTTACTAGTTTATAGCACACTAATTGTTATTTTTATTAATGATGACTAAGACACAATATTGGCAACTATATGACACGCCTCTATTCCAAATTTTACTTCTGATGTATGTTTAATTTTGGTATAAATTAAAACTTAAAAGTACTATGTTTAAGATGCCTACAATATGGTAGTCTTTAGAACTTAATAATGATTGCAAAATGTTATTTTTATTGCTTTTCAACCGTAAGAAAAGGTCTTAAAGATATAAATACAATGACCCTTACATTCCACTACTGCAAGGGTTAACGAACTCTAATATTTCTTTCAATAGACTATTATCATATCTCATCTCCAAATTGTCTCTCTGCCCTGCTCAAAATTTGTGATTTCTATTGCCTTCTCAATAAAGTCTAAATTGTCCTAATACCAAAATTAAAAATCATCAGAACTCACCATGTACAGATCAAAGTGTGCCCATGTGTCGCTCATTCTGTCAATATTGGACTTTCTCGACTAATGCCAACTTTTTGTAGCGGCTGGCGGACCACACGAAGCGGTGGAGCCTCCCCCTAAAGCGTAACACGCTGCCGCGTCAAGCGAAACGGCTGTCAGTCCATCTCTCTCTAAAGCCCGACTACAACTCGTGCGATTCCGAGACCGATCTCTTCCAATCGGACCAAGAGGAAGAATTGCTCAAGCTTCTAGACTATTCCAGTCAAGATGATGATGTATCCCCATCGGTCTTCCACGATAATTGTGAAGAAGTGACTGCGTACATCGAAAATTTAATGAAGAATCCAACAAAAACTGTCATAGATGACGATGTCAATGACAGATACAATATGGCGGCTAGGAATAGCTTGATAGATATGGATTGGCGCGTGCTTAAGTACGGCGAGAATATACTACTGGGTGAAATTAAGAAATTGGTTGATTTCGTTGGTGATGTCTTCGATAAGCAAGAAAACAAGCGAAAGAGAGATGTCTTGTACAGACTTAAAGCTAATAATGACCTGGACAACGAAATGCAAAGGCTTTCTCAAGTTATAGAGGATATGGATTCCGAAATTGTTGAGACAACAGTCACTACTGTCACTAAAACAGAAATAGTGCCGACGAAGAAGCCAAAGACCGATGACGTTAAATTAACCAGTCCAGTGTTCAAAGTCAATAAAGTTAGACCAGTGAATCTTTCAATCAATTTGGATGTCAAATCTGAACCAAACACACCTCTGATGAGTCCCGAACAGAGACAAAAAGATGAATCCACTGAACTAGTTGTCAAACCTGACGTCAAAACAAAGGAAGTCAAGTTAGACTTTTGGAAAATGTTCAAAGACGACTCGGAGTGGTGGAAGGGACTGGCCAAAAGAAATTTGGAAAAAATGGAAGAGACAAAACGAGAATTGGCCAGATTTAGCGGCCACGAACTAGTTTTGGGTGAATTCCAAAATGAGATAGATAGATTTGAAAAAGAGAAGGTTACGTTGCAGTCGTTTATCGATGAAGTCGACAAATCGAAAGCTGTCAACAAGGACTTGGAATACGATAAGAAATACGAGGATATGGTCTTGAAACTGATTGAATTCGCAAAGAAAGATTTCATTTACAAAGGTTTCGATCCTCTCATCGAACAGCTAAAGCAGTTGTCTAACATCAAAATCGAACATCGTAGAAAGAAAGTCAATATACAAGACATCATCAACATATACACTCAAATAGATATATCCAAATACACATACGAAGAATTGTGTCTACTAGAAAAGTATTACAAAGAGATTATTCGCAAATACAAAACGGAGCATTTGAATAAAGAAAACATAATACCAAGAGAGCCAAGCTACGACAGAGAGGTTGAAAACAGATCAGCGCCGCCATCTTACCACAGAAACGTCATTCTAAACATCCATTCCAGTCAAAACCTAACCAAAAACATAAACTCCTACTCAAACTCGATGATAGCTCACACAAACTCCTTAGAAAGGTCTAAATCCAACCAGCACAAGTCTAGAAACAACACAGAAATCTTCGACCTGACTAGAACGTACCCTATGGAATACTACGCGAATAACTGGTGGTCGATATACGAAGACATTTTGAAGAGTCGCGAGCACCAATTCGGTTCTATAGACAACTGGTGGCGATTCTATGAAGCTATACTAAATAAAGAAGATACAAATGATGAGGAATTAAGAAGACTCCGCGCTGTGGTTGGATACAGGAACAGTCTTCGAAGACCGAACAGTAGACTGGGTGATCTCATGAAGAAAATAGACGAAGTGAAAACGCAGAGTTTCCGAGAAGAAGAAAACGTTCGAAGCACCAACGATCAATCGGTTAGGGCATGGTGTTCGCTTGAGTGGTTAACTTCATTCATGCTGTCTTATTAATTTTGTTATGCTGATGTTTTGGTCATATTTGAGAGCTATACGAGTAAGTAGGTTATTTATTTCAAATGATTCGCTTTAGGCTGGCCCCACACGTTGGCTCTAATGTTGGTCGCAACGCATCTCGTCCAACGTGTGGATGTAGCAAATAGTATTGGCCCCAACGTTGGGACAAGCTTTTTAGTAGCATTTGGTCCAACATTGGGGTCTACTTGTGAAGTTGGTCTTAGGTACGATAAGTCATTTTTTATTAAAGTCCCCCCGGTCTACTATTGGACAGAGTACCCCCGGTGATTTAGTTGTCATTTCATTTGATAAGGCCACCGTGTGTCATAGCTAGATTGGCAGACATTTCGGCAACCGGGGGTAAGTATATCTGTTTCATTCTATAAAGCTTTCTATCTCTTTTCCTCTTCTTTAAAAGATGTAAGATTTTTTAATTACTTTTGTCTTTGAATAGCGATATAATTTGTAATTTGATGATAAAAATTGGCTTGAATATTATCAAAAACATCAGCAACTGTCACTTTCCTGTCATTAAGCCGCGCGCCCGCGGCGTCTAAACACATTCCAATGCAACTCTCCACAGATCACCATGGTTACCGGTGGAGCTTACTCCGCTTGTCGTACAATAACCAAACACCATAAGCTTTCATTTATTTAAAGTCCAATATTGACGTTTATATTGACGATATACGCTTCACCATATAAATATTTTATTTATTTATATCTCTTTTTTGTATGCAGCTTTATTGGTTGAACGTGGGATGTATTGGAAAACATTTTTAAGTAAAAAATATCTTCTACAGCTTTAAGTTATATAACGGTTGTATAACATTTTGTTCTAATTAAGTGTTCTTAATAAATACATTGTCACGTAGCATGCATGGGGTATATAAGACGTTCACCCGGGCCCTTTCGCTCTCATACAATTAAGCAAGAAAGAAGCAGCTTGCTTCGTGGCAATGTTATGAACACTTACTGGCCAAAACATTCAATACATCCTCCGTAAAACCAATAGCTGCATAACGGTGTAATTGAAAGCTTCTGGGTGACCGCTATACAGCATGCGATGCTTTCGACGTCCGCACTGGTTTTTATCATACGTTCTAATATATACGGGAGCCCGAAGCTTTTTGTGTCGAATAATGTTGTACAAAAGGTCTATAAAAAACACCTTCGTTAGTAACTCCCAGCTCTATAATATTGTATGTGAAAAATACTGAGCTGGTGTACCATGTCATGATAGCTGCTAAAATATCCTTTGTAATAGGCTAGTTTCCTAAAAAAATCCGTAATGTTTAATATGTATCAAAAAATATTGGACACATATATTTTTATTTGTCAATCTAACAAATAATTACATAGTTATGGTGCGTTGAAGTTCCGCACGACGTCACAACGTGCGGCACTTTTATGCACGCATTGACGTCACGGGCCTCTTCTTATGAACTTTGGCGCGCTTTATCTCTTTAAATTTTCATTAGTTTGAAAAAGTGAAAAATACGTGTAGAGTATTTATTGATAAGTTAACTGACGGACTAATTAAAACTCTTGCTTTTTGACCCAGGAAACATCCCTATTGTATGCAATAACATGAATTAGAAAGATGTGTTTTAGAGGCAGGTATCACTGTTTGTGTCACGCGAATTGAGTTATACACAGAAAAATGGACGATATCTTATTAGAACCTTTAGCTGTATAGGGCTTATTGCTATATTATGCTTAAGTGTCTTCTTTTAACGACTATTCAGCATCTAAAACAAGGGAGGGGAGAAGTAAACCCTGGTATCAATCGACCGTATCATAAAATCTCTTATGTAAAATTTCTTCAGACGACAATGTTACTGTAAAATTATATTTTTAGTTGATCTGTAACAATTAATAAATGGTTAAGTGAATTGTTGTACACGTAACATAGAAACTTCTATTACTATGGAAGACCTCAAAGACTATTTCATTCTCCATCTACGTTTGTGACCTTTAGTGCTATAGTCAAATCTACCAATTTGTTAGAACATAATACACATTTTAGCAGCTGGAATGACATAGTTTCTATCTTTCTACCTACATGTAAATATGAATGTTGTTTACGTATGTTTGTTAGACACTAATATATTATTATGTGAACCTTTTGTCGCGTTGTTTTGCACAGTTAAGTTATAATAGTTAACCTATCACGGTGTCACGCGGTCATTCGAACGCTGGATCACGCGGGTTTGCTTGGATGGGAGAGATGACGGACGAATTTTATTAAAATTATGTATTTTGTAGGTTTTTTTGAGATTCAAAGTCGAAGTATTTATTTACTGTTATTGTGATGGCTATAAACGTACTGGCTCTAAAAGTATTTTTTTGGTATTGTAAAAGGTTTTGAGAAAATAGAGATCTATAGTAGCACAAGATAATTCAATTTCTCTGTGGAAAAATCTAAAATTCGTAAAAATAGTTATCTATCTGATTGGGATGCATGAAAACTCTTATTCATTCCTAAGTCTTGCAAAGCAGTAACAACACACTTGAGAAAAAAAAGTTACTTTTATGTGCCTTGAATATGCGTTCAATATCATTGTGTACTAAAACTGTGATTACTGATACAATTTCCGGTTGTCAAATGAACAAAACTTCTTCAAAATTCGTCCGTCCATCTCTCCCCGCCCACTCCACACCTCCAATCCAGTACTGACCTATGACGTCATTGCGCAGGTGATGGTGACCAATGTGACGTCACTGCTGAAGACCGTCAAGGCTGTGGAAGACGAGCACACCAGAGGGACGAGGGCCCTCGAGTCGACCATAGAAGCTATCTCGCAGGAGATTGAGGTGAGTGATTATGAATCTTGTTGTATAGAAAATAGAGTGCAAAATAGGTCTCAGTTGTAGCAGGCCTGTTCATCTCCGCGAGTTTACAACGAAAACATAACACGCACGATGGCCCACCTACAGGATACTATTCGACAAGGCCTCACATACGAGCGAACATTGACTCACGCACGCGTAGTCTTGTGTATGATGGAAGAAAATAAAGAAAATGGTGTACTAAATACTGTGCAGTATTTAACTGCCTGAATAATAACAAAAACACAGAATTTACTTTTTTAAGTTTCCTCAAGCCACTGATAGGTAAATAAGTAGTTAATATTGTTCATGATAATTCATGCTAAATCATGTATTTCCTCCGCCATTTTCCGCAGTTTGGCACCTCACGTCACATCATTTTACCGAAGTCAGCCCTATAGCTTCGGCGCAGTGCCGATCACTGACGTTTGTCAACAAAATGGTGCTTGACTCTTGAGACAGGCTAAATTACACCATATTGTTAATGACATTGAGCATACATTTTTTTTAAATACCTTCGCGAAGTAAAACTTCTGTACGTAGTACTTATTATTATTCTGTGGTTGTAGTTACAGGTATAGCGTGTAACTGAGTATATGCCTGCGGTAGTGGAGCGATGCGAGAGGGTGTTTTTTTTTGCGTCAAAACGTCAACCAGACTTCATACATCGTGACAGCTCTTTAATAATATTGTCTTTTTCTATTTCGGCTTTATTACATTTTTGAATATTTCCCAATTCTAAAACATTCTAGAAACAAAATGAGATTAGCACAAGCTTTATTTGTCACAGGTTTCCCAACTGTACTGTATAATGTATTGCCCAACCTTGGCAGTAGGCGAGGCACACGAAGGCAAGCCTCCAGGTCCTTGAAAACAATTAAACAAAGGCTAGAGGCCTTACGTACACTTAATAAGCCGAAAGACGTAGCGTGGGCAGGCCTCCCACTAGGTGGACCGACGATCTGGTGAAGGTCGCGAGAGGTGCCTGGATGCAAGCGACTCAGGATCGGTCTTTGTGAAAATCCTTGGGGGAGGCCTTTGTCCAGCAGTGGACGCCTTTCGGCTGAAACGAACGAACACTTAATAAATGTGACCCTTAAAAACTGATCAAACTTCTTTCTCCATCCAGGTCCTTCTATCCGACTCGCCGCCCAAAGGCACGGCCACCGCCGAGGAGTTGGTGCGCTGCACTCGCCAGATGACCACCGCTACTGCAAGAGCAGTTGCTGCCGGTAACGCCAACAAGCAAGACCAGCTGACAGCAGCTGCCAACCTTGGCAGGAAGACTGTGGTGGACCTGCTGGTGGCTTGCAAGGTGAGATAGACCGTAGGGATAGTTCCTATAGGGTGTATTTTGGGGTAGAAATGTAGATGAGAGGAGAAGTTAGTCTGCTAATAAGCAAGATCAGCTCACGGCTGCCAACCTTGGAAAGAAGACTTCTGGATCTGCACCAGTAGATCCAGAACAGTATTTAAATTGGACCATAGGTATATTGTTTTAGTGTCTTTTGGGATAGCAACGCCTATTTGGCAATAGATCAGGATCATATTAGCTGCTGCTAACTCTGAGAGCAAGACTTATTAGTGCAAGGTGAGCTAGACCGTCAGGATAGTGTAGTCAGGTGTCTTTTAGAATAGCAAGGTAGAGGAGAGCAGTTGGTGCGCTGCACTCGCCAGATGACCACGGCCACTGCTCGAGCGGTCGCCGCCGGTAACGCCAACAAGCAAGACCAGCTGACGGCAGCTGCCAACCTTGGCAGGAAGACTGTGGTCGACCTGCTGGTGGCTTGCAAGGTGAGTCCAGTAGAAAACCGTCGAGGCATATAGTATCTTATAGTAAAGTCCTTTTTAGAATATCAACGCCAAAATGTCAACGACCAATCAGGTCATCAGTCCACTGATCATTATGGAAATAATTGGGGAAGGCCTATGTTCAGCAGTGGACTGTGGGTGTTAACGACAATTTTTTTTTTACCTATTTGCCTGACATTGCCATGGCCGGTTGCACCGGCCGTGGTCACAGGCTGACAGATTAATTAGTCACCTTCAAGCTTCAGAATCAGTCCAATCCACCTCAAACTTTCAGATAATAGAATATCAATTTTGTAAATGAAGTTTAATGAAATGTACTCGAAGATTGTCTCAGTATGGTTAAACATTACTTTATCTAAAGACGTTTATTTGAATTAAGACATATTTTGGCAACTTTGATAAATTGTTAGTTTCTATTGGATTGGTTGGACTAAAATTTCCTTTTAAACCTTCATATTGCCTTAAGTTATTCCAAATTTTTATTATTTGTGTAACTGACCACAAACCTCGTCCCCAGGCCGCAGCCTACACAGCGGAGAGCGAAGAAGTGCGCACGCGCACGATCGAAGCCGGCGCCGCAGCCGCCAGCGCCTACCGCGCCTTGCTGACTGCGGTGCTCAACGCCGTCGGTGGCGCCGACAAGCAACACTTCCCCGAGCTGTCTAGAAGAGTCGCCCACGCTGTGGCTGACATTATAGCTGCTGCGGAACTGCTTAAAGGTCAGTAAGAATCGCCACCACAAACAATCACCGCAATCTAATTTGTATATAGCGCCATCTATTGGCCAGTTTAGCAAGACTTCTCGGGGCTATCTAGGAGAGTAGCTCATGCTGTGGCTGATATTATCGCAGCTCTGCTGAGTTGCTGAAAGGTCAGTAAAAGTCACCACCGCAAGCTAGCTTAGAGACAGCTCCATCTGTTGGTCAGTTTAGCAAGAAAACTTCCCGGAGCTGTCTAAACGTGTTGCCCATGCTGTGGCTGATATAATAGCAGCTGCTGAGCTGCTTAAAGGTCATTAAAAGTCACCACCGCAAGCTAATTTAGAGATAGCGCCATCTATTGTCAGTTTAGCAAGGCTTCTCGGAGCTGTCTAGAAGAGTCGCTCATGCTGTGGCTGATATTATAGCGGCTGCTGAGCTACTGAAAGGTGAGTGAAAGCTACCATCGCAAGCTAGATTAGAGATAGCGCCATCTGTTGGTCAATTTCGTAAAACTTCCCGGAGCTGTCTAGACGAGTGGCCCACGCTGTGGCTGATATTATAGCGGCTGCTGAGCTGCTGAAAGGTCAGTGAGAGTCACCACTGTTTAGATTAGAAACAGCTCCATCTGTTGGTCAATTTAGCAACACTTCTACGAGCAGTCTAGACGCGTGGCGCATACTGTGGCTGATATTATAGCTGCTGCGGAACTGCTTAAAGGTCAGTAAGAATCACCACCACAAACAATCACCGCAATGTAATTTGCATTTATGGCCATCTATGTGAAAGTTACCATCGCAAGCTAGTTTAGAGATAGCGCCATCTGTTGGTCAATTTCGTAAAACTTCCCGGAGCTGTCTAGACGAGTGGCCCACGCTGTGGCTGATATTATAGCGGCTGCTGAGCTGCTGAAAGGTCAGTGAGAGTCACCACTGTTTAGATTAGAAACAGCTCCATCTGTTGGTCAATTTAGCAACACTTCTACGAGCAGTCTAGACGCGTGGCGCATACTGTGGCTGATATTATAGCTGCTGCGGAACTACTGAAAGGTCAGTTACAGTCACCACCATAAGCAACCACCGCAATCTAATTTGTATACAGCGCCATCTGTTGGTCAGTTTAGCAAGACTTCTCGGTGCTGTCTAGGAGGGTCGATCATGCTGTGGCTGATATTATAGCCGCTGCTGAACTGCTTAAAGGTGAGTGAAAGCTACCATCGCAAGCTAGATTAGAGACAGCTCCATCTGTTGGTCAGTTTAGCAAGACTTCTCGGAGCTATCTAGGAGGGGTTCGCTTATGCTGTGGTTGATATAATAGCGGCTGCGGAACTTCTGAAAGGTGAGTGAAAGTTACCATCGCAAGCTAATTTAGAGATAGCGCCATCTGTTGGTCAGTTTATTTATTTATTTATTTAAAATCTTTATTGCACACATAAAAATACAGTGGTACAACAGGCGAGCTTAATGCCATGTGGCATTCTGNCGCGGTACGGTAATAAGTACTGGTTAAACTTTTGATATTGTAATGAGGATAATAACTGTTGGTTATATAGCTTAATTTAAAACATTACTCAAATAAAAAACTTATGAATGTAAACCAGTAAAATCATAAAATCACGTTTAGCGTTTACAAACCACAAATTACACTAAAATTATTGATTAAGTAGTGAATTTATTTGCTTTCTCGTCTCTACGTGAGTCAGAATTGTAATAAATGACAAACTTTTTCAATTACCTTACCCCTAACTCGTTAGAACTTATTACTATGAATTCTTTCTTTCTTTCTTTTCAGCCAAATGACGTCCACTGCTGGACAAAGGCCTCCCCCAAGGTTTTCCACAATGAACGGTCCTGCGCTGCCCGCATCCAGGCTCTTCCCGCTTTAATTCTACTATGAATAGATAACATATAAACATAGCTGATTACGTTTTTATATGGCTTATGTATAACATACACTAAGTATAACGAAGTAAACATTAAAGGCTAAAGTTTAAACTGTGTGGATGAATGTTTGTTACTCTTACTTGAAGAAACTTAATTGCGATGAATCTTGATGAGGCTCTACAATGTTAGAGGGTTATTTATTTATTTATATTAAGCTACTTGAAGACTTACTTACAGAAATTCCAAAGTGCCAACAAATTATAAAAAATGTCATTGTATCAGAATGGATTAGATTACCTGACAGGGCTCGTCGAACTCAAGACCAGCGTTGTAAAGGCTTACTAAATACCTAACTTGTATCAGACAGAGGTAAGTGTTAGCTACCATGATCAAAGTTATATGCAGATTAGATTATAAAAAGTACACCTTGTGATACCTACTTGTCAGAATCTTCGATAATTTTTTTGAAGTAATAAAACCCAACCCAAGCAAACCATGGACGTTAACTAGTATTCCATTTAATCCAAAGGCACTTACGTACAGCTAAATTGAAACAAGGGATTTCAAAGATAAGCGAACTACAGAACGATGAAAGCTTTCATATCAAACTTGATAGCCTGCAGAACGTTCCAGTCTAGCTTATCTTTTTAAGTGCGTTTAAACCAATTTGCTAACATATTCAATATAGCGATGTCATGATGCGTATCGGATAGTATATTTTAACGATATTGCCTTGGGGAAACTTCCATAAAATGTTTTACATAATCTCACAGCATTGATTTTTACAGCGGAAAGTATTTTTAAACCACTTTAAGAAAAAGACTAAGATTGACATTGGAAACCTCCACAGGTTTCCAATGTCAATCTTAGTCTTTTTCTTCTTCAATCTTTTTTCATCTAGATTGTAAGTGACGTAAATGAATGAAGTCACTAATAAGTATTCAAACCGCGGGTTCACCCGCGTTAATACGGTTTACCACAGAAAGAAACTACAGAAAGATTATTTAAAAAATTGGTTCAGTAGTTCCATTCCAAACTCATGAACTTATAATAAGTCCAATAATATTTTGTAGCAATTATTATTACCAGTAACGAAGGATTTAGAATAGAATAGAATAGAATAACGTTTATTTTGCTGCCACATGAATACACATACATACATAAAACAAACGGTTAACATTACAGAACCAGTCAAAAGAATGATAATTAAAATTAATCGGGACAGTTACTTAGGCGGCGTTGCAGCAGCAAAAAGGTCCCCGTCTCAGCATGTGTCAAGTGCATACCACATGACGCTGATTTTCAGACGGCGGCCGTGGTCTGAGTTGCTCGGTGTATCAGGATATGAGTTTTATAAATGTCTGATTTTGGTTGTTTGTGCATACTTACCTACTAATATTTAGTGACATCCACGAGCGACTCAGCAGACAATAGTTATGGTGTTAACTGATCTATGTACTATACCGGCTCTAAGTTGCGTAACGAACTCAGGTAACGAAGCCCTAAACTCTTTTCAAGAACAGATTGAGGCTTTTTATTCAGAACTTCATGACTGTTAACAAATAAAAATTTCGTGTTACTTTTAACGGGGTCTACTTAAATGTAACCTCACAGGGTTACGCAACAGACAAGTTGGGACGTCCCGGGATTCGAACGCGCGATCGATCTCGTGACCCACTGACCCGCTGCAGGCTCCGAACGAGCGTTATAATTGAAACTATCGATGCGACTCGATACATCGAATATCTAAATCACTCGATGTTGCATGTTGACAGTTTTGATCGATTTTGCGGAAGGTGTTGACTCTACATTGTTTGAGAATGTAGGCTTCACACGGGTGTAAGTAGGTAAGTAAGTACTGATGAAACAGACCCTCCTCCTTTTTTAAAGTCCTTGAAAAAGACTCCTATGATGTTATTTTTTTCTTTTAAAAAGCTTAATCACAAGAGCTTCACCGATAGGCTGATAATGATGACGATTAGTCCGATAACTGGAAATTTAACGGACATCCGGTTGTCTTGATACTAAGTAGTCATTCTTGCAAAGTAAATACTAAGAGTTGCCATCGAAAACTTATATTGGTTACTACATTCGATAGATAAACGTGGATCGATGGTTTCCCATTAAAACTCTACCATGAGTTACATTCACGTTTACTTTACTCGATAGCATAGCGATTACTCGATTTGCACTATACAGGGTGAAATTATGTAATGGAAATTGGAAAGTACTTTTAATACTGTAGATAGAAAATTTTACTGAAAGAAAACATTCCTTTATTTTTTAAAAGAAAGAGAACTGCATTCATAGATTTTCGAAAATTCACTACCATACCATACAATTCTGTAAATAATTAAGATTTCATGGTTTTCCTTTCATTTGATTTATCAAGTTTGTTAAAGAGATTTCATCCTTATACTTAACCCTAACGATCGATGCTATAAAAATACAGGGTGTAATTTTTAACAGATTTTAGTTGGTTCGATTCCCGGGTGTAGCAAGCAAAATTTTGAAAATCTTTGAATGCAGTTCTATTTCTTTTCAAAAATAAAGGAATGTTTTCTTTGAGAAAATTTTTCTATCTACAATATTAAGAGTACTTTCCCTCCAGGTGGCATTACAAAATTCCACCCTGTATAGAGTCCATTATTATCATACAACTCCTTTTATTTACAAAACAATCTATTTCTATTGCTGAATACAGAGGCAGAAGCCGTTTTCTTCATTCTCGGAATAGAAAATAATTTCCAATTTCCATGAAGAAGCTCCCACAATACGGGTAGTTTCCAATTACAATCACCTTTCCGAGTTAAATGTTCCGTCGTGATTGAGCTCGAAGACTTTCAGCTAAATTAAGTTTGAATTATCTATGGAACTAGATACTATCTATTGGTCGAGTGTTTAACTCAGTCATGCCTGAGGTAGGGGAGCGACAAGGGAGGGGTGGCATTGACATAAAATATTATGAGACGGACTTCTTGGCGGGAATCTGAAGCGTCATGTTAGCGGTTTTGTTTTATTTCCTAAAATTCGTGTTTGGGCGACTATTAATGTGTAATAATGGTGGATTGTTAACCATTAAGTGTTCGTGAACGTGCATGAGTGTGGGCAAGTGAAACAAAACAGTGCATCGTAATT